CTTTATAGGATTGTCAGGAGGATTAAGTAAGGCTATGGTGGTAAGAAGGCAGTAGAATCTCCCATAATCCCAGGTGCTTGGGAGGCTGAGGCAGGAAAATCCCAAATTCCAGGCTAGCAACACAGTGAGACCCTATCTCAAAACAAAATAAAAGGGCTGGGGACTTAGCTCAGCGGCAGAAGTACCTGCCTGGCAAGCGTGAGGTCATGAGTTTAATCCCCAGTACCTAAATAAATAAAAATAAAATAAAAAGAGTTGGGGATGCAGCTCAGTGATATAGCACTTTCCTAGCATATACAAGGCCCTGGGTTGAACCCCAGTACCACGCAAATATTTTAAAAATAAAAATAAAACCCATGTGTGAAGAACTTATCATGGCAGCATATGCAGCAAGTTTGCTAAGATGATTTTCATTACCACTCCTGTAAACACAACCACCTTACAATTTACTGTTGACACAGGATTTCACTGTCCAAGTTTGCGTTTATGTTTATGATTGTACTGGCATCAAGCAGTTCTTTTTAATTGCTGCTGGCTAAAAAGAAAAGAACAGAGGCGGATTTAATGCGTAAATGATGCGTTGAAGCCAAGGGAAGGCCGGTGATGTAAGAGCCCACTGCACAAACAAAAGCAACTCAAACAGGGAAAGGTGGGGAGCGCGGGCTCTGGGGCGCCGGCCGGGGGGCCGGCAGACTCGGGAGGCGCCCTGCTCAGTGCTGGGGCCCCGCTCTTCCTCCTTTTGGTGAAACTGGTATCATTACTGTGCATCTTCCTAGATCTGCAGTTTTTTGGGGTTTTTTTAGTTTTAGTTTTGCTTTTGTATTACTGTTTAATCTATTTATTTTATTTATTTATTTTTGTGTGTTGGAACCCAGGGCTGTACCACTGAGCCACACGGCTAGCCCCGTTTTTATTGGTTATGTACATTTCTCTGAGGTAAATGGACTTATAAATGAAAACAAGCCCTAACATACCACCTGTTGACCAAAAGCCCTAAGGCTTGGAAGACAAATCGGATGGGATGGCGCACACCTGGGATCCCAGCTCATGGCCAGGCTGAGGCGGGAGACTCAAATTCTAGTCCCACCTGGCCAACTCTCCAAGACCCAGGCAACAAACAAAACATCAAAGGACGGGAGATTTAGCTGGGTGCAAGGACCCTGATTGAACCTACACAAAAATAAGTAAAATGTTGAAAGACTGCGTGGGGCATATTGTTCTGAATCATTTTGACCTGCGAGTCTTGCATTATCTATCAATCACGTGCTGATGGATTTGTGCAGACTATAAGAAGGTGTGTTTAGAACACATCAGAAATAATTCACGGTGGCCCAGGGCCAGGGCTGCTACTGCCTCTCTCCCCTGAAGGTGGGGAGAGCGTCTCCCCACAGGCGACCTGGAAAGGACCCCTTCCCAGAAGCAGGCAAGCCAGGGAAGAGGGGCCTGCGCTGCTCTGGGGCAAGAACCAGCAGACACCAGGAGGGAGGGCGGGGAGCCACGTCTGTGTGGTCACCTGTATGCCTGACATGGACCCCAGAGCCCCTTCTTCACCCTGAGCTGATGCCCCACCCCGGCTGGGCCACAGCCAGCCAGCTTCCCGTGCCCCGGGCCTGTCCATGTGACGGGAAGAAGATGAAAGTTCTGCCTCAGAGAACTGCTTGTTGCTTGACCTCTGACCTTGGGGCAAGGAGCCAAAAGAGCTTGCAAAATAAGCCACCAGGCACCAGGCCACATGGAGGCTGCTGAGCCAGGCAGCCTCCCGCCTAGGAAGTCAGCCACGGGGCGAGGCAGAGCTTACCCTGATAGCCCTTTGCTCAGGCCCAGGTGGAAGGGTCAGAACTGCCTCCTTGACCGGCAGAAAGAGGGAGCTAGTGGCTGGGGACTTACAGTCAACAGGGGAGGAAACTGAGCCCTGGAGAGATGACGTAATTTTCCCAGGGGTCTTCAAGAGCATCTTGGAGCTGAATTTTATTTTTATTTATTTTTTTATTTTTTGGTCTTTTTGAGACAGGGTCTCTCTGTGCACTTCAGGCTGGACTTGAGCTCACTTTGTTTTTTTTGTTTTTTTTTTTTTTTTGAGCTCACTTTGTAGACCAGGCTGGTCTCAAACTCACAAACATCCTCCTGCCTCAGCCTCCCGAGTGCTGGGATTACAGGTGTGCGTCACCATACCCAGCTGAATTTGATTTTTATTTGCAGCCTTCTGTTGTTGTTCTTCTTTATTGTCTTGTTTTCAGCTTTTATTTTTTTGTCTTTTGAGATAGGGTCTTCCTATATAGTCAGGCTGGCCTTGTACTCATAGGGAGCCCAGGCTGGCCTCAGATATGTGGCCATCCTCGTGCCTTCACTTCCTGTGTGCTGGAAGTGTTTACCACCAGGCCCCCCTGTAGTCTTTTTATTTTTTTGAAACAGGTGCTCACTACATTTTCTGGGCTGCCCTTGAGCCTGTGACCCTCCTGCCTCAGCCTCCAGAGTAGCTGGGATTAGCAGTTTGTGCTACCACATCAGGACTGAATTGGAGTCCAGAGCTGATCTGGTCACCAGTATGCTGTGCAACCCGATCGGGGTGGAGGATGGGCGGCTCAGTGAGGCACTGTACAGTTGCTGCAGAAAATCCAACATGCACTGTTCTAAGAACCAGGTGAGCAAGACTTGGCCAAGAAAAAGCTGAGTGTGACTCACAGCGCGCCTCCCACTCCAGATGCCTGAGTGATCCATGTCTGATTCAGCACTGCTCAGCCCTCGCTGAGAGGTTGAGGCACGGGGGTTTCCACCCAGACTCTCTTGTTCCACTCCTGAGGCTTTCTGTTCCTAACGCCTCGGAGCAAAGCTTCCTATCTGGAAACGGGGGTGATAAGGCAGTGTACCTGCCTCAGGGGGTGCTGGGAGCAGGAAGTGAGGGAGTCGCCTTCAGGCCTGGCGGCTGGTGATAGCCAGTGAGAGCTCTGTCCAGGCTCCGTGTAGGAAGAACCAGAGCCCTGCAGGGAGGCAGGATGCGGGCGGCAGGCTGGCTCCCCCAGTTCCTGTCCCGCACAGACCCCCTCTTCCCAGGACAGCAGATGGATCCGTGGTCCCTCCGGCCTGTTCAGAGCCTGCACTCTGCCTGGCGGTGGTGCAGTCGAGTGACACAGGCTGTGGTCTGTGTGCCTCCTGTATGGGGATCACCCGTTCCCCCTTTGGCTCTTTCCAGGGTAGGCAGCAGAGTCTTTAAAAACAGCAAACTGAGTAAAATTCTCTAAAAACTCATCTCTGAGTTGCTCTCAGGAGGAATTTAGACGTCAACCTGGACAAGGCTCCTCGGTGGAGCCCTCTTTTATCTCCTCCACTCCCACCCTGTCCCACCTAATTCCAAGAAGCGGCTCCTCCCATGGGGTCACACCCATGTCCTGTCCCTGCCCTGCCGCTAGCCTGGCCACCCTCTTGGGCCCTTTATGGTTTTGCCTCTTTCCTTTTTTTTTTTGTATCCTTCAATACTGAGGATTGAACCCAGAGCCTTTGTACTGAGCTACATCCTCAGGCTTTTCAATTTTTCTGTTTTGACACAAGTTCTGGCTCACTCAGACGGCTAGTCTGGGATCAGACTTGCAGTCCTCCTGCCTTAGCCTTCCAGAGTGCTGGTGTTACAGGCATGGACCATGGTGCCTCAGCTCAGACATCACTTCCTCCCAAGCCTGTTTCTCCCCCTCAGGAGTCCCCACATTACCCTTACAAATGGTCCCCTGCTGACTGACTCCACCACAACTGGGGCATAGATCCCGAGTTCAGTCAGCACTCAATCAGTATCAGCGACACAAATGACAGTGTCAGGAGGGCCTGGTGCACCCTCCACCTCCCACAAACAGGGGTCTGAGGTTCCACCTACCTACACCCACCCCCTTGGTCCCACCCCGGTTTGCCTCCCACTTCTCTGGGAGTTCCCCAGAACCGAGGTGGTCTCCATCAACCCCGGGGAGGGCCCCATGCTGCTTGGCATGCACAGCCATCCCAGGCATCGCTCCCTGCCAAGTGCAGCCCCCCCAGCAGGAGGAGCCGCCGTGAGCGGGCGGTGCAGGGCACAGCTCCAGCAGGCACGCTAGCTCCCCAGCCCCGAGGAGCTTGCCACCCTCCCCCAGGTATTTACTGACTTTTCCCCCAGCGCTGTTTGTTTTAGGGATTACAGTGAGTGGAGGAGCCTGTAATTTCCAGACTCATTGGTTCCTCTCCTGGCAGCCAGCGCTGATGATACCGTTCCAGACACGCTGGTTTGATAGCATCATCCAACATGAGATTCTCTCATGGCTTCCCGAGCTGAGGGCGGGCTGGCTGCTCCTAGGGACACTGTTCCTTCCACCTTGTCTCCTCGCAGGTCAACCTTGCACCCAGGTTGTTTTGTTTTGTTTTGCCCTTCTCTCTCTCTCTCTCTGCCCTTTTCTTCTCTTGCAGTGCTGGGGTTTGTGAACCTGGCAAATGCTCACCATTGGGCTACAGCCCCAGCCTCTTCTTATTTATTTTTGGAGTCAGGTCGCTAACTTCCCATCCTCTTGCCTCAGCCTGAGAGTAGCTGGGACTACAAGCCTGTGCGACCACATCCAGTTTACAATTGTTCTCTTTATTGTTTCTTTCAAGTACCACGATCTCTCATTTGTGTAGTATAGCCAAGAAATGGGAAATGGTCAGGGGATTTAGCTCAGCAGCACAATCGCCTACCTGGTCCTGAGTTTGATCCCCAGTACCAAAAGAACCCCAAACAAACAAAAACAAATGGGAAACAGACGAAAAACAAAAAGCTGGGCATAGTGGCACATGCCAGTGATCCCAGCAGTCAGGAGGCTGAGGCAAGAGGATCACCATGAATTCAAGGCCAGCCTGGACAATATGGGAAGAACTTGTCTCAGAAAACCAAAAAGAAAAAAAAAAAAAAAAAAAAAAAACCAGAAAGGTGCCACTCCATATAAATGACCTTTCAGAACAATTCTCTCTAAACACTAAAAGTTTAAAGTTAAATAGATTTTAAAGGTGCTTTATTGAAACATAATGGACACACTATAACCTGCCTGTATTTAGAGTACACAACTTGATTTTTTGGGTTTTGTCCCGCCCTGATTTGTTCTGATGCACAGACACAGTCAAATGATGAACAGAGCAGCCAACATCCCAAGCGCTCAGGCCCTCCCTGCCCCGAGGCCTCCCTCCCCCATCAACTGCCAACTGCCGTCTACTACTTAATTCTTGAGTGTCCACCCTCTTGCCAGCTACCAGCAATAACAGTGCGATCCTTGATTCAGCCCCATCTCTGACATCCTGAAAACGCTGTTCTTAGATGTCATGAGGATGTGGCCTGCTCTCCTGTGGCCGTATGGGGCTCTGGGCTTGGGAGCTGTCTCTGTGGCTTCCAGCCAACAACTCCTGCCTCTAACTCTGCCACATCAACTGCCACCCTGTGACATTTCCATTTGTCACTGCGGATCACTGGTCCTCAACTGGGAGTGATGCGTAAACATTTGAGGCCTTTGCCTTGTTATCATGGGAGTGGGGGTGCTACTGGCATCATCTAGAGTTTAGGGGCCAGAGAGGTGACTGAGTGTCCCAAGATGTCAACTGTGGCAAGGTTGGGAAACTGTTCTGGAAGAAGCTGGAAAACTCCTCAAGAAATTGCAGTGGTGACTGTCTTCTCTGTACGGGGCAGAGAAACAGCAGCAGGCTTGTTGGAGCTGCAGGTCATGGAGCTTACTGGTTCAGGAAGATTCAGGGAGGCTCAGGTGGCTCCATCCAACTCTACCAGAGGCAGGCTCAGCTTCCTGGGGACAAGCCCTTAGGAATGTCGCATTGGGCAGGTGCTCCTGAATGGCAGGTAAGACTCCACCTGAAGCATTTATTAGGTGTCTGATTGTGATGGCACTGGCTGTCTGCTGCTGCCAAGGTGGAAGACATGAGTTGGTGAAAGGAAGCCATTCAACCTAGAAGTGACAGCCAGGGCCGGGGTGGGAGTACTATGGTCAGTGCACACCTGCCCAATACATAGCAAAATGAGAAGGGCTGGCCATGTCGGGATCGGGTCCCAACACAACCCAATATGTCACCAACAAATCACTTCTAGCAGCTAGCTCCTCCCCCCACCCACAGACACAGCTTGCCTGTCATATAAAGGAAGTTTTCCCAAAGTGGTTCAGCCAGAACTGAAAGGGCCCTGCCCTGTGCTGGGCTGCAGCGTGACCTGACTGGGGGAGGAAGGGTAGCCTCAGTCAGCGTGGACCCCAGGGTCCTGGGGCTCACGGGTGAAGTGTGGGTGTGCTCTGTGCACCCCTGCAGGTCGGGAAGGCTTTGCTGTTGCCTTGTGGGACTTTTTGTAGATGTTCCTGGAAATGCAGGTAAGCAGAAAAGAAGAAAACAAAGGGTTCTGGAGTCTTACTTTTTCAAAAAAGCACCAGACTCAGGTTGCTGTGCACCCTTCTCCACAGGCGTGGATGCTGCGTACACTTTGATTAAAACCAGGTGCGGGAACTGCTGCTGAAGGCTTTGTTCAAGGTACCGAAGTGGGGAAGAGGCTGGAGAGGTGAGCAGCCCTAGGGGACTGCAGGACTGGGTAGGCCGGGTGGCTTTAAGACTCAGGTTATCGGGCCTGGGGATTTAGCTCAGTGGCATAAGCGCCTGCCTTGCAAGCATGTGGTCATGAGTTCAATCCCTGGTACCGGTAAAAAAAAAAAAAAAAAAGACTCAGGTTATCCTGTGGTAATTCAGGATGAGCTCTACTCCCTGCCCCAGGCCATACCCGTCAGGCCCCTCTTCCCTTCAGGTTCCCAAGGCACACAAATCCCTAACTGCTGTGTAAGGCTGGTAACACTTTACCACCTAGAACCTAGGATTCCTGCGCCACAAACTGGGCTCCCTCAGCCCTCAGGCTTCAGATCAGTGGGCAGGGACGGATAAAGAGGACAATACCTGGGCCTGAGGATTTAGCTCAGCAGCATTGGAAGTGCTGCGTGGTCCTGAATTCGATCCCCAGTACCGATAAAAACGAAAAAGGCAAAAAAAAAAAAAGAGGACAATACCTGGCCACAGGATTTGCTTCCTAGAGATAAAGAAGGCCTTTCTGCCTAGAGGGGATTCTCCCTAGAGGGGTCTCAGGGAGGGTGGCATTCAAATTCTTTGTATCAATGAAACTTTTTTTGGGGGGGGAGTCTGTGGGGTAGGTTGGGGAGTCTTCCTAAATTGCCCAATCCTCCTGCTTCAGCCTCCTGCCTATTGGGACTTTACGCTTGTGCGTCACACCTGGCTGCAAAGTACAATGTTATGTGAGGCCCCCAGCTGTGACTGGGCCGAAGTGGAGAGTCTGGGTGAAGCTCCCTCTGAGCAGCTCGATAGCTTCTGTCTACCACAGGCACTAGTGGAGCAGCCAGCTGGTGGGAGAAAGGGGAAGTGGCGTTGCTGGGGCCAGGGTGGCAACTTGTGAACCCCTGCCTCCCCCACCCCACAGGCTGCAGCAGCTCCCCTGGGGCCAGGCCCTGGGGACGGGTGGGGTCCTGGGCATCCGGCATTACTTTCTCCCTAGAGTGACCTTTTTTTCTAGGCCAGGGGACAAGTGTGACCCCAGGTCAGACGGGGTCAACCCTGTTCCCCACAATGAGGTTGTCTTGCTCACAGAAAACCATGACTCACTTCCTGCCTCAGTCTCACTGCGGGAATATGGCTCTCCCAACTGTGGTTGTTGCTGGCAGGGACTACCCCAGGGTGGCCCCTACAAGCCTGGCTTTCTGTGCGGTGGAGTCCCCAGTCTGGAAGGAGGCCAGAGTTATAGACTTATCCCCCAATTTTTTGAGAGTTTTCAGTTTCTAAAGGTCCATGAGGGTGCCCCCAAAGGTACCTGATCCCACTACCTGAGTATTATTTCCATTTTCCAGAGGGGTAAATTGAGGCTTTGAGAAATTAAGGTGGTACAATATAAAATGGTGCCCTGGGGATTTGAACCCAAGCTTCCTAGTTGACTTTGGAGATAAGATAATTACTTTAGGGATAGTATTTAAGCTCTCTGGGCCTCCCTGGCTTTCCTGTTAAGGTAAATGTTGATGTACAATGGGCACCTCATGAAAATGTCCTGTGCCCACTTCTTGGAATTTGGGTGAGGATAAAAAGAGCTCATGGAACAACTCAGAAGGTACCTAGCTCCTATATGGCCCTCAGCGGCCTGTGTGCCATTCCCTGCAACTTCCACAAAGGAGGCCACAGGACGCACTGCTGCCAGGTGCCTCCCAGGGAGTGGGAGGGATGAGCCTCCGTAGCTTTGACCTTGAAATAACACAGCCAGGAGGCCGACGGCCACATTTTCCCCCTTTTCTTTCTAAGCTCAAGCAGTGCTGACCTTAGCCAAGTGGCACAGACGTTTTCTAGGACAGGACCCAGGGAGGGAGAGGTTTCGGCTGGTATAGCGCTGGTTGGATTCCGGCTCTTCCCAAACTTCGGGTCTCTCCCAGGTTCCAGGGTCTACTAGCTGTGGGGCTCAGGGCAGAGTATTTAAAAGGGCCTCGGTTTCCTTATCTGTAAAATGGGATTAATAATGTCAGTTTGGATAAATCATTAGGATTAAATCATGACATAAAGAGGAGCGATAATGTGAAAGGGCCATGTGCACAGGGGCCAAAAGACACAATTAAAAGGAGGTGGGCTACTTCTGCTTATAAACCCACCTGTCTATACAGAAGCCGATGAAATCGTGACTGCCTCCCAGTAAGTCAGGAGGTTTGCCCTGTAGCCCAAGGACGAGCGCAGAGTCCCGGGTCACCATCGTCACCATCTCCGGGCCCTGGACCCATCATGTGGGCACAGGGAAGCGGGGACGACAGAGTCCTGCAATCGGCGCTCCCAGGCCCTGCCCGGCTCCTCGCGAAGGCTCGAGTTCGGGTCTCCACAGGGCCCAGGGAGCCGCGGCAGGGGCCGGGGCGCGCGAGGCTTCGGGGATCCCCGGCTGGGCCCGCTGCCCGGCTCCGGGGCGCGCGCCGGCGCTGGGATCGCGGCTGGAGGGCGGCGGGGCCGGGCGGGCCGGGCGGGCGCGCGGAGGCGGCGCCGGGGGGAGGGGCGCGGGGGAGGAGCCGGGCCGTCGCCGCCGCCGTGACAGCGGCCAGAGTAAACAAGCCGCGCCGCCGCGGCCGGGCCGCTGCCCCCGCCCGCCGCCGCCCGCGCCCGAGCCGGAGCCGGAGTCGAGCGCGAGGCCGAGGCCGCCCTGGTCGCCGGCCGGGCCGAGGCCGCGCCGCACGCGCGCCGTGACGCCGCCGCCGGGCGCGCGAGCGCGCCGAGCCCAGGCCCTGCCGCGGGGCTCCGCGCTCGGCCGGGGGCGCCCGCCGGGGAAAGTTTCCCCGCTGCGGCTCCCAGGGTAAGCGGCGAGGGCGCGGGGGGCCGGGCGGGGGCGCGGGGATGCAGGCCGGGGACGCGGCGCGGGGACGCAGCGGGCTGACGGGACTGCGCGCGCGACGCGGAGCCGGCCGGGCCCCGGCGCGGGTGGCGCCGCGCGGAGCAGGAAGCGTTGAACCCACCTGAGCGCGCCTGGCCGAGCCCTCGCCCGCACTTTTCCTCCTGCGGTCGGGCCCGGCCCTCTGACCTCAGAAAGCGCCCGCGGGGCCCGGCCGGCCGGATAGGGCGCGGACCCCGGGGGCGTGGGGTCTCAGTCCCAGCGCCCAGCAGGGGAGGCCAGGACCCTCCGCCCGGGCCCGGCGCCCCTGCTGCACACCTGTGCGGGGAGAGCGCCCAGGTGCGGGCCGCGGGCGAGCGCAGGCCCAGGTGGGTCCCCGAGGCCTGGCTGGGGCGGTCGGACCAGGGCCATCTGCTGGCCAGACGGCACCAGTTTCCCACCACCCCTACCCGGTCGTCCCCCCTGGGGGGGGGGGTGTCAGACCTTAATGTTCCAGAGAGTGCTGGTGTAGGAAGCCTGAGGGGGACCCAGGTGATGTGGCCTAATGAGGGCCGGGCCAGGTGTGGACAGGGCAGCATGAGACTGTATCCAAGCCTGGCCCATTGCAACCCAAAAAGCCTCAGTTAGAACTACAGTGTTTCCTAAATTGCGGTTCCTTGGAGAACTAGCATCTTCTGTTTTGTTTTGCTGTTTGCTTTTAAAAGAGAATTTTGTGGCTTTACGAAAAAGTTTGAAAACCACTGGTCAAACAGTTTTTACCCCGGAAAACTGACGCCCAGGGAGAGGAAGTGACTTGTTCAAGATCACTTAGCAAGTAGAAGTTGAGCAGGGGCTAAGCGTCAGAATTTCGAAAAGCCACCCGGTGCAGGTCGTAGCTGAGGGCTGTCTGCTGGAGAGAAAGACTGGACTGGGCTTCCTAGTGACCTGAGGTGGTTTGTCTGGCTAGACCTCTGGTGCCTGGGAAATTGTGGCCCAGCCCGGTTAGGTACAATTTGGAATATGTTCCTGAGATGACTGGTGATCAGGAGGTTCTGGGGCTGGACAAAAAGGACTTTGCATAGAAGACAGACCCAAAGAACTCCGCAGCTCTCTGTGGTCCACCCTGAGACCGATGGTGAGGCTGGAAATCCAGCCAGCCTCGGGGTTTGAGACTACTGGGACTCAGAGGGTGAGTCAGAGTCTGCGGAGGGGGTGGGGAGAAGTCCATTCATTCATTGTTCTCAGTTCTTGCTCTGTGTGTGTGTGTGTGTGTGTGTATAGGGGGGTCCTCCTTCTGTGTGTGTGTGTGTGTGTGTGTGTGTGTGTAGGGGGTCCTCCTTCTGTCCTGTGTGTGTGTGTGTAGGGGGTCCTCCTTCTGTCCTGTGTGTGTGTGTGTGTGTGTGTAGGGGGGGTCCTCCTTCTGTCCTGGAAGCTGAGGCCGAGCTGGTAGTGGTGGTAGGATGTCTGGGGCTCTGGAAGCCAAAACTACCTCTCCCCATGGCTCAGTACACTGGGTAGAGGCGGGCAGGCCTTCTTTCCTGGGAGACTGTTCAGTTGTGCCCAAAGCTTGCTTGCTTTCCAGGTGCTGCAAGGTAATTAAATAGTTGGTTAATCACCTTTAACACCAAATGGCTGCGGCTCCCTCTATCATGTGCTGAGACCTGGGCCAGACCCAGGTGATCAAGCCTTAACTGGAGGCATAGTGGGGGCTACAGTATTGTGGGTCAAGGGGTTTGGCTTGACATCTGGACCCTGAGGCAGCTATATGGCAAGGAGAGAAGAGGACCTGGCCCCCACATGCTTTAAATGGGGATTTGTGGACCCCTCACCCCCTAGGGCTTGGGCATCAGGCTGCCCAGCCATTGCTCAGGCTGGCTGTAGCCACCTAAGGTGTCCTGGGGCTGTGGCTCTCAGGTCTGCTGCCCCCTGCCTGCCCTGGAGCCCAGCATGGCTGCCCCTCGGGTGTAGAAGAGCTACGTGGTGGTTGTCTCCTGCCATCAGCTGTCAGGTTATTTTGGTGTAAACTGAAAATACTTCAGGAATGGTGTGTGGAGTCCCCCAGCCTGCAGCGTGGGCTCGCAGCAGCCAGGGAGTGGTTGTGGCCAAGGGCTATCCCTGGACAAGTGAGCCTGCTGCCTGCCCACTCCCCAAGACTTACAAGAGCTGGGGTACTTTCGCTGGGCTGTTGGGCAGAGTGGCCATGGGAATGACAGGGGCATCCGGCCTTGTGGGCAGGCACAGAGCCACTCAAGGAGCTTGGAACTGGGAGGGACTTCCCAGCTGCCGCCTTCCCCAGAGGCTTGACTTCTGGCCACTCAGAGGCCCTATGTGGGGACAGTTATATGGCCCCAGGCAGAGAGGTCCCGCTGTCTGTTTGCTGAAGGAAGAAAAACAACACAGGACTATTGATTCAGCTTCACCTTGGTGCTCCTAGCTCAGCAGCCAGTATTTGCCCTGGCTGCGGTCTCTGATTACGCAAGGTGGTGGGCACAGAGTGAGCAAGAGGGGTGTTGGGGGGCGGTCTTTTAGGCAGGGTTGGGCAGCCTCAGTGTACCCCAGGAAACATCAGGGAGAGCCTGGGACTCTGGCTGTGCCCATCAGCCCTAGAAGGTCCCCCGCACTTGGAGCGCTGTCCCCCAAGCCCTGCCCCGACCTAGGTTGCCCACTCCTGGCTATGGGGCCTTTGCAGATAACTCCTTCTGGCTGAGTCTCTTTACTGAGCCAGGAAACCCTAGTGAGTTCATTTAAAAACTTTTAAAAGCCAGTGTTTTATTCCTCTGTAAAATATACCTAGGTATTGTACAAAGCATACAATGACACAAAGGAGAAAATAACAATTACTCGAGATTCTCAACATCTTGAAAGAGCCTTTGTTAACATTTTAGAGTGTGCCCTTCCAGATTTTGTTTTTGATTATGTACATATATAAATAGCTTTAAAAAACAGTGGGATCCTGTGTACATACTGCTTTATAACATAATGCACCTTTTATTTTGGCAAGGTCTTTTCTGATTTTGAGCGCCTCAAGTCTTTGATGCTCTTTAGCCCCTTTCTGGGTCACACTTGTGTTTTTGGTGGAGACAGGCTCTGGGGGCATGTAGGGGTCACATGTCCGCCTGTCTGGTGCCCTTGGAGGCCCAGATTCCTCCTGGGGAGGACTGGTCTTGTTTTATCCTTCTCCCCAGTGCCCCTTTTGCTTGCCTCTTGAGTTGTCGGGTTTGGAAGGGCAGCTTTAGCTCATGGCTTTGGAGGGACTGACTGGCTCCCCTGTCTCTCTTGTTTCCCCCAGAGCCGGCAGCCCTCATCCTACCCTCTAGCCCTGCCCATCTCAGCCCCATGCCCCCACCAGTCAGTCCCGGGCCACAGGCAGTAAACAGCAGGCACGAGGGAGCCGAGGCCCTGTGACCAGGTCCAGGAGGCAGGAGCTCCACAGTCGGCCACCTGCCCCCCATGGAGCTGAGGCCCTGGTTGCTATGGGTGGTAGCAGCAGCAGGAGCCTTGGTCCTGCTGGCCGCTGATGCCCGTGGCCAGAAGATCTTCACCAACACGTGGGCTGTGCACATCCCTGGAGGCCTGGCCGTGGCTGATAGTGTGGCACGAAAGCATGGGTTCCACAACCTGGGCCAGGTAGGTAGCCTGCTGGCCCAGGCGGGGGATGTGTTCCGGGAGGGAAAAGATCATGGCACCAAGAAGCTGGAAGTGTTGGGTTAACTTCTCCGGGTCCGGGTGGCCAGTGGGAGGGGAGTGTGGCTTGACAGATGAGCAGCCTGTCACAGTGAGGGCAAAGCTCCCCTTGGTCCCCTGCATGTTTGTTCTGGGTCCTGGGGAGGGAACAAATATCCTCCCCCCCACCCCCACCATTGCTAGCCTCCCCTTGTAGCCACTGTCCACCCCCCCCCCCCAGTCGCTGCCTCCTGGGGACTGACAGATGGAAGGCCCATCTCAGTCTCTTGTTTCCCTGCAGATCTTCGATGACTATTACCACTTCTGGCATCGAGCAGTGACAAAGCGGTCCCTGTCACCTCACCGCTCTCGGCATAACCGTCTGCAGAGGGAGCCACAAGTGAGTCTGGCCCCGGCCCCCCTGCTGCCCCTTCCTCTGCCTACTCTCCCTGCTCCTCTTCCCTGCCACACACCCCACACCTACACCGCCTCCCTCATCCTCTCCCAGGTTCGGTGGCTGGAGCAGCAGGTGGCGAAGCGACGGACCAAACGGGACGTGTACCAGGAACCCACAGACCCTAAGTTTCCCCAGCAGTGGTACCTGGTACGGCGCTATCTGTAGCCCTAATGCTCCTCTGTGAGATCCTGTGGGGGTTGGACCGGCTGTGAGGCTTTGCTGTCCCGAGTGCCATCTCTCCCTGCCCCATCCTGATGAGCCTTGGAGGTCATCCCCCCACCTCCAGGGCTCTGCGTTTCCCAGGAGGCCACAAAAACAGCAGTGTCACTGGAGCCAGGATGGATGTAGAAAGGGCTTTGGGGCGGTGAGGGGATTCACCACCTTAGCCCTACACTCACGCGGTCAGACGCATCTTCTGAGTAACGGGTGGTGTCTCTGCAGTCTGGCATCACCCAGCGGGACCTGAATGTGAAGGAGGCCTGGGCGCAGGGCTATACGGGGCGTGGCATTGTGGTCTCCATCCTGGATGATGGCATCGAGAAGAACCACCCAGACTTGGCAGGCAACTATGTGAGGAGGCAGGAGGGAACAGCCGTCCCGGGTGAGGGGCGGCCGGGTGCGTCCTGTCCTGCCGTACAGTCAGCTGCTCCTAATACAGCCACGACCTTTCCAGGATCCTGGGGCCAGTTTTGATGTCAATGACCAAGATCCTGACCCCCAGCCTCGGTACACGCAGATGAATGACAATAGGTAAGAGCAGCGATCCCCGGACCTCTGGCCCCCTTCTCTTCTCTCCCACCAAGATCACAAGGTTGAGCCTGGGTGCCACATGGGTCCGCCCCAGACACCTTTGTCCATGGTCCTGGTCCAGCTGGGGCGCCGAGGGAGGTGGCCCTGTCCCGTGGAGTGGGGGTGGGTGTGGGTAGAGGGATGTGCTGAGCCTTCCTGCCCTCTGGCTGTGTCTGCTGTGCTCTGTCTGCAGCACTAAGGCTGTGCTCCTGGTCCCGGCAGGCATGGCACACGGTGCGCTGGTGAAGTGGCTGCTGTGGCCAACAATGGTGTCTGTGGTGTGGGTGTGGCCTACAACGCCCGCATTGGAGGTGGGTGTGAGCCTTGGCCCCCTGTTCCATGGTGGAGGCGGGAGGGACTTCGTGTGGGGTTGCCGTCAGCCCGCTTCCCATCTGACCAGTGCCTGTCACTGTCCCAACGTGAGTCCTTCTGACCACGCGGATAGTCCATCAGGGTTCAGTGACTCCGAGGGCTGGCCTCCCAGGGCCGGTGGCTGGCGGTGGCGTGGGGCTGGTGTCTCTTAACAGGAGTCCCCACACAGACAGCCTTCATCTCCCTGCTCCTCCCTGTCAGTCTTCCAGGCCAGCCTAGCTGAGGGAGCAGCCGTCATGCTTTTCCCCTCTTGACTCTTACACTGCAAGGGCAGAGACAGGTGTTAGGGGCTCAGGGCTTTCCAGCAGGGAAGGCTGGGCATGCCCCTTGGGGTGGCCCTAGCAGTGGACCCACACAGCACCCTTCTTTCTGCCCTGCTCTGTGGCCAGGGGTACGCATGTTGGATGGTGAGGTGACAGATGCAGTAGAGGCACGCTCGCTGGGCCTGAACCCCAACCACATCCATATCTACAGTGCCAGCTGGGGCCCTGAGGATGACGGCAAGACCGTGGACGGGCCGGCCCGCTTGGCCGAGGAGGCCTTCTTCCGGGGGGTGAGCCAGGTGAGGGGCCTGGCCCAGCCTTGCAGCCAGGCCTGATCTCTAGGGGCTGCACGGTCTTCTCAATAGCACTCTTCCTTGTGTTTGATCTTAACTTTATGTAAGACATATTTCTTTATTGTATTATTATTTTTTGGTACCAGGGATTGAACTCATGACCTCATACTTGACAGGCAGGTACTGTGTCACTGAGCTAAATTTCTGGCCCATGTTTCTTTATTTTGTAGTACAAGACATTGAAATTAAGGCCTTCATATTGAGCAAGATTCCACCCCTTTTTATAAAGCATTTTGAGCTGGACATGGTGGTACACACCTGTAATTCCAGCATTTAGGAGGCTGAGGCAAAAAGATCCTTGAAAGTTTGAGACCAGCCTGAGCTCAAGACTAGCCTGAACTGCATAGCCAGACCCCATCTCAAAAAGACAATAAGTAAATAAACCAAAAAGCATCTTGAACAGGTTCCTACTAAGTTGCCAAAGGTAGGTTGAATTTGGGATTCTCTTGCTTCAGGTTCTCAGAATGCTGGGATTAGTGGTGCATGCCACCATGGCTGACTTCAAAGCATGTTTGTTAAAGCATTACAGAGCCAGGCACAGTGGTGCATGTCTGTAATCCCAGCGGTCAGGAAGCTAAGGCAGGAAGATCGAAAGTTCTCACCTAACCTGGGCTACCTGGAGAGAGACTCTATCACAGCCTTTCCTCCAAATGAAAAAAAGGAGGAAAGAGCTTCTGGGGCTGAGGACTGGGAGTATAACTCAGTGGTAGAAGGCGTGCCTTCTGTGTGTGAGGCCTTGGATTTGAGCCCAGCACTACAAAAAGTAAATTAATAAAGGGACACAGACATGCTAGGCGTGGTGGCGCATGTCTATAGTCCCAACACTCAAGAGGCTGAGGTAGAAAGACTGCTACAAGTTCAAGGTCAAGGAGCTGGGGATTTAGCTCAGCGGCATAAGCGCCTGCCTTGTAAGCAGGCAGTCGTGAGTTCGATCCCTGGTACCAAAAAAAACGAAAAAGACAAAAAAAAAAAAAAAAAAGTTCAAGGTCAACTTGGACTCTCCAGCATCATCTTCCTGCCGGCCCTCCCCCAGTCCCTATCCTGAGTGACCTAGCACACTTTGTCCACAGGGCCGCGGGGGGCTGGGCTCCATCTTTGTCTGGGCCTCAGGGAACGGGGGCCGGGAACATGACAGCTGCAACTGTGACGGCTACACCAACAGCATCTACACGCTGTCCATCAGCAGTGCCACACAGTTCGGCAACGTGCCCTGGTACAGCGAGGCCTGCTCATCCACGCTGGCCACCACCTACAGCAGTGGCAACCAGAATGAGAAGCAGATCGTGAGTCTTGCTGCGGCTGAGGAGGGCGGCTGCTGGCGCCCCTCCCATGCTCAGAGACCCCTTTCCTGCCCATCCGTTTCCTCCCTGCCCAATTCACTGTATCAGCCCATGCTCCACGGGATGGGAGCTGGGGGCCCTGTAGCCTCCGGGAAGCCCTTGAGAAGGGTAGGCCTAAAGCACGCACTGCTCTCCGCCCTCCAGCTAGTCCCCCTTATTCCTTGAGAAAGTGAAGCCGGGAAGGGGCCATGCATCCATCCGTCCACAGCAAGTTGGCGAGGCAGCTGCTGGGCTTGGGGTAGCTTTGATCCTGGCTCACTGTCCTATTTGTTGGGTGCTAGGCAGAGGGAGGACAAGCAGGTGGCCCCTCCGTCCATCACAGACCCTAACACCACTGTCCCCTAACAGGTCACCACTGACTTGAGGCAGAAGTGCACGGAGTCTCACACAGGCACCTCAGCTTCTGCCCCCTTGGCAGCTGGCATCATTGCTCTCACTCTGGAGGCCAAGTAAGCAGTGGCAACTTTGTCCCCACCGTGCTTTTTGCAGGGCAGCCTTGGGATTCATCTTCTCTCCAGAAAGCCTAAGCCCCTCACCTGTCTACTCCTCCCCCATAGTAAGAACCTCACCTGGCGGGACATGCAGCACCTGGTGGTCCGCACCTCAAAGCCAGCGCATCTCAATGCCAATGACTGGGCCACCAATGGTGTAGGCCGCAAAGGTGAGAGCTAGCGGGGGCCCAGGAGCAGGTTTGGGGTCCCTCGCTCGGTGGGGGTGCTCTGCTCCTCCCTGTGACCCTGCCTTCTCTGCCTCCACAGTGAGCCATTCCTATGGTTATGGGCTCTTGGATGCAGGCGCCATGGTGGCCCTGGCCCAGAACTGGACCACAGTGGCCCCCCAGCGGAAGTGCGTTATTGACATCCTCACGGAGCCCAGGTGAGGATTGGACCCTGCTGGGCTGGGGGTGGTGGCTTCAGAGCTGTGGGGGTAGTGCTGGTTGCTCTGTGCTTGAACACTCAGCTTCATGGTGACATTGGCATGTGACCATGGTGACATTGTCTCTTCACTCAGAGACATTGGCAAGCGGCTGGAGGTGCGCAAGACGGTGACTGCGTGCCTGGGTGAACCCACTCACATCACCCGGCTGGAGCATGCTCAGGCGCGGCTCACCCTGTCCTACAACCGCCGCGGTGACCTGGCCATCCACCTGGTCAGCCCCATGGGCACCCGCTCCACCCTTCTGGCTGCCAGGTGCCGGCCCTGTTCCCTGCCCTCCTTGTCCTGCCTCCCCTGCTCCCTGGCAACTCCCATTCACAGTCCCCTGACACTTGTCATAACTACTCAATGGGACACTGGTGGCACTTGGAGAGGGCCAGCTTTGTTCTGTGTGAGGCCATGTCCTAGGAATTGCTAGCTTCCATGCATTTAGGGCCAGCAGCATGTGTTCCCATGTAAAGTGCTTTACACCGCTGTGGAGTCCCCTGGCGGAGTCCACCTGGGCCCCAGGAATCAGCCAGCAAATAGGCATTTCCGGCTCAGCAGAGTTGGTGGCACATGGGGGCACGAGTTCATGGCCCTGGGCCTGGGTTGGGTGTCCCTGGTCTGGGGGTCCACAAGGCTACAGATGGCTGTATATACCCCTTCCTCTAGGCCACACGACTATTCTGCAGATGGGTTTAATGACTGGGCCTTCATGACGACCCATTCTTGGGATGAGGACCCATCTGGCGAGTGGGTCCTGGAGGTTGAAAACACCAGTGAGGCCAACAACTATGGTATGAGGTCCTAGGGGTGCTGGGTTGGGGGACACGGGGTGTGGAGGTGGGTTGGTGGGGCCTGGGATGCCTGTGGTGCTGAACCTCCTGAATCCCGTCTCTGCCTCCAATCTGGGACAGGAACACTGACCAAGTTCACTCTCATACTATACGGCACAGCCCCTGAGGGCCTCCCTACATCTCCTGAGAGCAGCGGCTGCAAGACCCTCACGTCCAGCCAGGCCTGCGTAGGTCAGTAGTGAGGTATGGGGTGGGAGCAGGGCAGGGGCAACAATCTTAAAGTCCAGCTGTAGGAGGAAGCAGCATCTCAAAGGACCCTGGGACTTGCCAGGCATGTGGTGCAGGCCTGTCATCCCAGCCCACTGTGGGCTAAGGGAAGGAGGACTGCAAGTTTGAGCCTAGCCCGGGCACTTTAGCAAGACTCTGTCTCAAAATAAGGGCTGAGAATGCAGCTCAGTCTAGAGATCCTCCATGCAATTCCTAGAACCACATATAAAAGAGACAGAGACCCAGGGACTCTTGGGCCCGGTGCTTGGGGTTGCAGGTCCCTGGGACTGGCATAGACCTGAGCTGTGGACTTAACGTAGCCCCAAAGCCGTGGCCACTTGGCCAACACCTTTCCTTCTCTCCCATGCTGGCAGTGTGTGAAGAAGGGTTCTCCTTGCACCAGAAAACCTGTGTCCAGCACTGTCCACCAGGCTTCACACCTGAAGTCCTTGACACCCACTACAGCACCGAGAATGACGTTGAGACCATCCGGGCCAGTGTCTGTGCTCCCTGCCACCCATCCTGTGCCACGTGCCAGGGCCCAGCCCCCACAGACTGCCTCAGCTGCCCCAGCCATGCCTCCCTGGATCCTGTGGAGCAGACGTGCTCCCGGCAGAGCCAGAGCAGCAGAGAGTCCCCGCCAGAACAGCCACCGCAGCTCCCGAGTCTTACCCAAGAGATGGAGGCTGAGCCGAGGCCTGTAGCTGGCCTGCTACCCTCACATCTGCCTGAGGTGATAGCCGGCCTCAGCTGCGCCTTCATCGTGCTGGTCTTTGTCACCGTCTTCCTGGTCCTGCAGTTGCGCTCGGGCTTCAGTTTCCGGGGGGTGAAGGTGTACACGATGGACCGTGGCCTCATCTCCTACAAGGGACTGCCCCCCGAGGCCTGGCAGGAGGAGTGCCCGTCTGACTCAGAGGAGGATGAGGGCCGGGGCGAGAGGACCGCCTTTATCAAAGACCAGAGCGCCCTTTGATGAGCCCACCGCCAGCCCCCTCCAGCCCTCTCCAGCCCATCCTCTCCTTGGGCACTTTTTAATTCACCAAAGTATTTTTTTATCTTGGGACTGGGCTTGGACCCAGTTAGAGGGGCAGAGGGGCAGAGACTGCTTCCCACCCACCTTTGGGCCCACCTGGCTGCTGAGCTGGGCCCAGGTCAGCTGGAGAGCAGGGGAGGGTCTCTCCTTCCCTTCCCCCTCATGGGAGGACGGAGCCACACCTGAGGGGTAGCTGGCAGGGGCAGCTAGCTGAGGCTGAGCTGAGGCCGGGGCCTGCAGAGGTCCTGTGGAGGGAAGGGCAGCCCTTCTGTGAATTCCACGCCTGGTGCAGCTCCTGCACCTCCTGTCCCTCTAAAGCAATAATGGTCCCCATCCAGGTGGCAGGGAAGCTGGCCTCGGAGGGATTTACAGGAGGTGGCCACTTCTCCAAGGGCTTTTGCATCCCTGACACTGTCCCACACCTCTGGTGACCTTCAGCAGAAATAGTGATCACAGGAAGGGACCAAGTGAGGCAGGTTCTTCCAGATGTGTACCGGTGGCGGTGTCCCATCACTCTGCCCTCCTCTGTGCCCCAGCCTCCACTGGGCCAGGCCACGCTGGGCAGGCCTGAAATGGTAGCCTGCCTACCCTGTACTCTCCAGCACCCTTCCCTCCTCCAGGGCCCAAGCCCCTGTTTTCTGAGCCCCGGGCCACCTGGGCTGTTGGCACTCACAGTCCCGGAGCCCCTGGGTGGGTGGTGGGGAGGGACGGTGGCCAGCCCGGCCCCTCCCGCCTCTCACCCAATGCTGCTTTCCCCTGTGGGGATCTCAGGAGCTGTTTGAGGATATATTTTCACTTTGTGATGATTTCACTTTAGATGCTGATGATTTTTTTTTTTTTTGTATTTGTAATGGGGGTAGCAGCTGGACCACTCACCTTCACCCCCACTGCCCACTCTGCTCTCCCCAGCTGCCCAGCCCTGAGGCGGAGGGGGCTGCAGTGTGCTGCTGAGGCCCAAGTGCTGAGGGCCAGGCCAATGGGGTGGGCTCCAGGAAAGGGGGTCACGGCAGGAGGGGCAGGCGGACATCTGTTTAAAACAGGGCTTGTGGGTCACCAGTTTTCCAAGTCCAGGGGTGGCACCAAGCTCCCTCAAACACTGTGCCCTGACAGAGCACTGACCTGCCATGCCCCCCCAAACCCCTCTTCTGACGTGCCTTTTGCACCCCTCCCATAGGACAATCAGCCCCCTTCCCCCCAGGAACCCCTTTTTATTTTTCTCCCCAGTCCTTTGGGGTCCCCGGCCACCTGCCCAGGGGTGCCCCCTCTTCCATACCCTCTGTGGCCATCCCAGCTGTTTTTGTAAGATTCTGGGTTGGTGCACAGTGGTTTTTTTCCTTGTAATTTAAAAAGGCCCAGCATTGTTGGTTCTATTTAATGGACACGAGATAATGTTAGAGGTTTTAAAGTGATTAAACGTGCAGACTATGCAAACCAGGCTGGTCTCCAGTGTGGTGATGTTTCCCCATCCCAGAGGGCAGGGAGGAGCTGTCCTGGTCCCCATAGGTGGGCCTGAGGCGAAGGGCCACGGCCAGCCCCTGTGAAGAGGGACAGGTTGTGGGGGGAGCGAGCCTCTGGGCTTCAGGAGCTGAGCGGGGTACAGGGTGAGTGACCTGTGCTTAGTGACCATCCTCTCCCTGGGCTGCAGTGACTGGCTGCCTGCTAGCCATAGGCCTGAAGCCCAGGGTGATTCACAAGGGCGGAGCTTGAGGCCCACCTGGGAAAGTGCAGGCTTCCGCCCTCACCCCTCCGCTACTCCTGCAGCCCTAGGTTCTGCAGGGCACAAAAGCTGCTGCTGCCGCCTGGGTGGAGCGGGTAGAGAGAGTACTTGAGAAGCAGGCTTCTCCTCGGGATATTTACTTGGAAATTTTATTCAAATAGAGCTGGCGCATAGCTCTCCTTGGGGAATCTAGTGGGGTGGGGAGGGCCCAGACTAGCTTCCCCCTTCCGCTTCTGGGTGCCCCACTGTTCACAACCTTTGGACAAGTGGCTGCTCCGAGCCCGCCCCTGTGCCCCCTCTGCCGGCTTCAGGCCCCTCTGCCGGGTCCCGGGACTTGCTGGCCCTGGGGAGTGAGCTTGCCCACAGGCCTCTCAGCTCTGCTCTCTCGGCCATTCTTTCCCAGCCGCCGCCTCCTCCCTTCCGTTTCCGAGGGTGGCTGCTGTGGCCCAGCGCGGGGCAGAAAGGCCGGCGGGGGCTCGCCCGCCCCTTCCCCTCAGTGGCCCGCCCTGATCTGGGCCAACTGAAATCGCCCGGAGGAGGAAGCACCAACCAGGAACTGGCCGGCCGGCCGGGTTGGCGCGGCCTGAGTCCGTTGGTCCACAGCCTCCCAGAGGCAGGAGCAGCTGGCTTGCAAGGGTAACTGCAGGGGTGCTGGGGGCTTTGTAGAGTAGGGCCCCAGGAGATGACAGCCGCCGGGTAGGGATGGGCTACAGAGGGCAGGACAGCCCCAGTAGCCAGGTTGTGGCTGTGGCCCCGGGCGCCTCCAGCTTGGGGAGATCCAGCCCAGTACAGGCCTGTGTAGTGGTGCTGGGTACAAGGACCCCAGGAGGGAGGGTCCAGGGCATTCGTGCTCTAGGATTGGAAAGGGGACTTCTGGCTGGGCTTTGGCCTAGGGTCCAGGAAGCAGTGAGGGCCAGCCTCAAGCTGAGCTGTTTTTGCTGGGCATGACCCCACTCACCCCCTGCAGTCCCCAGCTCCTCCCTAGGGCTCCCAAACCTCTTTGTTATGCTCCTCCATCTCCAGCTGCCGACTTACTCCAGTGATAGTATCTTATTTGCCCTCAGGACGCCACCATGGGCTTCTCTTCAGAACTGTGCAGCCCCCAGGGCCATGGGGCAGTGCAGCAGATGCAGGAAGCTGAGCTTCGCTTGCTGGAAGGCATGAGGAAGTGGATGGCCCAGCGGGTCAAGAGCGACCGGGAATACGCGGGGCTGCTCCACCACATGTCCCTGCAGGACTCAGGGGGCCAGAGCCGAAGCAGTGGCCTGGACAGCCCCATCAGCCAGGTGAGCTCTGCCAGTGCTGCTCTGTCTGCCCGTTCCCTTCCTGAGCCGCTTGGGGTGAGACTGCAGATCTAGCAGGCTCAGAAGCCACTGTCCCTTCTCCCTGCCTCCTCCACTCCACAGTCCTGGGCTGAGATTACCAGCCAGACAGAGGGGTTGAGCCGAGTGCTTCGGCAGCACGCGGAGGACCTGAACTCGGGGCCCCTGAGCAAGCTGAGTTTGCTGATCCGGGAGCGGCAACAGCTGCGCAAGGCCTACAGCGAGCAGTGGCAGCAACTGCAGCAGGAGCTCACCAAGGTGGGGACCAGCGCAGGGCCTCAATGGTCGCTGTCACCCACGCAGCCTTGGAGGGGTGGCTTGTGCAAGGGCCCCAGCATTCACAGGGGAAGTACAAGTTCCTGACCACGCGAGGCGAGCCAAGCCTAGGACGGAAGGCCAGCTCCTTGGCCACTTCCTCCCTCCTCACCCACCCCCCGGGGGCGGCCTGCAGCCTCAGCATTGTCTGGTCCTGGCAGGCCCCGGGAGTTCTAGGACTAATGAGGCCCTTCTGCCTAGGAGGAGCTGGGGTAGTGACACTGCCAGACTCTGGGGTCCTGCAGACAGCAATGTGGCCACCACTGCCAAGCAGTTGGCCTGCCTGGGTCTGAATCCTTCAGCTCCTCAGTTGCAGGCCTGTGATTTAGAGCTACTGTTACTTCTCTGGGTGTTCCAGTCCCTCCACTGTCCAGCACCACCTCCCTTTCAACAATGCCAGCTGGCCTGGCCATGCACCCACAGCGGCCTCTGGTGGCCAGCCTGGCCTTCATGCCTGGTACCATCTAATGCAGGGGCTTCCCACTTGTGTAAAATTGGAGGGGAACACAATCATGCCTGCTGGTTTTCATGTCGATTTTGGCTGTTGTAAAGCTACAAGGGCAGAAATGAGTTATTGCAACAGAGACCCTGTGGCCTACAAGCCTAAAAATATTTACTATTTGGTCCTTTAAAGAAATTGGAATCAGACCTGTGGCACATATCTGTGATCCCATACTTTGAGAGGCTGAGGCAGGAGGATCACATATTTGAATCTTGCTTGGGCAACTTAACAAGATTCAAAATAAAAAGGGCTGGGGATGTAAGTAGCGCAGTGTAAAGGTCCTGGGTTCAACTCCCAGTACCAAAGAAAGAAAGAAAGAGAAAAAGAACGAAAGAAACAATGAAAAAAGAAAGAGACTGGTCTGGTCTATGCCTTTAGCTCAGCTCCAGAGGGGGAAACTGAGGTTCAGAGGAGTGCAGTAGAGCTTGTCAGTGTGTCCCCACACCTAGCAGAACAGGAAAGGCAATCCTGGTCTCGGACTGCATTCTTGTTCCTGTTGCCAGGAACATGATTTGCCTGACTCTGGGGCGAGGCCAAGTGCAGAGGAAAATGGGGGGCTCCTTTGTTAAGAAACAAAGGACAGAGGCACATGCAAAACAAGCTCAGGATCCTTTGTTGGAGCCCTGAATAGCCACTAAGGCCACACAGAACCTGAAGCTGACCCTCTCTGCCTCCCCCAGCTGCCTGTCTATAACTGTCAGGGCCTTTTCTCCGAGCTCAATCCCCAGTCACTCTTTTATTTCTTATTTTGAGGCTGTCATTAAATTGCCCTGGGTGGGTTTGAACTTGTGATCCTCCTGCCTCTGCCTCCCAGAGTACTGACATTATAGCCGTGGGCTCTCACACCCAGCTTCACATCACGGCCTTCTGAAGTCTCTAGGCCTTTCCAGGAGGATGGCCTTCACGTACAAGAGGACTGTCCATCCCTAACACTGGCCACCTCTGTCCCATCAGACCCACAGCCAGGACATTGAGAAGTTGAAGAGCCAGTACCGAGCTCTGGCCCGGGACAGCGCCCAAGCCAGGCGCAAGTACCAGGAGGCCAGCAAAGGTCTGTGGCTTCCCTCACGGCAGGGAGGGGACATCAAACCACTGCTGACCTGCTGCAGTGCTGACACCCGCACCCCTCCCCGCTCTTGCCACCAATAGACAAGGATCGGGACAAGGCCAAGGACAAGTATGTGCGCAGCCTGTGGAAGCTCTTTGCCCACCACAACCGCTACGTGCTGGGCGTGCGGGCCGCGCAGCTGCACCACCAGCACCACCACCAGCTCATGCTGCCCGGCTTGCTGCAGTCCCTGCAGGACCTCCACGAGGAGATGGCACGCGTGCTGTGAGCCCTGCCCCACTCAGAACTTTCATTTGGGTCAGAGTGCTGGCTGCATGGTCATAGGAGAATGGTCCTGGGCTGAGGCCCTGGACCAGTCCACCTATGTACACCCAAATTAATATGCCAGTGCCCTTACCTCAGGGTGCTGGGGGTGGGTTTGTTTATGGTACTGGAGATTGAACCCCAGGGTATGTTGAGCTATACCCCTTACCAATTTTTTTTTTTTTTTTTTGGTACCAGGGATCAAACTCATGACCTTGCACTTAACAGGCAGGCACTTGAGCCACTGAGCTAAATCCCCAGCCCATCCCTTACCCTTTTTAAAGTTTATTTTGAGATAGTCTCACTAAATTTCTCAGACTGGGCTCAGACTTGTAGCCCTCCTTCCCTAGCCTGCTGGGATTACAGGTGCAGGTCACCACCCCTGCCCATCACAGGGTTGTATCACATTGATTCAGCCCCATGCTAGGCTCTGGGATACAGCAGAGAATAATGCAGGCAAAGACATCTGTCCTCAGTGATCTATGCTAGGGAAAGGAAGGGAGCAGAAACAGGGCAGTGGTGCACACCTATATAATTCCAGCTTCCGCAGAAGCCAGGGCACAAGGATTGAAAGTTGAGTCCAGAGGGCTGGGGATTTAGCTCAGCGGCATAAGTGCATAAGCCGCATAAGCAGGCGGTCGTGAGTTCGATCCCCGGTACCGATAAAAATGAAAAAGACAAAAAAAAAAAAAAGCAAGTTGAGTCCAGACTGGGCAGTTTACCAAGACTGTCTCAAAGTAAGAAAGGAATGCAAACGGGCCCAGTAGTACAGCACTTGCTGAGCATGTGTGAAGCCCTGGATTCTGTCCCCAGCTCCTGTGTGTGCTTGTATGCGCACATATAACACACACATGGTCAAAGCAGGTCCGAAGCAAGTGCTACAGAAAAAACTAAATCTAACCCGGGAGATTGGGTGGGCTGAGGGCCTGGGGAGGAGTTAGTTTTAAATGACCAACAGGCCCTCTTTGAAAGGGTGACATTCAGAAAAATACCAGGGAGGTGTGGAAGTGAACCATGGGTCTGTGTGGAGAAAGACATTCCAGACTGGGACCCCAAGGGGACAGATGTGTGGAGAGGGTATCAGAGAGAAGTCAGACCCAGGAGGCTCAGCGGAGTGCTGGCTGAGGGCAGGGTCAGGCAGACCCAGGCTGGACGAACTGGGTTAGAGGCTATCGGGTGACAGAGGCTCTGACAGACCTCTGTGCGGACTGTTTGATAAGGTCGCTCTGCAGGATGGGGTGGTGCACACCTATAATCCAGCACTGAGGTGGGCCAAGGCAGGAGGATCACAAATTTGAGCCCCACCTGGGCAATTTAGTGACTTCGGAAACCACGTCTCAAAATAGGAAATAAAAAGGGCTCAGGATTGAGTTTGACTTCAATACAAATGCTCGGGGTTCAGTGTCTAGTACTTTAAAAAATAAAATAAAAGCCACTCTGGCTGTTGTGGTACAGATAGACTTCAGGGACCAAGGACAGAGGCAGGGAGACCAGACAGAAAGGAGGCTTTTATGGGGATCCAGGGCCCAGGGTGGTGCGAAGAGGTGAAAGGCCATCAGGCCAGGTCCAGGGTGTATTTTGAAGGCAGCGCAGGCGAATTTGCTTGTAGATTCTGAGACTAAGACAAGCGAGGCTGCCTGACCCCCTGGAGTATCTGGAGATGGAGTTACCATTAGCTGGAAGACTTCAGTGGCCCAAGAGGGAGTGTGTGCTTCGGCTGGGTGTTTAGGGGGTCTGTGTTCAAGATCGCTTTGAGTAGGTGGTTGTATGCGTGAGGCCAGGGCAAGGGGAGCTGAGGGGACTGCTGCCCAGGGAGCACAGAGTCATAGCACTTCGCTAGCTTACAGTTGTGGGGGTCCAGTCCCCAGCTCTGGGGCTGACTGCCAGGGCAGGCAACTGCAGCTCACATATTGTGAGACCCCTGGGCTGCCAGACACTGTGCACAGGTTCCCACCTTATAGGTCCTTATAGGACTGCAGCACACCCCATGAGCAAATCAGGAAGTAGGAGCCCAGGAGAGGTCAAATACTAGGCCTGTCATGTGACTGTCCCCTGCAGTAAGGTGGGGTCAAACCCAGTATCCTAGGTTGAATTGTTCACTTTGGCCAGCCCCAAAGCCTCCCTGACTGGTGGACCTGTCTTGGGGGACAGGAAGGAGATCCTGCAGGAATACCTAGAGATTAGCAGCCTGGTGCAGGATGAGGTGATGGCCATTCACCGGGAGATGGCTGCAGCTGCGGCTCGCATCCAGCCCGAGGCTGAGTACCAGGGTTTCTTGCGACAATATGGGTAAGCACATCCGCCCTTGCACCTGCTGAGCCAGGGCTGCCGGCGTCTTCACTGAAGGGACCTTGTCCACCTCTAGCTCCACCCCGGATGTCCCACCCTGTGTCACCTTTGATGAGTCACTGCTTGAGGAGGGTGAGCAGCTGGAGCCCGGAGAGCTGCAGTTGAACGAGCTGACTGTAGAGAGTGTGCAGCACACGTGAGTGGTGGTCTGGATTGGGCCCTGGGAGTTCCTTGTAGACCACGGGTGTTATGTGGGCAGGTGGGAAGTGAGCTCTATTGCGCTGAACCTCAGCAGCTGCGCAGCCTGCTTGGTTCTGCAGGACACATTCGAGCTGCAACTCTGACAAGGCCCTGCCTTGGCTGCAGGCTGACCTCAGTGAATGATGACCTGGCGGTGGCCACCGAAACCACGCTGAGCCGGAAGGAGGTGGTCAGCCAGCTGCAGCGAGAGCTCTGGAGTGAGGAGCAGAACACACATCCCCGGGAGCGGTGAGTGGGTCCCCCCAACACCCCGCTAGCTCCTCGTCCTGATGGCCTCCCCTGTGGCTGCAGACCGAGGTTGGTCTCTCACAGGCTGCCCGCCTGCTGGCCTACAGGGTGCAGTTGCTGGGCAAGAGGCAGGCATTGCAGGAGGCACTGCAGGGGCTGCAGGTTGCCCTGTGCAGCCAGGCCAAGCTGCAGGCCCAGCAGGAGCTGCTGCAGACCAAGCTGGAGCAGCTGGGCCCTGGTGAGCCCCCAGCTGTGCTGCTCCTGCAGGATGACCGCCACTCCACCTCATCCTCGGTGAGCGCCGCTCCCCTGCCCGCCAGCCATGTCCCCCACAGCCGTGCGCTCAGGGGCCGTGCTCCTCATTTTCACCCTCCCCCTCCCCAAGCCTGGCCACCCGCTGACGTGTGTCCCTGGCCTCAGGAGCAGGAGCGAGAGGGGGGAAAGACACCCACGCTGGAGATCATCAAGAGCCACTTCTCGGGAATCTTCCGCCCCAAGTTCTCGGTGAGTGGTGCCCAGCCCAGGGCCTGGACCTAAAGGGTGGGCCAGGTTCAGGGTCTGCTTCCCTTGGTTTTCTGGGCTGAGTCATGGGAATGTTCCAGGACAATACCCCACCCGGACTGCTTTATTGGGGTGCCCCTCTCCTCTTGAAGTCCAGGCTGCTTACGTTCCCAGTGCCTGCCACTCCATGCCCTTCTGGGCTCCCCATCTCAGGGACTAGTAGCCTTGGTTGTCCCTCTGCTCTTCCTTCTCCAGAGAGCTTGTGACCTGGAGGAGAAGGTACACAGATAGCTGTGTGTGCTACTTGGGGGCTATGAGGACTTAGTGGGTAAACAGAGACTCAAGGTCCAGTTGCCTCCCCTGAGTGACTCTAACCACTTCTTCCCACACGTGTCCAGCTCCCCCCACCACTGCAACTGGTTCCCGAGGTGCAGAAGCCCCTACATGAGCAGCTGTGGTACCACGGGGCCATCCCACGGGCGGAGGTGGCTGAGCTGCTTACGAACTCCGGGGACTTCCTGGTGCGGGAGAGCCAGGGCAAGCAGGAGTATGTGCTGTCAGTGCTGTGGGATGGCCTGCCACGCCACTTTATCATCCAGTCCTCCGACGTGAGTGGGGCCCCGGGCTACCTGCCTACCAGGGGATGACCATGAGCAGGCAGGGAGTGGCTGGCACATCTTAAACGCCTCCCTATCCCTGCCGGACAAAGCTGGAGGCCACCTGGGTCCCTGCAGCAGGAGAACGACTTAGCATGTGTCCTCCCCTAAGAAAAGGTGACCATGCTGGAGATACAGCTCAGTGGCATAAGCGCCTGCCTGGCAAGTGTAAGATCATGAGATGAATTCCTGGTACATCCCACACACACAAAAAATGGTGGCCTGATTGTCACATGTCACATGCTTGTGTCTGTTCTGTGGGCCTCTCTGCCTTGTCCCTTCTCCCTGCTCTCTCCCTGTCCATCAGTCAGCAAGGAGGCTGCTGACGCCAGGCCCTCTCTCCGCAGAACCTGTACCGCCTGGAAGGCGACGGTTTCCCCACCATCCCCCTGCTCATCGACCACCTGCTCTGCTCCCAGCAGCCCCTCACCAAGAAGAGTGGTGTTGTCCTATATAGGGCTGTCCCCAAGGTGAGCTTGTGGCCTTAGGGAATGGGGACTGTGGGTCAGGGTGCCACAATGGAACAGCAAGGGCACACATTATCCAAAACCCACATTCAGGCTGTGACTGCGTGTTCTGGGTAGTACTCACCTGGTGGGGCACCTCAAGTGTGATCCCGACTGGGGGAGCACGATCCTGATCAGGCCAAACCCCGTCAGACATAGCCTCACACAGAGGTTCCAGGAAAAGATGGCGGACACCTCCCCAGAGCCTGGGGCCCTGCTCTGTACTTACTGTGACACTCTGACTCTTCTTCCCAGGACAAGTGGGTGCTAAACCATGAGGACTTGGTGTTGGGCGAGCAGATTGGGCGGGTGAGTTTGCATCTTTCCCTCCCTGCCACTTGCTCTGGGCCATCCCCAGGCCCTGCATCCGGAGACCTCTCGGTCTCCCAGGTGGTTCTGTCCGGTACCATTGGCTCCCTTGCCCAGCCACTGCCATTAGCTGTCCCCTGGGAATGGAGTACCTGCCCCAAACTCCTCACTAGCACCCCAGCTCCTGCCCTCATATGAGCTGTAAACTGCCTGCCTAGGAAGGAGGTTGCTTTTCAAATGCAAAGGAGAGTGGCCCTGGCTCTCCCTTGACACCTCTGAGGATGCGGCATGTCACAGGTGACTGTCCTGCCCACCAGCGCAAAGCTCTAGAGAGCTAGGGGAGCAAGTCTGAGCTTGGGGGCTGAACACAGAGAGCTGGGGACCAGGGACTGTCCCCTGAGCACAGACAAGACCGAAGCACCGGAAGCTCTGGTAGGAACCCGAGACCATTTCAGGGCAATTTTGGCGAAGTGTTCAGCGGGCGGCTGCGAGCTGACAACACGCTGGTGGCAGTGAAGTCTTGTCGGGAGACGCTCCCTCCCGACCTCAAGGCCAAGTTCCTGCAAGAAGCCAGGTGAGTAACAAATTAAAGACGACCAGAGGTTCCATTCCAAAGTGTTCCTCTGCACGAGGCCCAGTGTAAAGTGTTTGACCTCACTGGTGGCGCTGAACCCTCCCAGCCCCCTCACACCTTGTAGCACTCTGTCCCCATAAATAGAGCCAAGGCTGCCAGGGGGTCCACCCTATCATGCATCCAGGGCCGATGGCCTGTAAGGCCAGGTTGTCATCCCCTGACTCTGAGGTGCTTCTCATGACCTTGGGGCTTGTGGAGGGAGACGGGCAGGGATGCCGGGAGCTGAGCACTGGCACCCCCCAGGATCCTGAAGCAGTACAGCCACCCCAACATTGTACGGCTCATTGGTGTCTGCACCCAGAAGCAGCCTATCTACATCGTCATGGAGCTGGTGCAGGGTGAGTGTGGTGCCCGTCTCGGGGTGGGAACTCAGCCAGCCAGGTGTCCCTAAGGCTCAAGGCTGCCCCTGTCCAGGAGGCGACTTCTTGACCTTCCTTCGGACTGAGGGAGCCCGCCTGCGCGTGAAGATGCTGCTGCAGATGGTGGGGGACGCGGCCTCAGGCATGGAGTACTTGGAGAGCAAGTGCTGCATCCACCGGTGAGCCGGCCTGACCTGGGTATCAGCTCCACGCCCCACAAGCGGCACCTTCGTTCCTGGCTTTGTCTGGGTGCGCTGCCCAGCCCAGGCAGGTGACATTGGCTGAAGGAGTCCCCTGCTCTGCCTCACCCAGGGACCTGGCTGCTCGGAACTGCCTGGTGACAGAGAAGAATGTCTTGAAGATCAGCGACTTTGGGATGTCCCGGGAGGAGGCTGATGGGATCTATGCAGCCTCAGGGGGCCTCAGACAAGTCCCTGTGAAGTGGACCGCCCCTGAGGCCCTGAACTACGGTAGGTACCTGCTCCTCATCCAGCCCAGGCTGCAACGGGGAGGCCAGTGGACAGGGTGACGGGGACAGCTCCTTCATGCCGCCCCATCCCCTCCACAGGCCGATACTCCTCTGAGAGCGATGTGTGGAGCTTTGGCATCTTGCTCTGGGAGACCTTCAGCCTGGGGGCCTCACCCTACCCCAACCTCAGCAACCAGCAGACGCGGGAGTTCGTGGAGAAGGGTAAGGTACTGCCTATGGCATTAGCCTGTCCCACTGGAGCCCAGGAGCTGTCACCCTCTGAGAGGCTGAGACAGCAGGATCAAAAGTTTGAGCCCAGCTTGGGCAACTCAGTGATTTAGTGAGGCTCTATCTCAAAACACACACACACACACACACACACACACACACACACACACACACAAAAAGGATAAGACAATGTAGCTCAGTGTGAAGGCCCTGGATTCAGTCCCCAGTATCACACACACACACACACACACACACACACACACACACACAAAAAAAAAAAAAAAAACCAAAAAAGAGAATCACCCTGTAGTTCCCTGCGTGGAGCACCTGTCTGTGCCAGGCCGTGCCTTAGCACATTTGCCCTTCCCACACGTGAGGGGGATCAGTGTGTCCCTTTTGCAAATGGAAACACTGAGCCTTACAGAGTCACACAACCAGCACGTGGGGAGGTGGAGACAGAAGTCAGATCTCTATCTTGTGGTCAGTGGTGTAAACAAGACAGGTCTGTGTGAGTGGCCCCAGGCGGTTCTCACGCCCAGTGCCTTCCCTGTCCTCCCAGGGGGTCGCCTGCCCTGCCCGGAGCTGTGTCCTGATGCCGTGTTCCGGCTCATGGAGCAGTGCTGGGCCTATGAGCCTGGGCAGCGGCCGAGCTTCAGCACCATCTCTCAGGAGCTGCAGAGTATCCGGAAGCGACATCGGTGAGGGCGCCAGCCCATGGTGCCTGCAGGCCGAAGTGTGCCTCCTCCTCCGCGATCTCTGGTCACACTGAGAGCAGCACCCCACGGTCCTGGGCTCCAACCCCCAGCACCCTCACTGCTGCAGGGGCAGCCCTAGGTCCACTCTGGCCCCTGCTCCTGCCGAGGCGTCCTTCCTTGGATAGAAACAATAAAACCACTGTGCCTTTCAGGTGCTCTTGGCTTCGCGGTTTTTTGGAGGGCTGGGCCAAGGGGCAGGCAGAGCTGATTGGGTAGCAGTGGAGGCGCCCAGGCTGAGAGCTTAAGGTCATGGACAGACTTTGGCCAGATGGTGGCGCTGTCCGCCAGGAAGGCGGCCAGAGAAGCAGAACTGTGGGGAGAAGGGGGAGTTTAGCACTTAGAGATGTCCCTTGGAGGATCTAAAGAGTACCGAGTGAAGAGATGGGTCTGGAAGCCCACATGGAAATGTGAAAGCCATTGGGTCGTAAATGTCAGAGACACTTACGGCTGACACTGTGGATTTGGACCAGTCACATCAGTTTGGTAGGAAAGGACGGACTAAGGTCCACTCTAGGACAGATGTGGCCCAAGAGGGAAAAACTTCTCTGAGGCGTTCCTCTCCAGACTGCGTCCTGGGTGCTGAGCTGGAGATTGGGGAGCCCTTGCCCACTCCCCCAAGTCCCTCTGAGACCTTGCTAGCAGAATCAGTGAAGGCCAAGAAGACACAGTAGCTTGGGGCTGAACTGCAAAACAAGAACCGGGAAAGACTTAACATGTAAGAACACAAGCAATAGGAATCATGCAGCTTTAGGCAGGGAGTTGCATGTCTGTAATCCCAATACTCAGGACGCTGAAGCAGGAGGACTGCAATTTCAAGGTCATGGTTTACAAAGAACCATCAAATAGGCCTGGTGGGTAGCTCAGTGGTAGAGCACTTGTCTAGTGTACATAATGTCTCGGGTTTCATTCTCGGCACCAAACACACACACACACACACACTTTAAAAGAAAAAAAAAAACATGAAGTAAAGTGGCCATCCCTTAAAATCAGAAAGTGGTTTACGTCAAAGAGGAGTTTTAGCCCAATAACTTGGTTTTCCTTTTTGTTTGTTTTTTTGGTATCTAGAATCGAACTCGGGACCTTGAGCTTGCCAGGCAGGCAGTTATGCTGCTGAACTAAATCCCTGACCTGAGCTAAATCTCCAGCCCAATAACTTGTTTTAAAAGAAGAAACTGGGAACTGGGTTGGTGTCACACAACTGTCATCCCAGCACTAAGGAGGCCAAGGGAGGAGGACCAGAGTAGGCAGATGCAAGGCCAGCCTGTGAGACTGTGTCCAAAAAAATAAAAATTAAAAACTGGGGGCTGGAGTTATAGCTCAGTGGTAGAGCTTGGGCTTGGCATACCCTTGGGTCCTTGGATTCAAACCCAGTACTAAACAAATGAAAAAGGGGAAATATTTGAGATCTGAGAGCTGGAAGTGGTGAGAGCTTAAACACTTCTGCTTCTGGGTAGTTTGTAGGAAATCTCCACAGGCCACCTTCGGCCCCATCACAGCAGCTGGGGAGAAACAGACACAAGGGAGTTCATTTTATTTTTAAAAGAACAGAAAGAAGTGGAAAGAAATACAGATGACTAAATTTCCAAGAAGGAAAGAGTCCTCCTCCCAAGGTGAGCTGGCGGTAGGTGGCCATTTCATTCCCTGAGACATTCGCTGCTTTTGGAACAATCCAAGAGGGCCACTCCAAAGGGACAGGGTGGTGAATGGCCATCAGTCCCTCAGAAATGCACCCAGACCCAGTCTTACATGGGGCGAAAAGGGAAGGCAATGAGACATTTGGCCAAAGGCCCGGAGAATTCACAGCAGCTCTCAGGCTGGCAAACTGGGTGCTAATGACTGACCTCAGGCTGCTTTGGGCCAAACCCACAGCGTGATCCAGGGGAGGTAAATCAGAAGCCGAGGCTGTGGCAGCAGGTCTTTACAGTGTGAGGGCAGTGGCGCGGCTGAGCTCATCTGGGGGCAGGAGAGGCGGCCCTGCAAGTCCACTGTGACCTCAGTCTGGATTCATAATCGAGATCGTGAGTTCCAAGATGATGAAACAGTTGCCCTGGTCACCGCATGTTTGGTCAGCGCTCCAGGCCGTGAGGGAAGGTAAGTATTTTCCTTCCATCTGGGGTGACTCCCAGGAAACCACTGAGCAACTGGGAAATAAGTTCCTCAAAATGAAAGCTGGGAGGGGGCCAAGATAACGCACAACAGATCACCGAGGGGGAGACCCCGGCAACATCCTAAAGGGAAGTGACGTCGTCACTATGGAGGCTGAGAAAAGCCCATGACAGGCGAGCGGGAGCCCCTAGGTGTTGGCAGAGGGACCCAGGTGAATCCCAAGATCTCAGAACCAGAGCAGCCAAAGCAGTAACCCTTGGTTCAATGCCAAAACCCTGAGAGCTCAGGCAGGAGGTTGCTGGTTTAAGTCCGGGAGTCCAAAGCTAAACATTCTGGACTTCCAGTGTCCAGGGCTGGAGTCCAACCTGTCCCAAGTAACCTTCTGTATTTATATGCCCTGGTCCTGGCCACACAGAGGGCAGGTCTCCCCCACCCTGCCTACGCAAGCTCCCAGCCCACCTCCTCTGGGGCCATGTGCCCTAATCAGCCTCTAGGCTTCCTCTGCCGTTGTAGACTCTGTGCCACAGGCCGCTGTGATGAGATATTGCCTACAACCTGCCCCAAGGATTTGCAAATGATCCTGCCACTCGACTATAAATCAACGTTGTTTAGGAGTGAGTTCCTTTGAGCTATTATACACCGAGTGGTAAAACCAAATGTACCCTGAGGATAGAATTTCCCATTTTTGAGACAGGGTCTCGCTATGTAGTTTGGACTGGCCTTGAACTTGTGGAGACCCTCCTGCCTCAGCCTCCTGAATGCTGGGATTTCAGCAGTGCACCACCAAAGCCTGGAAGAATAGATGTTTTCTTTTTTTTTTTTTTTTTTGTCTTTTTCCTTTTTATCGGTACTGGGGATCAAACTCACAACTGCCTGCTTGCAAGGCAGGAGCTTATGCCGCTGAACTAAATCCCCAGCCCCCAAGAATAGATGTTTTATATGTGCATAATGCTTCTCTTCATTGTAAGAGATGTTCCCAGTGGGGAAATGTCATGACTGGGGTGTGATAATTAAGATACAGACAAGTGGCCTGGCCAGGTGGAACCTGGGAGCAACCCAGGAGAGTGGGGGAACTACTCTGATGAAGCCACTTGGCTGGGGAGCCAAGCACCATCCACTTAGAAAAAGCACTTGGGACTGGCGCAGTAGCTGGCCCTAGGGGAACACCTGTGATCCCTGCTACTTGGGAGGCTGAGGCAGGAAGATTGCAAATTCCAGGCCACTGTAGGAAACTTAGTGATACTTTGTCTCCAAAAAAAAAAAAAAACTTTTTTGGGGTACCAGGAATCAAACTCAGGGTCTTGTGCTTTGCCAGGCAGGTGCTGTGTCACTGAGATACATCCTTGGTCCTCAGAAAAAATTTTAAAGGAGCTGAGGGTGTAGCATAGGGGTGGGATGCTTGCCTAGCATGCTTGAGGCTCTGGTATGCATCCCTGTACACCCCTCAGGTGAACCCAAGAGAGCCTCAGCACCCGATAGCAGTCTTTCCAGCAGTATGCTGGGCTCAGCCTGCTGGATAGGGCTACTCAAGAGGCCCTGCGGGCAGGACCCCAAACAACACCCAGCCTTAGGAACTACCCTCTCAAAGCCAGGCATGGCGGTACACACCTGAAATCCCAGTACTTTCTTTCTTTCTTTCTTTCTTTCTTTCTTTCTTTCTTTCTTTCTTTCTTTATAATAAGGAGCTTACTGTATAGGCTGAGCCTGACCTGAAACTCCCCATGTAGCCCAAGATGGCCTCAAATTTGAGATGCTCAAATGCTCTAAGCCTCCCAAGGGCTGGAATGACAGGCGTGTGCCCACATGCCCCGTACAGTTTCTGCTTTGTTATTGGGAGCTGGTGATCACTGAGAGACTAGGATATGTTTGTACCCCGATATCTTCACTGTGGGATGGGGCTGGAGCAGGGCAAACACCAAGGATGTGCCCTTGGCCCATCGAGCGTGTTTCCCAGGGGATATGCCGAGAAAGAGATAAACGGGGTCTGGCTGACTCAGAGGCAGCATCTGTGCCACCGCCTTGGGCTCAGCAAGGCCTCTGAGAATGTAGACCTGATCCCAGGTCAGCTGAGTTAATGACCAGTGGTGAATGCTGGACTGTTTACACGGTGTGTCCTCAGGGAAGACAGATTCAAGTTTTGCACAGGACAGGGGTCTCTCCCAAGGGCAGAGGTGTGGCTGTGGTGCTTGGCCTGAATGACTCCTGTCCATGGGGCTTTGCTACATTTCCTCTGCCTCAGAATAGCAGCCAGGGGCTGGCAGCCTTGTGCCTGGCCACAGGGCAACTGGATCATCAAGTCCCATCTCGTGCCAGAGGAGCATTAGGCTCTAGACTGAGGGGCACCCATGTCTGAAGGGGACCTCTCTGGAAATCGGGGGTGAAACCCTTTGGCCAGGAACATCAGTGGAACCAGCCACCTGGTCAGTGCTGTAAAGCCATGGTCACAGTCACATAGGACGTGACAGTACATCCAGGGCCATGGCCAGAACGGGCCTGGCCATCTGACCACATCAGGCCAAAGAGGCCCGGCTCATGTGCCTGCACATGAGCTGAGTTAACACACACAGCTGAGTGGCAAAGAGAGCTCCAGAGCTTGCGGTCCTGCACTGATCCTGGTTGGTAGCTGGGCTGGGTCTCCCACTTTCCTTCTGAGAGTACTCAGGATGTTGACTGCCATTTCTCCAGGCACGGGACAGTGACCCCCAGACGTGCAGCAGAGGGGAGTTGAGCTTCTCAGGGTCCCACATGGCCTTGGGTGCATTTTGGATGCCCAGGCGCATCCATCAGATGAGGGTGCTGCTGCCTTAGCAACCATGGAAGCTCAGCAGTGGGACCTGCTTGGGATGTTCACTGGGCATGTCTTGCCCTGTGTCACCGACAGGTGGCAGCATCAACAAATCTCAGAAAGGGCTTTCAAAGGCATGCTTGTTCTTCCTGTCTCCCTTCATGCCTACCTCAAGGACATAAGGCCCGGAACCTATGTTGGCAAAGGAGGTTGGAGAGTCTCACCTGATATTTCTCTTCCTGCCCTGCCGAACACAAACCAGACTATGCTGTGCAGCATGAGAAGCGATGGACAGTCGCACTGTGCTGGGTCCCTACTGGGCCATCCAGGGCACCTAGATAGCTGCCCACCCTCTCCTGTACCTGGCTTAGTGAACCAGGAGAGGTGGAGCAGTTTCTCAACTTGGAGCAGAAGTAGTGTGGCAGTAAGGTGGGCTCCAGGGACATCTGGGGCTCAGCTGGCCTGATTCCAGGTGGCAGGCCTGGTTGTGCAGAGCCTTTCAGGTGGGCCTGTTCATCACTGGACTGAATTACGGTCAGGAGATGTTGCTTCCAACAAACAGAAATCCTTTGGGCTGAGCTCTGTGCAATTCATCAGCTGTCTGATAAGGAGACCTAAGCTCCTGAAAATATTTGGAAATAATTCTTGGCAGGACAGGTGAAAGGCAGGGTGGCAGAGGTGACACTGCCAGACACAGCTGGGACACAGTGCTCTGAGACGCTTGCATGGCTCCCTAAGGGCCTAGCTCACACCTCCCTATAGGTGAGGCTGGACCACCGTGTAATCCCAGCCTCGGCAGGACGCTCTTCGAGGCCTCTTGCGCTATAGCAGGACCCCTCCCGAGCAAGCAGAGCCAACAGCCTGGGAAGGAGCCTCATCCCTTGTGGGCAACTGTGCCTGGCCATTTGGAGCCCCTCCCCCATCCCCTGGGTGCAGCCGCAGCCTGCAAACCTGCCCAGCGCCAGCTCAGTCTCCTCCTCATCAGAGACCTCCCACCATTCCTCCCACCCGCTCAGTGCTGTCCAGTGGTCCTAGGGTCCTAAGGAGCTGCCACCGCACCAGCCTGCTTTTGCAGTATGTGTAGATACTAAACTGCCTGGATCTACTCCAGCTTTCTGTCCCCTAACTGGGAACACACTTACACTTATGACCACAGCAATGGTACAGAACTCCCCCCAAAAGGTCTCCACGCTTCCTGAAAGTGAATTCTCACCCATGTCCCATAACTACTGACTTCTAAATCACTATATAGTATCTCTTCTAACTTTTCTGATTAGACTCATGCAAGAGTGTATACTCTTGTGTATCTGGCTGGGTCATACTCAGCATGTTTCGGTAATCATTACGTTCCTGCAGGTTCTTGTGCTTTGTTCCTTTTCATTGCTGAGTAGTCTTTCACCATGTGGATGTGCCATAACTAGTTTATCAGTTTACTTGGATGTTTTAGTTTTCAGTTTGGGTTGTGATGAGTAAAGTTGCTATAGACCATTGTACACCAAAAAAGATTGTGCCACATGTTGTAAATTATACCTTTGTTTAAAAAGAAAAAGTTAAAAGACAAATAAGAGCTCTTGAAAATTAATGTTTTCTTCAAAATGAAGAAATCACCCAGAAAAAAAAATGTCCCAGAACACAGGGCAAAATACAAAGCATCTGGCATTCTAGTTAGAATATAATCCTGAAAAAAATGTTACTGCTGGTGATAAAAGAAATGGAAGTTAAAAGAATGAGATGTTGCTTTGTATCTGGTTAAACAATTGAAAACTATTTAAGCGATATTTAGCAGTCGGGTTTTGGTCTTTTTTTTTTTTTTTTAAAAAAAAAACATTATTTCCTTTTTTGGTACCAGGAATCGAACTCAGGGCCTCATGTTTGCCAGGTAGGCACTGTACTGCTGAGCTACATCCCTGGCCCAACAATTGGTTTTGACTGCATAAATCCTTGGTACAGTCCTTTTGGGGAATCACAAAAAATCAATTCCCCCACCAGTCACATCAGGGCTTGTGTTTTGCCTAGGAAACCTCAGTGCTATGAATTTTTCCTAAGGCAATAGAATAGTTTATAAGCAGTAGAAATTTATTTTTCACAGTTCAGGAGCCTGAGAAATACAGTACCCAGACATGAGCTGATTCTGCGTGCGGCTGGTAGATGGCGCCTTCTAGCTGTACTCTCACAAGGTGGAAAGGACAAGGGAGCCCCCCAGTCCTTCTCCAGGGGGCACTAGTGCCATTGCTGCAGGCTCCCCTCTCACATTCCAACCGCCTGTAGGGTTAGGGGAGGAGGGGAGGTGGAGGAAGCTCCTATCAGGTGCAGCCAGGAGAAGAAAAGTTGGGCGTGGTGGCACACGCCTGTAGCGCCAGCACTATGGGAAGCGGTGGATAGAAGATTGCAAATTCAAGTCCAGCCTGGGGAATGCAACAATTTAGCAAGATCCTGTCTTGAAAAATAAAGGACTGGGATGTAGCTCAGTGTGATGGCCCTGTGTTCAATCCCTGGCACCGCTCGCGCGCACTCACACGCGGACTTTCTAGAGATGTCCATTGAAGCATGTTTTAGGGTGCTTTAAAATTATGCACAACCATTCGGTGGCAGGAAAGAGACACTCGCAATTGTGTGCGACAGACCAGCACCCCAACCCACAGAAGACCCTTTGCCCGAAGAGCCAAGTGCGGGACACCCGGGTCGCCTGCCCATGGGGGCGGCAGCAGAGGGCGCACCTCGCTCTCCGCGGGGCTAGTGGCGGGGAGGAGAAGCGTGTCTGCTCCTATGACAATGCATTCACTCTAGGAACACTCAGAAAAAATAAAAGTTGCGCGCCTCTGCGCGGGGCTGCACATGCGCAGTGCGGCCACCGGCGGCTCCGGGTCCAGGGCTCCGACGGCGGCGCCGGGCCGGGCCTGGCCGGGCCGGGGGCGCGGGAGCGGAGGCGGCGGCGGGGCGGGGCGGGGCGCGGCGGGCTGTGCCTGTCCCTGTCCCCGCGCGGTCCCCGCCCCGCGCGCTGCTGCGGACGCGCGGTGCGGGCCGGGCCGCGATGTGAGGCCCGGGCGGCGCCACGGTACTGGGGACGGTGGTCACAGAGCCAGGCAGGTGCCGCCCCACCAGCCCCCGCCTGGACCCGGCCGCGAGAGCTAAAAATACTTCTCGGAAGCTGCGGAGCGGAATCTGATAGCGCAAAGTAGGGCAGGACGCGGAGGCGGCGGCGGAGCGGCCGCAGGCCTCGCCCCGGCTGGTGGACCCCGGTCGCTGCCGGTCGCGGCTCAAAGTTTTGCACTGCAGCAATCAGTGCTCAGGGGAGAACTAGGCCTGGCTGTGTGGCGGAATCCGAGCTTGTCTTTTCTTTTTCCGCTACCGCCGGGACCTCGCATGCTAGGTGAGCGCTGCCACTGAGGTGCACCCCAACATCCCCCTTTTCCTTTTTTCCTTCCTTTCCTTTTGTCCTCCCCTCCTTCCCTCCCTCATTCTCTTCCTTTCTTCATTTTTAGAAATGTATTCCGTGTTCTTACCGAGACAGAACCTGTGCCAGGCAATTTCTGCTGAGACCGAGCCCAGTGCATGGGGAGAGAGAGACCTTCATGTCTCTTCTGCCTCTCGCTGTATCTTTGTTTTATTTTGCAGCATTGAGAGTTGAACCGAGGGCTGTTGCACTGTGCTAGATCTCCAGTCCTTTGTATTTTTATTTTGAGACAGAAATCTTTAAGATAGGCTTGCCTTGCATTTGTGGTCCTCATACCTCAGCCTCCCAGAGTGCCAGGATTGTACTTTGAATTAAACAAAATAGAGACCAGTTTATTCATCTGAAGAAGCACATGGCCCAGAAGCCTGGACAGGTACCAGGAGCCAGACCCCCAGGGAAGATGGTTGTACTCAGGAGGTTAGGACTCTCACCCTGGACCCATTTAGCTTACATTTTCTTTTTTTTTTTTCAACGACCTCTTGAATTTCAAAATATTCTTTTTTTTTTGTTTGTTTGTTATTGGTACCGAGGATCAAACTCATGTATTTAGCTTACATTTTAGCTGAGGGAGCACATTTCTCCACCTCAGTGGCAGAGCTGCTCCCAGGTCCAGGCAGGACCAGTCCTAGATGTGCTACTTAATTGTTCTTTTAGAGTCTTAATGAAAAGAAGGAAATCATGATTGGGTCTCAGTCCACAACTTGTGGTGCTGGTGGTGGGGATTTGGTGCTTAGAAAGCTTGTCTTTGCTGGAGCTGGAAATAGGCATTCCTTAGTAATGCCTGGGAACTCACTGGGGCATGTGGTAGAAAGACCCCAAAGGGATTTGCATGCCAAAGCTACAGATGGCATCTCTTCTGCCAGGTGCACTCAGAGGCCAGCATGAAACTGAAGAAGCAGGTGACCGTGTGTGGGGCTGCCATCTTCTGTGTGGCTGTCTTCTCCCTTTACCTTATGCTGGACCGAGTGCAGCATGATCCTGCCCGACACCAGAGTGGTGGGAACTTCCCCCGGGTGAGTCCTGCCTGGCTGTTGATCCCTGTGTCTACAAGTCACCTGGGCTTGGATTGTCACCCAGACAGAGAGTCATGTCAGCCTAGGCAGGTTTTTAGCTCTTCATTCTTCCCTTCCTTCCTTCTATGGTTCCAGGGATCAGACTCAGGGCCTTGTCCATGCTAAGTGCTAAGAAATGCTCTACCACTGAACTACATCCCAGCCCAAGTAGGGAAAAAAAAAAAAAAAAAAAATGAGAAAGAGAAAGACGGAGGAAAAAAATGGCAGTGTATGTTGCTACTTTGTGCCCTGGAATTCTTAGCACATTGCTAATTGATTGCAGCATTTTCTCCCATTAAGCCCTGATGTGATGGATCTGTCTGGGCACTGTGCTCCAGACTGGCAGCACCGATCACTGTATGTGACCTGAAATCTTTGCCATCTGTGAACTAGAGAATGCTCAGGCTTCCAGGTGGATCCAGTCCTCAGTAGTGATGTGCATGGGACTTACCATCCCTGGAGGCCTGTGGTCTGGTTTCCGTGGAGGGGGAGGGCTCACAGCCAGGCCTCAGGTGGTTCCTAGGCAGGTGGCTGGGGCATAAGGAGCTGTAGGTGAGTGCATTCTGGTTTTTTGGCAGAGCCAAATTTCTGTGCTGCAGAACCGCATTGAGCAACTGGAGCAGCTGCTGGAGGAGAACCATGAGATCATCAGCCACATCAAGGATTCGGTGCTAGAGCTGACAGCCAATGCGGACAGCCTACCCGCCCTGCTCCCCTACCACACAGCCAATGGCTCCTGGGTGGTGCCCCCAGAACCCAGGCCTAGCTTCTTTTCCGTGTCCCCCCAGGACTGCCAGTTTGCTTTGGGAGGCCGGGGCCAGAAGCCAGAGCTTCTGGTAAGTGTAGGTGGTGGTGGCGGCCTGCAGTGGGCACAGGCAGGCACTGAGCTGCCTACTTGCCTGCAGATGCTGACAGTGTCGGAGGAGTTGCCCTTCGACAACGTGGAGGGTGGTGTGTGGAGACAGGGCTTTGACATCTCCTACAGCCCACATGACTGGGACGCCGAGGACCTGCAGGTGTTCGTGGTGCCACACTCTCACAATGACCCAGGTGAGCCCACGGCAGGGGTACCAGGAGCTGGGGGAGAAATGGGTGGTTGGAGGAGGAGGTGGCGTCCTCAGGGGCCCCCATTTTGGCCCCCCAGGCTGGATCAAGACCTTCGACAAGTACTACACAGAGCAGACACAGCACATCCTCAACAGCATGGTGATCAAGCTCCAGGAGGACTCCCGCTGGCGCTTCCTCTGGGCAGAAGTCTCCTTCTTTGCCAAGTGGTGGGACAACATCAGTGCCCAAAAGAAGGCGGCAGTCCGAAGGTTAGTGGCAGTGGGAAAGGTCTGGTACTGTCATACAAGTCTGGGCAGGGAGGGCAGATCTTACCATATGCTATGGCGCTGGCACGACAGCTACAGCAGAGACGAGGGTGACAGTTAGTGTCAGAGATACCAGTTGCTGAAGCGTCCGTGGAGAGAGAGCACGGGGCTGCCCCCTGGGAACACAGACATGGTCCTGTGATATGTAAACTCCAGCTGACATGGGGTGGGCTGGCAGGGAAGCAGGGCCAGTATTTGTGCTCTTGGTCCCAGGTTCAGGTGGACTGCCCATGAGCCCAGCCAGCGTCATCTGGTTGGCAGGCCTGGACATGGGTCCCCTCCCTATCCTGAATGTGGCTTCCTCCTTAGGCTGGTGGGAAATGGGCAGCTGGAGATCGCAACGGGAGGCTGGGTGATGCCAGATGAGGCCAACTCCCACTACTTCGCGCTGATTGACCAGCTCATTGAGGGACACCAGTGGCTGGAGAGAAACCTCGGTATGTCCAGGTAGACACCCTGCGGGTGGGGACACCAGTGGGGTTACCCTGGAGCTGGGCCTGGGTTATGGTGACAAGGGGTAGTAAGGCACAGGGACCAGGGGCTGGGGGCGGTTCCTTTCTGGGCTAATGTGGGCCTGAGGTGGTGGCACCTTCCAGTCTCTGCCAAAATGCGGGCCTGAGGTGGTGGCACCTTCCAGTCTCTGCCAAAATGCGGGCCTGAGGTGGTGGCATCTTCCAGTCTCTGCCAGGGCATGAGCTGGAGTTGTAAGAGATGGGCAAGGCCGAGGTTAGGCCCTGTGACTCTGAGACATTCAGGGTCTCTGTAATCCCATGTCCAGGTGTGACTCCACGCTCTGGCTGGGCAGTGGACCCCTTTGGACACAGCTCCACCATGCCGTACCTGCTGCGCCGTGCCAACCTGACCAGCATGCTGATTCAGAGGGTGCACTATGCCATCAAGAAGCACTTTGCTGCCACCCATAGCCTGGAGTTCATGTGGAGGCAAACATGGGGTAAGGCCAGGTAGGGCAGCGGGTTCTGGGCAGTGCAGCCTTCACTGGGAAGAGCAGACTGGTGGGCAATATGAGCCCACAGTTTCTCAGGTCTCTCTGCCAGAGTGATCTGTCCTTCAGGGGAGGGGACGGTCGTGCTGACCTCTCACCTCTGTGGGGCTCCCTATGTGCCCTTTAGGCCCCTGTGTCTGTCCCCTGCCTGCAAGTCCCATAGCCTGAGTCCCACTAGAGTTTCGCTGTCTGTCAGGGCTGCCTTTAGATCTGTGCCCTCTTGAAGTCCCTGTGCACCGCGCCTGAGGCTGCCCGCTGATGGATGACCACATGCTGTGTCTTCTGCAGACTCAGACTCCAGCACAGACATCTTCTGCCACATGATGCCCTTCTACAGCTATGATGTCCCCCATACCTGTGGCCCTGACCCCAAAATCTGCTGCCAGTTTGATTTCAAACGGCTGCCTGGTGGGCGCATCAACTGCCCTTGGAAGGTGCCACCCCGGGCCATCACAGAGGCCAACGTGGCAGAGAGGTAGGCATTGGCCTCCAGCCCTGGCCTGGGCATGGTGTTGATTTTTCACTCTATAGAGGAGCCAGGAGGCTGGGGAGCTATGTGATGCCAGACATAGCTGAAAAACAGGGTGGGCTCAGGTGCAAGTTCAGCTCCTTGCAAGTCTCCCTGGAAAACTGGCATGGCACTCAGGAGCCACCTTTCCCAGAAAGCTCTTACTGTCCCCAGCGGATATGCTTTCCCATATCAGAGCCACTTGAGTGATCAGAGGCAAATGACCTGTAAATTGGTACAGTTTCTTGCAAACCTCAGGCTAATGTGCCTTTCTTTGGCTCAGGTATTCTGACTTGGCCAGAAGTCAGCAGGATCCTGTGCAGTGGACCACAGCCCATTCACGTGGCCATTCAGTCCCTCATAGGGCCTCCAGCCTCCCTGTCCCCTTTGAGAGAATAGTTACAGCAGAGATGAGAGAATAGCCATGTCCATGTGGCTAAAATCGCCCCGCTGTCCTTGAAAGTGCTGATTATCTGTGACCTAACCAGCGATTTAGCCAAAACCTTAAGAATGTAACAAGTTGAACTGGTTTTCATGTGACCAGAAGGGAAAGAAAGTGGTCTTTTGTTTCTAGAAATCTGCACACTGATTGCAGGAAGAACTCTGGCTGTTAAGCAAGCATGACTCTCCCAGCAGCGGCCGCAGTCTCTGAGGCTGGCCGGGCTCTCAGAGAGCAGCCCAGGGGGAGGACATGGCTCCCTGGTCTGAGAGGCTCCCAGGGCTGATAGATCAGGGGCAGGTTTCCTTTGAGGGATCTGAAGACAAGTCGAACCAGCACAGTAGTAGTAGACTAGTGCCCAAACCACAATACCCATCAAAGGACATTTAATAGGTTGATCTAAAAACAGGAGATCAGGAAGATCTGCAGTGGTAGCTCAGTGGTAGGGCACTTGTTTAGCATGTATGAGGCCCTGAGTTCTATCCCCAGCAATGCAGATAATAATAGTGAATAATAAAAACAGGAAGGAACGTTTAAGTTGTGCTATAAAGTTTTAAATTTGTATTGGTTTTACCCAGCATATGGATTAAAAAACCCAGATGTCTATGTATAATCCTATCATGTGTCAGGCACCACTATAAGTGCTTAGATATAAATGCTTTCATTCATTTTAATTCTCATAACATTGTGAGGATTAATGATACTAGTAAAGATACTAATGTTATCTGATATTATTCTCATTTTACTAGAAAGAAACCCAGAGAGGTTGCCTGAGGTCACCCAGCTATGTGGAGCTGGCTTTGGCATAATCTAACTCCAGAGTCTGGGTTCTGTTTTGGGTGTTAGGAGGTGCAGGTATGGTTGGGTGAACCCAGGGCTTTTGCACTTACCTACAGCATCAGCCTTTTCATTTTATTTTATATATAAAATATATAAGGAGACAATATCTTGCTAAGTTGCTAATTTACCCAGACCTCACTCAAACTTGAGGTCATCTTGCCTCAACCTCCTGGGATTACAATAGGCGTGTACCACCATCCTAGCTGAGCCTAGGCTCTCTAACTGCAGTGCAGTGTGCCTTCATTCACCGTAGCTTCAGAGCTGGGATCCCCCAAACCAGAGGAGATTTTTTAGGTATAAAGGCTCCACTCTTGGCTTCAGAGAGCAGAACAGGAGGTTCAGGGTGAAGATACTGTGCCGATCAACATACTCAGAAAGCACAGTAATTGACTATGAGTGTGGTGGCTGGTAACCTTGGGCTGCACACCTTGTGGACAGTGGAGCAGAGGTTGGTCCAGGGAGGTCTGGTTCCGTACACCACCCTCCACCCTCCTGTCTTTATGCAGTTCAGAGCCCCTGGCTCAGAGCACTGGCTGGAAAAACACATTGTAAACTGGCTGTAGGGGCCAGTTTATAGGAAGGGAAAGTTCAGGCATCTTTGTTGTATCTGGAGAATAATTGTGGCAAGGAATGCAGATGCAGGGTCTGGGGATTGCAGCTCAGCAGAAAGAGGAATTGTCCAGAGAACACTGGGTCCTAGGTACCCGTTCCTACTCTGTGCTGTGTCCCTGGAGGCCAGCCAGCTCCACAGAGGCCTGATGCTTGCTCTGGGTGGCCCTGCTCCTTGATCTCGTAACCCTCTGGCTTCCAACAAGGCCTACATCCTGTTCCCCCCAGGGCGGCCCTGCTTCTGGACCAGTACCGGAAGAAATCTCGGCTGTTTCGCAGCAATGTCCTGCTGGTGCCACTGGGCGATGACTTCCGATATGACAAACCTCAGGAGTGGGATGCCCAGTTCTTCAGCTACCAGCGGATATTCGACTTCCTCAACAGCAAGCCTGACCTCCATGTGCAGGTGGGTGGCTGGCTGGTGGGTCGGGGCTCCTAGAGCTGCAGCCTGGGGTCTTCCTGGGGGGACCCCTGCTCCCCGCAGCTGGCTCCCAGCAGGGGTTTGTTACCTCTCAGGATTTATCTTCTGTGAGGACAGACAGATGAGCCAAAGTTACCACCCCTACCCCCACTCCAGCTGCTGCAGCACTGGTGGCCTTAATTCCCAGGAGGCCCTGCAACTGATGGGAGCTGGTTTGGGGGTCCCCACAGGCCCAGTTTGGCACCCTGTCAGACTATTTTGATGCTCTGTACAAGAGGACAGGGGTGGAGCCGGGGGCCCGGCCCCCAGGGTTTCCAGTGCTGAGTGGGGATTTCTTCTCCTACGCGGACCGTGAGGACCACTACTGGACAGGGTACTACACCTCCCGGCCGTTCTACAAGAGCTTGGATCGAGTCCTGGAAGTCCATCTGCGGTGAGATGCCCATCATGGGCTTCGGGGAGTCAGCTTTTGGGGTTGAAGGCCAGCTGGGCCTGCAGGAGGCCAGGGTGGCAGAGGAGTGACAGGAAGGAGATGGGGACTGGCCTTTCATGCCGGGCAGGTGGCAGGCAGTGGCCCCTCTCTCTGCAGTGGGGCAGAGATGCTGTACAGCTTGGCGGTGGCACACGCCCGTCACTCCGGCCTGGCTGCCCGGTACCCACTGTCCGACTTCACTCTCCTGACGGAGGCCCGACGCACTCTGGGGCTCTTCCAGCACCACGATGCCATCACCGGCACTGCCAAGGAGGTCGTAGTGATGGACTACGGGGTCAGGTGGGCGCCTTCTCCTTCCCCCAAAACTCTACAGCATTCCCTGCACCCACAGATGGTGGGCAGTGGGCCAGCTGTGGAGGGCCAGCCCTGTGGTCATCTCTGGCTCCCTGTGCTGTCTGTGCAGGCTTCTGCGCTCTCTTGTCAGCTTGAAGCAGGTCATCATCAATGCGGCCCACTACCTAGTGCTCAGGGACAAGGGGACCTACCACTTTGAGCCTGGGACACCCTTCCTCCAAGTGGTGAGCCCCGCTGAGTCTGCTGGGTCCTCCCTTTCTCTGGTCAGGTGGGGAGAAGGCCTGGTGCCTGATGCCTCCTCCCTCCGCCTGCTTTGCTCCAGGATGACACCCGCTCCAGTCATGATGCCCTGCCGGAACGCACAGTGATCCAGCTGGATGCCTCGCCAAGGTGAGCCACGCTAGGCCAGGTGCCCCGAGGCCCACAGACCCCTCCTCACTCTGCACCCATCCCCCATGCAGGCCCTGTCCTGCCCACTGGTCCTGCCCTGTCACCTCTCCCCCCCAGGTTTGTGGTGATCTTCAACCCACTGGAGCAGGAGCGGCTCAGTGTGGTGTCCCTGCTGGTCAGTTCGCCCCTTGTGCGTGTCCTGTCGGAGGATGGCCAGCCCCTGGCCGTGCAGATCAGTGCCCACTGGAGCTCAGCCACCACCATGGTCCCCAATGTCTACCAGGTGAGGCGGAGCTGTGTCTGTGGTGGCCTCTCCCAGGTCCTCCCTCTGCCCCATCATTCACTTCCATCACCCTGCTGTGGCCCCACCTACTGTCCAGGTTGGCGGTGAGCATCTTGGGGACAGGGGCTACACTCTTGGGCATTGAGCCTCTTTAAAAGGAAGAGAATAATAATAATAATAATAATAATAATAATAATAATAATAGAAGTATGAGTTACAGTGCCCCACTGTCCATTCATTCTGTAAGTATTTATTCACTGAATTATTTGAGACATGGTCTCTCTATACATTGCCCAGGCTGGCCTCCAACTCCTAGGTTCAGGAGATTTTGCTTCCTCAGTCTCCTACTACCAACAAGGAGTATTTGTCAGAAGCCTCATGTGGTACCACTCTGTAGGGTTTGTTTTGTTTTGTTTTGTTTAGCACAAGGAGATTAAACCCATGACTGAGCTACCTCTCTAGACTCACTTTTTTTTTTCTTTTTCATTTTTATCAGTACTGGGGATCGAACTCACGACCGCCTGCTTGCAAGGCAGGTGCTTATGCCGCTGAGCTAAATCCTCAGCCCCCCGACTCACTTTTATTTTGACACAGAGTCTTGCTAAATTGCCCAGGCAGGCAGGGTTCACAGTTCTAGTCCTGCCTCAGCCTCCCAGAGTGCTGGGTTTACAGGTGTTCCACCCTGCTCAGTGCTACTTCATAGTTTGTCAAATGTCATTTGAGACTGAGAAAACCTGACCAACAAGAGGGGACACTCAGGAGAGGACAGAGGTTCTGGTGGATGTGGGACATGCCCAGGCTCTCTGTTAGGAAACAGAGACTGGGATCCCAGGATGCGTGGCCCAGCCTGTGTCCTCACCCCTGTGCCCACAGGTGTCTGTGCCTCTCCGCCTGCCTGCCCTGGGCCTGAGTGTGCTGCAGGTGCAGCAGGGCCTGGACACACACCGCACACTCTCCTCCTCCGTGCGCATCTACCTGCATGGACAGAGGCTGTCGGTCAGCAGACATGAAGCCTTCCCCATTCGTCTCATCGACTCGGGTGGCAGTGATTTTGTCCTCAGTAACCGCTACATGCAGGTCTGGTTCTCAGGCCTTACCGGGCTCCTCAAGGTAAAGGGCCAGGGGTGCTGTGCAGGGTCACGAGTGGAAGAGAATGTACGTGCTGGTAGGGCTGTGCCCACTCCACTCCAGTGACTGATGGTGACCGGGCATGGGCTGTCTCAATGCTGAGCCAGCAATCTGGGAAAGCTGGGCGCGTTAGGCTGTTACAGTAATAGATACCCGAGTTCATCAACTTATAAAGAACACAGTGTCGGGTTAGCCACGATTTCAGGGGTTTTGGCCCCTGGCCCAGTGGACCTACCTGTAGGAGCCGCGCATCATGGTGGGAGCCTGTGGCAGAGCAGAGCTTTCCCTTTGTGGGTAGGACAGAGGAGACAGGAGAGGGGGCACTCTGATGACCCCAAATCTCCTTTGGGCCCTGCCTATTAGCTACCACCTCCTCCCTGCAGCACTCCCAGACAGTGAACCCTTAACACAGGGCCTCCAGGGAGCCTGAGCTGCATGCTGTAGCCCCAGGCCAGGCCAGGCCTAAAGCTCTAGTTTTTCACAGAGCGTCCAAAGGATGGACGAGGACCAGGAACAGCGAATAGACATGGAGCTCCTCGTCTATGGCACGCGCGCGTCCAAAGACAAGAGCGGTGCCTACCTCTTCCTGCCTGATGACCAGGCCAAGGTACCTGGCAGGCCCGGGGAGGTGTCCATAACAGAGCTTGCAGAGGGCCATGGTGACTGCTCCCTGCTGGGGTCTTGTCTGCTACCCCGGGAGGGAGGTCGGTGCGCAGGTGGTGGTCACAGTGGGGCCCAAGGTGTGGGCAGAGTCCCCTGGGATGAGAACATCTCCTGACCAGCCTCAGGCTGCTAACTGCTCAGCTGTCTATGCCTCCGTCTCAGTGGCTGCCTCCTCTTTCCTAAGCCCTACGTCCCGAAGAACCCACCCGTGCTGCGTGTCACTGAGGGCCCTTTCTTCTCAGAGGTGGTCGCCTGCTACGAGCACGTTCATCAGGTGGTCCGACTGTACAACCTGGAAGGTGAGGTGGTGGGGGAGATGTGGGCCTCGGTCTGTGATGTGTGCCCTCTGCACACCTTCCGTGTTCACACATCTGTTCCCAACAGATGGAGCTTTTGAGTCAGGATGCTTAGTGTCTTGGGATAAAGTCACAGAGACACCGTCCCTGGGACTCTCCCAGGAGGTTGGGCAGAGTGTCCCCAGCGTAGCTTCCAACCTGTGCTCCTCTGTCTTTCTCTGTGTTTCTCCCGTGTCCCTGTGCCCAGGAGTGGAGGGGCTGTCTCTGGACGTGTCATTCCTGGTGGACATCCGGGACTATGTCAACAAGGAGCTGGCCCTGCGCATCCACACAGACATTGACAGCCAGGGCACTTTCTTCACAGACCTCAATGGCTTTCAGGTGACATCTGGCTCCCCAGGGCAGAAGGGGGACTGTGTTGGTGGCTGTCATGAATGTGGCGTGTGTAATCAGGAACTCTGAGGGCCCAGACGGTCCACAGAGGCCCTTGACTGGCTGGGCCTCCCAACAGGTGCAGCGCCGGCGGTATCTGAAGAAGCTGCCCCTGCAGGCCAACTTCTACCCCATGCCGGTCATGGCCTACATCCAGGATGCACAGAGGCGCCTCACGCTGCACACGGCCCAAGCCTTGGGTGTCTCCAGCCTCAGCAAGGGTGAGCGGGGAGCAGGAGGCCACGAGGGTTCACACCAGAAGCAGCCACCCGCCATGGAGGCCTGTCCCCTGCCATGGCCTCCTCCCCTAGCTTCTTCCCTGTCATTGTCAGTCACCTCCATGTTGGAGAAGGGATGAGGGAGCAGCCACAGCTCCTGCCAGTCTCCCTGGACACGGGGCGGCAGGCTCCACGTCACCCTGGCACAGGCAGTGGGTGGTGGGGGTCCCGTGGGATCCCTCAAGAGGCACCAGGTACTAAATGGAAACTACTTGCTGAGGTGTGTGACCCTTCTGGCAGGGGTGCCTGTAGGGACACTCATGCTCAATATTTTAGTGAAATACTTACAAAAAGAGAAAAAAGAGAGGATGACGTTCTTTCTTCTTTTTTTTTTTTAATCCCCAGTACTGGATTTGAACCCAGGGCCTTCCCACTGAATTACATCCCCAGCCTTTTTCAAATTTTATTTTGAGACAGCATCACTGTAAGTTTCTAAATTACCCTGGGTGGACTTGAACTTATGACCCAGGGTGCTGGAATTAACGTACATACCACCATGGCCTGCTGGTTCCTTTTTTTTTTTTTTTTTAAGTTTATTGATACATTTAGATATACATGATGATAATATTCATCATAAGGAATTTGGACTCATACATGATGTATTTTGACTTTTTTGACTCAAGGACTCAATATACAATACAGGCTGATTTTTTTTTGTTTTGTTTTGTCTTTTTCATTTTTATTGGTACCAGGGATTGAACTCACGACCACAAGCTTGCAAGGCAGGCACTTATGTCGCTGAGCTAAATCCCCAGCCCCCTTTTTAAGTTTTTTTTTTTTTTTTTTTTTTGGTCTATACAGGCTGGTTTTGATACATAGTGATTTGTATCCCAAGTTGTCCTCCAATTTACAACCATCCTCCTGCCTCAGCCTGCTGAGTGCTGGGATAATACACATGTACCACCATACCCAGTTTGGTTTAATTCTTTTTTTTATTCTCTTTTTTTTTCTTTTGGTACCAGGGATTGAACTTGAAACTTACCCTGCTGAGTTAAACCCCCAGGCCCTTTTGGTTTAATTCTTTTTTTTGGTCTTTTTCATTTTTATTGGTACCAGGGATCGAACTCACAACTGCCTGCTTGCAAGGCAGGCGCTTATGCCGCTGAGCTAAATCCCCAGCCCTTGGTTTAATTCTTAAGAATGTCTCCAAACCAGGCTTATCAGTGTACACCTATAATTCCATCATTTGAGAAGCTGAGGAGATAGAGACAAAGGCAGGAAGAACACTGCAAATGTGAGTCCAGTCCGGGCCTCGTAGTGAGTTTAAGGCCAGCCTGGAATATATAGCAAGATGCTAAAGCCCATCCAAAAAGTAGAGTGTCAGAAATGTTGATCTGGAGACAGAGCCAGCCAGTTGGGCAAGCTGTGGGTGGCTCCCCGAGCCTCAGGGCAAGATGGGATTTGGACCTGGTGGCCTCTGAGGCCCTCGGCGTCCCCTCTGTGGGACAGAGCCTTTGTGCAGGCTGAGCTCCAGTGCCTCTAGGACTGGGGGGTGGGGTAGGGACTTGAGGAGGAGTTGGGCCCTGCTGCCCTCTGCAGGGAGCAGCGGGCCCATCTGCCTCGTGACTCCGAGCTGTACCCCAGAGCCCCCGCCCTTCTGTGGCACGGTGTGTTAGGAAAGGGTTGTTACCATAGAAGGGATCCATTTCCGTGTTGGGGCTTCCTGTGGTAAAGCACAGGAATCAGAGTGAGGGAGCAGAGGTGAGGGAGGACCTAGCACCCGGGTGGGAGAGGATGTTGGCTCTCGTCAGGAGAGCTGGAGGCACCAGGCATGGGAGTACACATGTGTGGTCCCAGCACAGGAAACTGAGACAGGAGGATTGTAAGTTTGAGACCAGCCTGGGGTATATATGGAGCTCAAGGCCAGCCTGGGCTACCGAGCGAGACCCTTACTCCAAAACAAAATAACAACAACAAAGTTCAGGAAAACTCGCCCAGCATCCATCAGCTTCCCAGTGAGCCCCTTCTGCACACACGTTCACAAAAAAAGCACAGAAAGGGCTGGGGACATGGCTCAGTGGCGGAGCATTTGCCTAGCATGTGTGACACTCAGGTTTGATCCCTAGCACTGCAAAAAATGAAAAAATAAAAACCTAGAGATGAGCCAGGCATGGTGAGACACATCTGTAATCCCAGCATTCAAGAGGGTGGGGCAGGAGGACCTCGAGTTCAAGCCCAACCTGGCCAAGTTAGTAACTTAGACCCTGTGTTAAAATTATAAAAGAAAAAAAGTGCTGGGAGCCCGGCACGGTGGTACCAGGAGTAGCTGTAGCACTTCGGGAAGGTGAAGCAGGAGGCAAATTTAAGCCTCACCTGAGCAATTTAACAAAGCCTTGTCTCAAATTAGAAAAAAAAATTTTTTTTTATTAAAGGGGCTGAAGTATAATTCAGTGAGACTGAGTTCAACTCCCAGTACTGGGGCTGGGGCGGAGGGGCGGCATGTGGAGGTGACTGTCAGCCATCTGTGTTCCCCAGGGAGCCCCGAGGCCTCTGAGCCTCTTCTCATCCATCGCCTGGCTGTCCGTGTCATAGCCAACTTCTACAGAGCTGGTGTCTGGCTCACCAGCCTCCCAGCTGTCCCCTGCCATGCAGAGCACAGCTGGAGGCCAGGGAGGGAATCTGGCCACCCTGGCACAGTGTTGCTCTTAGCCCCTGATTGCTTACTTACTTTGTTTTTTGTTACCAGTCCAGATAGGGCACCCTGCCGGGTTTCCCGGACCAGGGCCCCCTTCCTGACTCACAGTGCGTGGCTGTGCTTTCTGGCCTGTGGGTTCCTCACTGAGGGACAGGGGCACAAGGCTACCACTCTCGGCCCTCCCAGCTGCACTGTCCCGACTGCCTGAGCTCCTGGTTTTCCTCCTGGGCTTTTTCTCAGGGCTGCATTGGGGATTCACTTCCGGAAGCTGTCTACTCAGAGATGGGGTGGGGTGGCAGGCTGGGCTCACTCCTCCTTCCCCCAGGTCAGCTGGAGGTGATCTTGGACAGGCGGCTGATGCAGGATGATAACCGGGGCCTGGGCCAAGGGCTGAAGGACAACAAGAGAACCTGGAACCGTTTCCGTCTCCTGCTTGAACGGCGAACCACGGGCAGTGAGGTAAACCTGGGCCCGGTGCCCAGGGGCCAGGCAGACTTGTCACGGGGTGATGGTGGTATCTGCTTGAGGAAGGGACAGGCAGAGCAGGGCTAACTCGGGTTGTGGCAGGTAGCTGTCTGCGTCTTGCTGACCGTCTCAGGTACTCTGCCTCTCCCTCTGTCGTCTGTGCCCCTGTGTTGTCTCCCACCTCCCTCTCTGCTGCCTCCACCCTGCCCTAGCCCTTTAGCCCTTTACCTGTCCCTGCTCATCTCATGGCTTTCTTTGCCCCACCAGCCTGGCTTTTTCTCCAAACTGGCAGCCTTGTTTAGGGGCTTGATCTTTCCCAGCAGCAAGAGCGGTGACCAAAAGGTAAGGTTGGGTGACGGGAATGCCCAGCAGGCTGTCACTGTACTTGGAGCCCACTGCTTGGTGCCCAGGGGTCAGTGGCTCAGCTGTGCCCGCCGCGTAGACACTGAGCTCCTGCGGTGCTGGGAGCTGACTAGTGCTGCTGACTCTAGAAACTGTGAGTAGGGCTGCGGTAGAAATGGACGTGCACACCCAGATCCTGAGGAACAGATCGTGGTGCAGCTGTGGAGGTTACAGACACTGTCCTGGCAGGGGTGTGGGCCAGGCTTGGCTTTGACCAGGTGGAAGGCTCTAAGACGTGGAATGGGAACTGGCAGCAACTTCCTTCGGTTAGACCAGACCTATGCCGTCTTGTGTGGTTGTCACCAGCCACATGGGGCTGCCCCAGTGAATTAAAATGAAATAAAAAATCAGATTTTCATTCCCATTGAGCATAGTTCATTCCTCACTGACCCCAAGTGCTACCGTTTAGAAGTGTGGGTTGATGAATTTCCATGCAGGAGGTTTTGTGGTGGGTGCTAAGCTTGAGTGTGTTAGGGCGATTGGGCCATCTGCAGTGGCCATGAAAGCCTGGCCACAGAGCCCAGGGCGCCCAGAGAAGGGCAGGAGCAGGAGCGATGCTCTCAGGCCTCGGCCCTCTGCGAATAAGCCCAGCCGCAGAGAGCAGGTAGGCAGTCTAAAGGCTGCCCCAATAGGATGTGTTGGTGGTTTGGACAGCTGAGCCTTGGGTGGACAGAAGTCGGGGTGGCTGCTAAGACTTTGTAGTGGTGGATGGCAGGGGTTCAGCAGCCCCCGGGCCTGGTCAGAAGAGGAAAATTGAGATCCTGGGTGTGCTAGGGCCAGGGATCAGAGAAGAGAGCAGGGGCTTTGGAGGCATTGTTCATAAACCTGTGAGTGTGGCATCGAGGGCAGAGTCACAGGGCCCAGGGCCCTGGGCACCAGACTGGCACTGTGGATGTGGAGCGTCCTGGGGACCCCAGAGAGCTTAGAGCACTTGCTCCATCAGATGCTCATCTCCCACCCTTCTGTCCCACTCATGCGGATGTCTGTCTTACATTGTCTGTCTGTCTGTCTGTCTCTCTCTCTGATGGGACATGTCACTGATGAGTGTGTTGCTCATGACAGCGTCACAGATAATTACCAGACAATGTGCACGTCACAGATAATTACCAGAGAAAAGCAACCTGTCTGAATTGGGTGACATGGGAAGTAGTCATGCACAAAGGCTCAGAGGTGCAAGGTCTGGGGCCAGATCCAGGGAGAAGGCTCTTGGCAGGGGAGGTGGCCTGTGCTGACCTCCCCTTCGCCTTCATCCTGGCTGTGCCCTCACCCTCCTCTTGGTCCCTCCCACAGGCCCAGGACAGCCACTCCACCAGCTACCCATCCCTCCTTAGCCACCTGACCTCCATGCACCTGAATGCCCCGGTGTTCACCCTGCCTGTCGCCAAGACGCTGTTCCCAGGCCCCAGTCTGCAAACCTTTCATCCTCTGGCGTCCTCACTGCCCTGTGACTTCCACCTGCTCAACCTCCGCACGCTCCAGGCTGAGGTGAGCACCCTGCTCAGCCTTGGCCTCCAGGGCCCATTTCCGCCCTCCCCTGTCTCTGTGCCAGCCTGCCCTTCACTGCCCGCATCCTGTCGCTCTCCCAGGAGGATAACTTGCTCTCGGCAGATGCAGCGCTCATTTTACACCGCAAGGGTTTTGACTGTGGTCTCGAGGCCAAGAACTTGGGGTTCAACTGCACCACAAGCCAAGGCAAGGTGAGCAGGGCCAGGTGTGGGAGGCAGAGCTCTGCAGAGAGGCCGGAGGTGGCCCGCTGGGGAGAGCTGGATGACAGGGTGGGGGAGGACATGTTGTGCCAAGCCAGTGGCACAGTGGCTTGTACCTGTGGCACATGCCTGTACCCCCAGCTCTGCGGGAGGCTAAGGCAAAATGCCTGCAAGTTCTAACCCAGCCTGGGCAACTTAGAGACTTGGTGAGACCCTGTTTCAAAAAGAGAGAGAGAAAGTGAGTTACTCCTGGGTGTCGGGAAGGAAGGGGGAAAGCAGTTGGCCCACGCTTGGAGCTACTGAGGCCTGGCAGGGCAGTTCCACCAAGGCCTAGGACCCTGAACCAAGCCAAGACCCACTGCATCTTCCTCTGGAAGCTTTGCCCACGGTGTCAGTGGCCGCTGACAAATGCACCCACGTGCCAGGCCGTGGGCCGGATACCACTGATGCAGACGTGACCGTGGTCCTGTCCTCAAAGACTCACACTTACTGTGACAGTTCCTACCCCGAGACCCACGGCAGGGTCTGGAGCTGAGCAAGTCTCTGAGCCTGAGACTGGCCACAGCTGAGTATGTGTGAAGCATTTTGCTCCTGTAAGGCGGCAGAGCTCCTGGCGGGTGTTACTTTCTGCAGTGCTGGGACAGAACCCAGCCGTGCACATGCCAGGCAAGCACGCCTCACTACACTGGACTCTGGCCCTTCAGGTGATTATTTCTTTACTCTTTTCCTTTTAATAGTTATACAAATTCATGGTGTTCATTGTGGCAGAGTTGTACTTGCACATAACATACTTCAGGCATTACTATTCCCTGCACCCCACTTTACCCCCTCTCAATCTCATTTCACGTTTTTGGGGGCTTGCAGTGTGTGTGTATTTGGTATATCCATCCCCCATTGTCCTCCCTTACCTCTCGCTGCCCTTCTCTGTATTCCTAGCTCTTGGCTAATAATGAGCTCCCTTCTTTCTTGTCATCTTTCTTTTTTTTTTGTCTTTTTCCTTTTTATCAGTACCAGGGATCGAACTCACGACTGCCTGCTTGCAAGGCAGGCACTTATGCCGCTGAGCTAAATCCCCAGCAGTCTTGTCATCTTTTTTAAGATTCCGAATATTAGGGGAAATGTGCCGTATTGATGTGAGCCTGGCTTGGTCCGCAGATCCACCTATTTCTCAGAAGACGACAGAATTTTGTCCTTTTTTATACATATTACACCACATTGCTTTGCCCATTCATCTGTTGCTGGACCCCAGGGTGGTTCCATAGCTTGATTGTTATGAATTATGCCGCGCAAACCGCAGGTGCACAGGTGTCCCTGTAGTATGCTGACTCATTGGCAGGTGTGTGCCCGGGAGCGGCAGAGCTGGAGCAAAGGGTAGCTGTTTCCGTGTTCTGAGGAGCTGCGTACTGACTGCCGGAACGCTGTCCCGCCTGCCTGTGTTCGCACCGGCAGTGTCACAGGGTTTCTCTCCCCGCTCCAGCCCTGCCCCTGCCTTGCTGTTTTCTGTGTTCTCCATGAATGCATTTTGACCGGGGTAAGAGGAAATCTCAGGAAAGTGAGATTGGATTTCCCTAACGGCTGAAGATGTTAAACATTTCTTTTCCCATGTACTTAATGGCCATTTGTACTTTTGAGAAATGTTTCTTCAGTTCATTTGGCCACTTATTGATTGGCCCATTTGGCTTTTTTTGTGTGTGTTGATTTAGTTTATATATATTTATATTTATAGATACAGTATTACTCCTGTCAGAAGAGTAACTGGCAGAGGTTTTCTCCCTTTTGCAGGCTGTCTCTCCATTCTGTTAGTTTTCCCCTTGGTGTACAGATACTGTTTAGTTTGATGTAGTCCTATTTGTTGATTCTTATTATCTCCTGTGCTTTTGGAGATCTATTCAGAAAGTCTTTGCTTGGGCTTATGGCTTGAGGTGTTCCCCTGTTTTTTATAGTGATTTCAAAGTTTCGAATCTAGTGGCCGGGTGTGGTGGTGCTTTGTTTCCAAGTGAATTTTTTTTTCCCCAAATGAATTTTAAGATTGTTTTTCCTACTTCTGTGAATGTCATTGACATTTTGATGGAAATCACATTGAATTTGTGTAACACTTTCGATAAAAACGATCATTTTGACAACATTAATTCTACCAATCCATGAACTTGGGAGACCTTTCCATCTCCTGGTGTCTGCATCAGTTTCTTTCCTCAGTGTCCTAAAAGTTTCATTGCAGAGGCTTTTCATTTTTTGATTAGACTGATCCCTAGTTATTTGAAGCTATTGTGATGGACTTATTTTCCTTATTTCTTTCTCAGCTAGTCCATGATTGGTGTATAGTAACACTATTGTTTTTTCTACCAGTACTGGGAATTGAACCTGAGACCTTTGCACTGAATTATATCCTGAACTTAAAAACAAAAACAAAAACAAAAAACTTTGAGACAGGGTCTCACTAACTTGCCCAGGTAGGTTTTAAACTCGTAACCCTTTTTCCTCAGCCATCCAGGGTGCTAAGATTACAGGTGTACACCACCTTGCCTGGCTAAAGCTATTGATTAATTTCACATCCTGCTATATTGCTGAATTCATCTATCAGCTCTAAAAGCCTTTGGGTATTATAAGTATAGGATGGTGTGATCTGCAAACAAGGATAATTTGACTCTTCCCTTCCTGTTTGTATCCTTTTCCTTTCTTTCTCTGCCCTAATTACTCTGGTTAAAATTTCAAGAACTGGGGCCGGGGATTTAGCTCAGTGGTGTAAGCACCTACATGGCAAGCGTGAGGTCGTGAGTTCAATCCCCAGTACCAAAAAAAAAAAAAAAAAAATTCAAGAACTGTACTGAGTAAGTGTGGTAAGAGTGGCCACCCTTATCTTGTCCCTGTGCCTTGTGGTCCTCAGAGATGAAGTGCTTGTTAGCAGGTACAGTAGCACCTGACTGACCCTTCTCTCCCACAGGTAGCCCTGGGAAGCCTTTTCCATGGCCTGGATGTGGTGTTCCTGCAGCCGACCTCCTTGACCCTGCTCTACCCGCTGGCCTCACCCTCCAACAGCACGGACCTCTATCTGGAGCCCATGGAGATTGCCACCTTTCGCCTCCGTTTGGGCTAGGGCTTCTTGTGGCCTGAAGACAAGTTCGTCCATGGAGACTGCCACCCCGGTATCCCATTCTGATCTGCCTCTTGAAACTGTGACAGACTGGGCTCTGCCCTCGCTTTCTGTTCTTTGTTGCTTCTGTGTTTGAGGCAACCCGCACACCCAGCCGTTGGCAGGCAGGGCAGACACGGCGAGGTGTTGTGGAGACGAGGGCCTTGGTCAGGGTGGCTCTGCCTCAGGTCTGCTGCAGCTGTGTGTGGCTGAGCCCCAGCCCAGGCCCCCGCCCCTTTCCCAGGATGGGATGTAGGAGGGGAGGTGCAGGGCAGGTGGAGGCTAAGCGGGTAGTGATCGGCCTAGGTAATTATTGGCAAGGGCTGGTCTAGGGGTAGTGAGGCCACCTGTCTTGGTGTGAGGAGCAAGATGAGAGTGGTTCTGGCGGGAGACAGGGCACTCGTGGTTGACAGTGGGGTTGAGGAGAAGGAATCCCTGTTTCTCCTAAGAGCCTGAGGGCCTCACTGCTTTCTGTGCATCTCTGTTGGCAACACTACTGAGCCTGCGTGCCCTGGCTTTCAGGGTGACCAGAAGGACTTGCTAGGCACATGAACAGAGGTCTTAGGACACTTCAGGTACTAAAACCCTACCTCAGAGTGGCACTGAATCTGTGTGTTGATTTGTGGGGTAGGGTAGTGACAGGGACATGGGATGAGGGTTTTCTCCCTACTCTGACCCCTCTTTTTCCCTTTAATTCATCTTCTATCCCCAAGAGCTCTTTCTTGTCTGGGGTTTTGGCCCTAAAATGTTTCCTTTCCTAGGAAAGGAATCAAGCCTCTCAGACCCCACAGGCCTAGGCATCTTGGAACGGCCTCTGGCACCTTGCCTGATGGGCAGCCCTTGGGGCTTTGTCTCAGGCCCATCCTTGGGCAAAAGTTTTCCATTCCTGGCATGGACAAAGGATCTGGAGGCTGAATTAGGAGGCAGTAGGGCTGCTCATGTTTCTTTATTTTAGCTTCGATCAATAGAGAAGAATTTATGAGTCTCTTCAGATGCTGAAAAGATATTTGGTACCATTTATAATCTATTCCTTATTTAAACTCTTGGTAAGACTAAGAAGAAACATCCTAACCTAGTACAGAATGAGTGAGACACCACGGTGTCCCGGGAGAATCAGGAACCATTCAGGGGTGTGCTGTTATGTTCTGGTGTGAAGGCAACACCCACCCCTGCAGTGAGGCAGGTGAGGGGCGAGGGGAGAATTCCCTTCCATTATTTGTAAACAATAAAGCTGCCTACTGGTAAAATCTAAGAGAATCAAGAAGACCTACTAAGAGCTTTCCGTAAGTTCATGCACTGCTACACGTTCCTGTAAAGATCTTGGTTCTTCTGACTTCAGCCCATAAATTCAATATAATTTCGGCAAGATGAGATTCAACTGGTTCTGAAGTTCATTGGGAAGAGTAAAGGTGGGGGAAACCAAGAGAGTTCTGAGCGGCAACGGAAGGGGTTTGGAGTGGTGCTGAGTGGGTCGAGGCACGTGTCCTAGCAGGTTTCCCAAAGGACTTTCCTGCAAGCAAGGATTCACTCTGTGACAGACTGTGTATCAGACAGACCAAAGGGCCGACATGGAGGGAAGTCCAGGAAAAGATCCTGGAACAGAAGAATTTTGTATATGATAAAAAGGATTTTAAATGGAGAAAAAGTGGATTATTTAATAAATAGTACTTTGAGGCAACTAGCTATTAGAGTTAGAACTCTACCTCAGTTTCCACAAAAATTAGTTCTCGAGGGAAAAAAATAAAATGACAAGATTGCTCCAGAAAAAATATTTTTATACCTGTAATGTGGGAAAGTCTTTTCTAAACATGAAACCTAAGAGATATAAGGGAAACGATAAAAGATTTTACTACAAAAAAAAAATACTGAAAACGTTTCATGCTGTGGGAAGCATCAAGGTTAGAAAACAGATGCCAGACATGGGCAGAAACATTTCCAGCATAGAGAAAGTAAGTACCATTTAGGAGAAGAGCTTGCTGCAGCATGTCAGGGTCACTAGGGCCTTCCAGGTGGCCAGTGAAGACAGGACAGTAACACAGCTGAGTTCCTGCAGATCTTACAGAGTCTTTGAAGCCCCAGGAGCTGGAGTCCGCCTGTCTCACAGTGGAGGGAGTAAGGCGGTCAGCCATAAGTGCTGCGTGTAAGGCCTGGGCCATAGAAGAGCGACAGAAATTAAGGCTATGGCTGGGGACACAGCTCGGTGGCACAAGCGCCTGGCAAGTGCAAGGTCCCGAGTTTGATTCCCGTACTTAAAAAAAGAAGAAAAATATGGTAAAGGATGCTAAGTAATCAGAGGAAATGTTATTGTAATCAAATGATAGATGAGAATGTGTGAACTCTTAAATTAGCAGAATAAAGAATATTATCTTTGAAGGTCTTAGATGTGCAATGAAGTTATTCATCTGACAAGACCAATATTTAATGCTATATACTAGCTTTTTAAAATCAGTTAAGCAGTGTTCAAAATGTGGCCCAGTGACATCAGAATTGCTTGTGAAACATTCATCCAGGCATGGCAACACATGGCTGTAATCCCAGCTACTCAGGAGGCAGAAGCAGCAGGATTGAAAGTTCAGGAGCAGCCTGGGCACCTTAAGAGACTCTTGTCTCAAAATTTTTAGAACTGGGGATGCAGTGAAGTGCTAGAGTGCTTACCTACTATGCACAAGGCCCTGGAGTCAGTCCCCAGGAAAACACATGCACACACACACACACACACACACACACACACGCTCAATGCCTCCAGAGGGCTTCTTTAGCCTGAGTGTTGCAGTTACATGTAGAGTCATGGCTTCCCTGAGACTGGTATGTGATAGGATCAAGAAGCATAATCTTGCTTTCATGCATAGGAAGGAAAAAGGATCCCGGGTACCATATTTGAACCCGTGAGGGCGAAAGAACTTCTATTTTAACAAGCACTCAGGTGAGCACATAATTTGGAAATAGGTCTGTTTTAAGGCAAGCAGCAACGAAATCATGGGAGCTATGGCACTGAGGCCACAGTTCTGAGGATGACAAAACTGGAACCAGGACACAGTACAGACAACTTCAGCCACTAGAAATGCATACAATTCTGTTCCTGCCCGTCAAGCCTGCATCACATAAGAGCTGGGTCCTGGAGTGCAGGGTGATCAGACCAGGAGAACCTGGGGGTGGCTCGCTTAGGGCATGGATGTAACTTTAAACACATGCACACACGGTTCTGCATTTCTAATAGGAACTTCACCTGCTTACCCAGGAACGGAATCTTTGACCATAACAAAAAGGTACACAAGGATAAGAGTTGTCATCGTGAGCTACAGCAGAGACCCTTCACTACACACCTCAGTGTCACCTAGGGAAAGTGGGAAATAAATTCAGATCACAAACAGGACAAACCAACCATTTGGGCTCCAACTTTGGACCTCCCAGAGAATAAATTGAATTAGAAATGAATGCTTTGGAATTAGGGCAGTCTAGGATCAGGAAGCTTATGTAGAACAGGTGATGACTTCTTAGCATTTGAATATAACAGGTCCTGCAGTGGAGGAGGAAACACACAGGTTTCCTTGTAAGAATGCCATGCTGTTGAGTATCTGTGTCCCTTCAGAATTCATGTTGAAATCCATCTCCAGTGTGTAGTACTGAGTTGGGGCCTTTAGGCTGGTCTCAAACACTTGGCAATTCTCCTGCTCCATGCCTGGCCTAGGAGGTATCTTTGTTTTATTTTATTTATTTTTGTACCTGGGATTGAACTCATGACCTCGAGTTTGCCAGGCAGGCGCTTAACACCACTAAGCTAAAATCTCTGGCTAGGAGGCAACTTCTTAAGTGTAAAGAAGTTTAAAATAATAATAGAAAAAAATCATGTCCGACTCCAGGAAACTGATTTTTAAAAAAGTTTAAAAAAAGTCTTTTTAAACCAAAAGACACCATAACCTGGTGTACTTTAAAAGGTTCGCTCAGCCTTTTATCTGAGAAGAAACTGGTTTTCTCTCAATACCAGCCTGTTTTGTTCCCCTTTACCTATTTTTTCGTAGAACCAGACCACGGGACCTTCTATTGGGCAAATTTCCATCGTGGTCCATCTGACCTAAATTTCTTCATCCTCTGAGCGATCGCTTTCAAATGAAGTTTAAGAAGGCTCAATCACTGCTTAGCGGCCCCCACAAAACACCATAGGTGACCCCTTGAGATGGAGCCCTCCCCAGACTCCGCCTCCAGCCGGCCCTCCCGGGACAGTTGCCCGGAAGTCCCTGCTGCTTAGCAACCACCCTCCCCGCGGTCTCAGAGCAGAGACGCAGCCAATCACAAGTTTCTGCGGCGATTTAGGGTACTAGCGGCCTAAAGTCCTCCACAGGCCTTTTTATATGACCGCTGGAGTCTCTTCAGTGCCAGCCAGAAACTGCAATACACCTGACATTCCTCCCAGTTGTCAGTAGGACAACTACTGAGGACCCCTTCAAGGGTCAGGCACCCTCTGGAATGTCATATAATTTGTGAGGCTGAATTATTTTTTTTTTTTGTACCAGGGATCAAACTCACAAATTCGCGCTTGCTAGGCAGGTGTTTATGCCGGTAACCTAAATCCCCAGCCTTGAAATGTCAATCTGACCCTGATAAAACTACTTACGGGCTGGGGATTTAGCTCAGCGGCATAAGCACCTGCCTTGCAAGCAGGCAATTGTGAGTTCGATCCCCGGTACCGATAAAAAGGAAAAAGACAAAAAAAAAAAAAGAAATGTCACATAATCTTACCCTGATAAAACTACTCAACGCACCACTGCTGAGGAACCCAGGCTTGGAGGGCTTGAGGTACACAATTTGCATCATACCTTGCTGGGGGACAACAGGCAACTCACCTATCCGACCTCCATTCAGGAGGCCAGAGAAAGAAGCCCGAGGCAATTGTATCTTTTGCCCCAAATGCTTTATTTTCTACAATGACTTTTAAGTCGGTGTTTATACAAGGTAAGTCCCAGAGAGGCTAGAGAGCCCACCATGCAAAACAGGAAACAGAAAGACTGACTAAATGGATGGGGTACCTCTTGTCCCCACATCCGAGGCTCAGCTTAGTTGGAGGGAGGTGTTCAGTGCAAATGCACCTTTGACATCTGAGCTGTGGGAAGGACAGAGGATGGGTGGTCAGGAGGTACCAAAGAACTGGACTGTGACTCTGGGGTGGCCTGGGTGAGATCAGAGTCCAGACCTCCTGGTGGCACCAACAACTGCTCAGAGTGTCAGCCCTCGATCCTTAAACAGTTGCTGTAGAGATTCTTCCAGCCGCTGGTTGGTTCCCTGAAGCCCCTTCACCACCTGCGCTGCCCACTCGAAGTACTCCTGGACACGATGTTCTGACCATCCTGTGAAAGAGTGGAGAGAAGCCTGCTCAGGGCGGGTCAGGGGCAGCATGGTCTTTTACCGCCTCACTGGAGGGTTTGGTGCAGGGCCAGGAGGAGTTCCAGATGGGACAATCTGCCCTGAAAACTTCAGTTGGCCTAGTGGTATGTTCACCTTCCAAGCCTACACTACTGATTCTGTAATGATTCTTAGTGGAGAAACCCTGCTTTTATGCTAGCTTAGTAAAAATAAATTTGAACATGCTAATTGCACTTCCTTAAAACTCAATGCTTAAGGGCCAGGAATTCAGCTCAGTGGCTCAAGCGCTTGCCTGGTAAGTGCAACGTCATGAGTTTGATCCCTGTTACTGCCTCTCCCCAGCCTCAATGTTTATACTAAAGGTTCTGCTCTGCAGGTGTATGCAGTGTTGGGATCATTGGGCACCATGTGGATTGCTAAAAGGACACATGACACGGTGAGATGATAACAGATTTAACTGTGTCAGTCCTGGATCCCACTACCAGTGTTGTCAGCTATTTGTTATTGTATTTTCAGTTGTTTTGTTTTCCCAATTTAATTCTCACTCTGTGCCTCTCAACTGCTAACAGTGATAAACGTGATGTAAATAAATGATGACCCTGAAAAGGTGCTTTGCCAGTTATCTCATAGTTTACAAGTTGTATTTTCTTTTAAATAAAGGTTGCAATGTTTTATTGGAGAGGAAAACAAGCCCATTTTAGGAGGATTCTTTGGGGAGTTAAGCATGCCCAGGTCTTTCTCCGGGAAACTGACCAACCCGTCTGCAGAAGGGAGACAACCGTTCCCATCCCTCAGAGCTAGTGGGGAGCGTACCCGCCGGGGTGCAGCGATTCAGATCCCTCAGATTGTACAACTTGTCTGCCAGCTTCACCAACTTGGCTCCTGGGCTGCTGTGTGGTGCCTGCTCCACCTGCTGCCGCTTCCTCTCCAGCTTGGGCAGAGTCTTGTCATCTGTCACCTCCTCCACCAAGCGCCGTACCTGGGTTCCAAAGTGCAGCTCCACTTCATCCAGGGTGGTGTCTGTGTCTTCCACGGTGTCATGGAGCAGAGCCGCCTGGAGACAAGCTCCCCATCAGCCCTGTGACGCCTCTGAGTGGGGTCCGGGACTCCTGCTCCCCACCCGAGCTTCCTGGCAGCCAAGGGGTAACGTTACCTGTAACACCACAATGTCAGTGATTCCTGCCTCGTGGGTCAGGATCCGAGCCACACCTGGTGGGGGCAAAGTAGCAAGTCAGACCGGAGGGAGCCGCAATACTGTGGAACTGGCCTCTCGCTTACTGCCTGTAAATCTCTTATCCTCTCCCTCAGTCAACCATGCCTACCCTCTTGGGATGTCGTTAAACGGCACACCGCAGATCGGTGCCTGGCACAAAGCTTGGCACAAATGAGTCGCTCAATGACGTGCGTGCCCTTCGCTTTCCCTTCCCGGTTCTCACCACCCCTCAAGCACCACGAATTACTCCCGGGCCAGCGCACCCACCGATGGGGTGGTTGATGTAAGGGGTCCCTTCAGGATCCTTCCGTCTTTGCTGTCGGTGCTTACGAGCCGCGAAGTCTGCAGCTTCCAACAGCTGCGCGACTTCCGAGCCCATCACGCGGGTGGCGCAGGGGACTGTAGCAGGTGAGTCGGAGTATGCGGGCGTCTGCAGCGCCCCCTAGCGCGCTGGAGGCCCGGGCCGGGGTAGATTGCTGCAATTTTGATTCCCTCTGAAGGTCCGAAGCCCAGAGAAAAATGGTGTGTGGAGATACTGCAATATCGCAGCCCTCGGTCAACCTGGCTCTCTGGGAGCTCACAGTCCTGGAGGACGGAGAAAACAAACAAGAAATCAGACAAGCTTCACGGTGCGCCCCTGAATTCGGGGCTGGAAGCCACAGGGGACTGTGGGGGTCTACACTGATAAAGAATGTTCTCAGGAGGAAAAGGCAATTTCCAAGTTGTCTACATAGCGAAAGCCTCTTTTTTTCCCCTTTTTTGTTAATTGGTTCCAGGGATCGAACTCACGGCCACACACTTGCAAGGCAGGCACTTATGCCGCTGAGCTAAATCCCCAGCCCCTGCAGCAAAAACTTTCAAAGTGCTATAAAAACTACCTCTGCAGCTGCCAGCCCTGTTACTGTGGGCCCAGGAGAAGGGCCTGAGACTTGGGGGAAAAGAGTCTTAACCTGGGATCCCTGCCTAACTACCTCAGATTCAGGCTCCCAGGCATCACTGGTGTTTCCCCACAAACGGTCTTTGTTCTTAGTGCCAGGACAAACTTTGCATTGCTTTCTTGCGCTGTAAGGGCTCCCGCTCCACTCCCCAGGCACCTGCTGGGGTCCCTCAGGTGATGAGTCTTTTTTTCAGCTGTTCTGGGAGCACCTTGTTGCCTGGCTTGGGTAAGCACTGGAATAACACTCTGCTGGCTAGTAGCCTTGGCCTTCTGGGGAAATTCCCTGCCTTAGGAATGGCAGCTATGAGCTATGAGGAGTAAGAGACCTGAAGAGCCCCCAAAGGACTTCCTTTGTAACACTGATCTATGAATGCCTAATAGATAACAAAAGGTAGGATGAAGCTTTGTACCTCTGTCTTTATTTTATTTTTATTTAAATTTTATTTATTTTGAGATAAGGTCTCACTATGTATTCCGGGCTGGCCTTGAATTCACCATGTTAATTCAACACAGACTGGTATTGAACTCACAGTAATTCTCCTGCCTCAGCCTCTTGAGTGCTGGATTTAGGCCTGTGCCATCACACCCAGCTCTGCCTTCCTTTTTGATATTCTTTGTCTGTGTGTGTGTGTGTGTGTGTGTGTGTGTGTGTGTGTGCCGGGAATCCAACTCAGGACCATGTGCTTGTCAGGCAGGCACTGTACCACTGAGCTGTATCCCTGGCCCCTGCCTCCCTTTTATATCTGTCTCCTTTATTACCTTATAACTTGGGGGCAGGTCCCTGCTCAGCTTTGCACGTGGGTCTGTTACACTTAAGGATGCCTATCTAAAAAGTAGGAATACATGGCTCTAAATTCATCTAACCTGTCCCACTGTCCTGCAAGACCAACCACACCCAGAATAACTAAAGTAATTTTCAGGATTTGCACGGACATACAACTGCCAGCTTCTGCAGCAGCATCCCACTTCAGACTCCCTGGACTGATGCCTAGGATCACAGGTCATTGATCTAAACCTAGAGTCACCTCAGATTCTAGGAAAACCAGCGTCTCACAACCCACCCCATGATGAAATCAGCCCCCTCTAAGCTGGTGCAATTATACTGTGACAGTGACAGTAACTGGGAACTGAATTGTCCCCTCAAGAGATGCTGTCTCTCCCTAACAAAGCCTGGGACACTATCAACCAGACCAGGTTTCACCAGGGTTACCCATACTGACAGCTATGCAAACCCCAAGCTATGCTGTGTCTTTCAAGATTTTTTTCAAGTCTTGAACCTTTGGGGTCTGTTCTCCCAGCAGAACCTTTCTGATACAAACTCCTCTGCTGCCCTTGACACTGCTCGTCTCCGTGATCGGCAGTTGGGAAAGGGTAGCCAAGCTGATTTGTTGGGTCACTACAGCCAGGGCTATTACCCTAAAGCCCTATAGCACCTGACAGGTGCAGTCAGCCAGTTGCTAAGTGTACTCCAGTCAGACAGGCAGCTTTTGCATTCTGCTTGGTAGCCAGGGGAGCTGAGGCTCATGGGAAGGTAATGGGAGGCCTCTCCCTTGGTTTTCACCTGGGTTTTGTGGTTGCCACGTTGCATGGTTAGGGAGGAAAGTCCCACCGCTGGAACTGAGGTCTCTTGGGCATCAAATGAATTGTCAGAATCCCCAGGACTTCACAGCAGTCTAGAAGCTAGAGCATGGTTAGATAGCAACATGTTTGCTTCTGTCTGATCTTTAGGCTGATTGCTCAACTCCTCTCTCATCCCTCATGCTCTCCTCCAGTCCTCTGAGCCTTCTTCCCTTCAGCTCAGAAAACCCTGGACTGATGGGAGCCATGGGACCTGCATCTTCCAGCAGATGACAGCCACGGAGTCACTTCTGTTTCTCTAGAAGCCTGTTAGAGGCTCAGGTAGAGGAGCCTTGGGCTGGTGTTAATGCTGCCTGAGAAGCCTCTTGGATTTTTATCTATTTATTTTGGTACCGGGATCAAACACAGGACCTTGTGCTTGCCAGGCAGGCACTTACACCACTGAGCTAAACCCCCAGCTCCTCTTTGATTTTTAACTCCTTACTGTCTGCAGCCTTGATTTAGACTGAGAGATGTCGGGGTTCCTAGGACCAGGGTTGAGGTGCAGGTGACTCTCATGGGCTCCCAGAGGAGGAAGCTGGGACCCTTGCTGACAGGCCTGTCCCTGGGGCTGCTGCTGCTCTTCAGTTGGAGGACCCTGGCCCAGCCCACCTCACATTCAGGTACAGTCTCGTCCCCCATGTGCGGTCTGCCCCACGAACAGGGAGGGAACTGCCCTTCCCTTCCGGAGGGGTAGATCTAGTACAGTGGGATGTGGTCAACACACCTGGTCGTCTCCACCCCTCTCATCTCTCTCTTCAGTACTGGTCCACCACCCCTACTTGTGCCAGGCCACCCGGGATGCCGATGGCCGTCACCATACTGGTTTCTTTTGTCCTCGGCTCTCCGATTCTCGGGAGGAGGCCTACTGCTGCCATCTGCCGGCTGCAGGGAGCTCCTGCTGCACGCGCGCTGAATTCGAAGCCCTGTACCAGGTCAACCTGTCGGCTGTTCCACCCCCACGCATCCTCAGGTGAGAGCACCAACCCCGCAGTCAGGGTTGGTCAGAGCACCATCCCCGCAGAGATAGACAGGGCAGTGCAGTATCTTTGGCTGTGTTCTCAAATTCGGGGATGAGGAGACTTGTAGCTTGCAGATTAGTGGAGGGACAGAGCAAAGCGACAATCACATAAATGGTGATTCAAAAAACTGTGAAGGTAGCCGGGCTCACGTGTATTCCTCGCATTCTGGGAGGCTGAGGCAGGAAGATCACAAATTGAACCCTTGCCTGGGGAGCTTTGCGACTTGGCCGAGACCCTGTCTCAGAATTAAAAATAAAAAAGGACTGAGAATGTAGCTCACTGTGAAGACCCTGGGTTCAATCTCCAGTACTGGAGAGGGGTGGTCAGGAGACTATGAAAGCCGGAAGATAACAGGGAGGCCCATGCCTCTGTGTTGGGGGCACAGTGGTGGGTCTTGGTGTCAGTCAACACTGAGAATCAAATACTCTGTGGATTACACACATTATAAGTGGGCGGCTCAAGGTATTCCTGAGCTCCTGTATTTGTTTGCAAATGTCTGAACGAAAGTCTGCATTTGCCCAGGGCTGGGATCCTGCACTTTTGCAGGATCCTGATACTCTCCCTCCCTTCTACCACAGGGGCCCCGGGTCGCTCTTGGCGCTGGGCCTCTATAGCCTGCTGCTGGTGGCCCTGGTGACCGCCGACTTTGTGCACTTCTATCGCGGCCGCCGGCGGGGAAGAAACAGCAGCGGCCGCCCGTCTCGCCCTTCTTTCTCTACCGTGCGCCCCCTGCGGGTCCCGGCGAGAATAGACTAGGCTTGTCCCGGCCTCTCGCCCCTTGGCCCCGCCCCTTGGCCCCACCCCTATGACCCCGCTTCTGACGCAAGGGGCGGGGCGTCCAGCGTGCACCTCCCCAGCCGCAGACCTGCGCCTGCGCGGGCCGGAGTTTCAGCGCTGCGATGACTGTGAGTGGTCCTGGGACCCCCGAGCCCCGGCCCACCATCCCTGGGGTGCGTACTCAGCCTCCCGTCTGGCACCCCTCACACTGCTTGCCCGTTCCCGTGCTTCCCTCGGCCCCATCCCTTGCTTCCGTGGGACTTGTACCCTCCAACCCTCCTAGCTCCCCGGAGCCCCCACCCCACCACGTTCCCATCCCTACTCTCCGACAGGCCAGCTCGGCGGAGCAGCTGCGCAAGGAGGGCAACGAGCTGTTCAAATGCGGAGACTACGAGGGAGCCCTGACGGCCTACACCCAGGCCCTGGATCTGGGCGCCACGCCCCAGGACCGGGCCGTCCTGCACCGGAACCGGGCCGCCTGCCACCTCAAGCTGGTGAGGGCCGGAGCCGCTGTCCCCCTGCTTGCCCGACCGGGCTGGACACTCACTTTCCCTGGCCACTCTCGGTTGCCAATGTCTCAGTCTCAGGGTGGAGGGGCATCAATCGGGTGACTAAAGAACAAATCCCTCCGCTGCCAGCTAGTGCCTGGGAATGGAGGTGACTGTCTCAGGCTCCTGATCTTGCTTTTACAGGAAGAGTACGAGAAAGCAGAAACGGAGGCTTCTAAAGGTAGGAAAGTGGGCCCCGGGGTAGCCGTGAGTGGGGCTTCTGCTGTGGGCAGGGACTCTGGGACCACCGCTCCGTCTTCTGCCTTGGTCCTGTGACAAGCTTGCTTGCTTTCTTTTCCACTTTTTCGGGCATTTCCTTTTCTGCAGCTGTCCTCACCTTGTGAGACTGGAGTACCGAGCCCCACTTCCGTCTCCCCACCTTCCTTGGGTCCTCGAGATCTTTCCCTACTGCTCTTGCCTGGAGACGTTGGCCTCTTGGGTGCTGACGGAGCTCCTGTTTGTGCTCAGCCATTGACAAGGACGGTGGCGATGTGAAGGCCCTTTACCGGCGGAGTCAAGCCCTAGAGAAGCTGGGCCGCCTGGACCAGGCTGTCCTTGACCTACAGAGATGTGTGAGCCTCGAGCCCAAGAACAAAGTTTTCCAGGAGGCCCTGCGGAGCATTGGGGGGCAGATACAGGAGAAGGTATGCGGAACTCAGGAGAGCTCGGGGTACTGACCGGCAAAGGGACCCGGGTCGGGCTGTGGAAGTAGCTACTGGTGGCAGATGAGTGTAGGATGATACTCAGCTTTGCCATTGGTTAGGGGAAGTAAATTAAAACAACGATGTCTTCTGGTGGTCTGTTTGGCAGACATGTAAAGTTTGGACACTTCCTGAGGCAGACACCAGCAGTGAACCTGGAAGGACAAGGACGTTATGACTGGTGGGGGCGGGTGTAAATTGGTACAGCTCCTCTGGAGAGGATGTTTCCATGTCTATTACAGTGTTTACACATGGATTTATTTGCTGGGGATTAACCCAGGGCCTCACTTATGGTAGGCCAGTGCTCTGCCACTGAGCTATAGCCTCAGCCCCTTATTAACATTTTTAATGAACGTTTTCTATGGCCCAGTATGTTTACTTCTTATCATAGAAATCCTCATTCATGTGCACAAGTAGGTGTGTGCATATTTATCTCAGCCTCATTTGTAGAAAGGAAAACTTGGAATTTGTCTGTGTAATAGAATAGCAAAGTGGGTGATGCTCTTAGAGTTGTCTAGATTGTAGTTGATGAGAAGAGGTAGGTCCACACGTATCCACGCAGAAAGCTCTTTGACACTTGTTGAGTGAAAGAAATGCAAGCTATACAATAAAACGTAGGTGGGATGTTATTTATGGCGGAATGTTCTCCAGATGTATATCCAAACCAGTACTGCTTTTTGTGGGTGTGCTTGGATAATTACATATAAATACAAATGAGAAGTATTTTAAAATTTGTATGATAACTTTGCGACTCTTGAGGAAAGGAATGGGATTGAGCTTTCTTTCCAAAGAGACTGATTTGTCTTTTTCCTTTTTATCGGTACCGGGGATCGAACTCACAACTGTCTGCTTTACAAGGCAGGCGCTTATGCTGCTGAGCTAAATCTCCAGCCCCTGTTTTGTCTGTTTTTTAAATTGGGAGATATCATTGTGGTGTATATCTTGTTTTTGCTTTTTTAATGTAATATATAGGTATATATCAATCTTTTTTTGTGTGTGTGAGACAGGGTCTCTCTATGCAGTCCAGGCAGGCCTGGAGCTCACTTTGTAGCCAGGCTGGTCTCATACTTGCAACGATCCTCCTGTCTTAGCCTCCCTAGTGCTGGGATTATAGGCGTGAGCCACCATGCCCGGCATATCAGTCATACATATCAAAAGGCACTAGATATTGAAACCAGGGCCTTCACACTAAGCTATATCCTCAGCCCTTTGTTTTGTTTTGTTTTGTTTTTTTGAGAGAGGATTTCACTATATTTCCCACATTAACTCTTACAATCCTCCTCTCTCAGCCTCCCAGAGTGCTGAGATTACAGATATGCCTGGCTCTTTTTATTTGAGATAGGGTCTTGCTAAGTTCCCCAGGCTACCCTTAAACTTGTGATCCTCTGTTTCAGCCTCTCAGACAGTAGAGGTTACAATTTTGTGCCACTGTATTGTAGCAGATACATTTTTATTTTTATGCTTTGGTACGGGGGATTGAATTCAGGACCTTGTGCTTGCCAGGCAGGCACTGTGGCACTTAGCTATATACCTGGCCACCAGTATTTTTTTTTTATTTGTTTTTTTGTCTTTTTCTTTTTTATCGGTACCAGGGATCGAACTCACGACTGCCTGCTTGCAAGGCAGGCGCTTATGCCACTGAGCTAAATCCCCAGCCCCCAACCACCAGTATTTTTAAATTGAGTTACAACAATGAATTGAAAGGGTCCCGGGGGGGTAGTCTAATCACCTACCTGGCAAGCACAAGGTCATGAGTTCAATACCTGGTACAAAAATAAAAAGGGGTGGGGAATAAATTGAAGGACCATCATGAGCTATAACCAAGCTTGAATTAACCAAATAATTTGGCTAATGATAGTTAAAATGCTGTCATAGTGGGAACAACTATGAACTTCCAGTTTATTGAAAGGTTGATCCTTGGGTAAGCAAGTAGCTTTCCTCCCGCTGCCAATTCTTGAGTGGCAGCAGCTGACTAGAATGCTCTGTTGAGAATGGTTAGGATGAAGATTTTCTGAGGTTAGCCAGAGGCCACGCTGTGATCAATTAATTATGTCTGCCTGGATGCAAAGAGGGAAGAAGGAGTGGTGCACTTGGGATTTATGACTCTGTGTCCAGGACTCTGGGAGGGGAGGGGAAGAGGTTTAGAATGATCTTGCCCATGCAGATTAGTTTTTAAAACTGTTAAGAGAATTCTGGCTGGGAATGGCGGTTCACATCTGTAATCCCCATACTTTGGAAACTGAGGCAAAGGAGTCACCATGAGTTCAATGGCAGCCTTCGCTACATACAAGTTCAAGACCACCCTTAGCAACATAGTGAGGCCCTGTCTCAAAAAAAAAAACCCACCAAAGCGGGAGGCCAAGGGAATGTTGACAGATCTCTACAAGACATAAATACGAGTTCAGTGCTGTGGCGGCACACGTGTATGTGTTTCTTTATGGCATTGCCTGCAGCAGTGGTGCTGTCCTAGTGGCCAAGCAGGAAGTAGATCAGAAGAAAATGGCTCCCAGCAAGTCTGTTCCTGCCCGGCGTGCCATGGCTCTGGGCCTGAACCAGCCTCCTCCCTGCTTCCCAGCGATGGGAGTCAGGCTTCAGAGAGCCAGGGAGGACAAGCAGGGACATGTTGGCTCTGACCAGGAATGGTAACTTCTGCATCTTGCTGGCCCATTGTAGGTACGATACATGTCCTCGACAGATGCCAAGGTGGAGCAGATGTTCCAGATCTTGCTGGACCCAGACGAGAAAGGCACTGAGAAGAAACAGAAGGTACATCCCTGGTCAGGACCAGTGGGCTGAGCCCCCCACTGCAGCCATCATCCTCAGCCTCGTTCAGCTGTGTGGGTCTCAAACCTCCTGGCCTGGGTCACATGTCCTACATGGTCCTCTAAGGACCTGGGGCCTTGCGGCCGTGAACCAGGAAAGGGAACCCATTCACAGAGTGCCCCTGGCCAGGGGCTGAGCCAGAGTTGGGTGTACAGAGGTGATTGGGCACTGCTGTGCCCTTCAGTCTGTGCCAGGGACTCAGTTCACCAGGACTCATTTCCTGTCATCAATCCTAAGAGCAGGTTGGTTCTCCTCCATAAGAAGCTGAAGTTTCAGGGCTGGGAATTTAGCTCAGTGGTATAAGTGCCTGCGTTGCAAGCAGGCAGTCGTGGGTTCGATCCCTGGTACCAATAAAAAGGAAAAAGACAAAAAAAAAAAAAAAAAAAAAAAAAAGAAGCTGACGTTTACTTGGGTTTTTGGCCACTGTCACTCAGCTGCTAAGTGGGAGCTCGGATGTCCCAGCTTGGGGCTTCTGCATGCTGTGCCCTGTGCTGGGCGCAGTATCACAGTCACAGTGCACTTCCTCTGACGTAGGCTTCCCAGAACCTGGTGGTGCTGGCACGGGAGGATGCTGGAGCTGAGAAGATCTTCCGGAATAATGGAGTTCAGCTCCTGCAGCGCCTGCTGGACACAGGAGAGACAGACCTCATGCTGGCAGCCTTGCGCACGCTAGTTGGCATTTGCTCTGAGCACCAGTCCCGGGTAGGTGAGGTAGAGGTCTGTCTGTCCATCCACTCACCCACCTATCCATCCATTTGTGCTTCTACCCCTCCCCTTATTCCAGAAAGAATTTAAGGCAGCAGGTAGGAGACAGAGGAGGAGAAAGAAAAATGGCACCAAAAAGGTCCATGAGTTAGGGAGAGGGTACAGCCAGGAAAGACAAGAGCAGCCTCCAGCACCTGGGCCTGCTTCCCTGCAGCCAGCTCCCAGACGGGCTAGCCAGGTGCCCGGGTTCACATGGTGAAACTCAGACAGGCACCTGCCCTGGCCTGTGTCTAGATGAGACCGGCTTTTCCTCAGCTAATGATGGAGTCACAGGTCCCTCACAGCATTTTTACCATTGAGATGGTGACCTGAGTCTAGCACAGACTGGAGTCTCTAGCAAAGACAGTTCTGTTCCTGGGACACTATGGTGAAATCCATGTCCCCAGCTCTCACCTAAGTGGCTTAATTCAGAGGACAGGAACTTGACCCTTGGGTACTTGGAGAGGTGCCTACAGTTTCTGATTAGATGTGGAGTGGGAAGTGCTCAGTATAGAATGCTTAGCCAAGTACAGACTGTATTTCTGGGCCAACCCGTTTACTTTCTGTTACTTTTCATGTGGTCCTGGATTCTCCAGCCCAGAAAGGAGGTGGGGGCCTTGCAGGCACATCGTGTGCATGTCCATATCCCCAGGTGGTGTTGGACCGCAGGGCTGGAACTGGGGAGAAACGAGGTGTCCGTAGGCTTTGCAGCCGGATTTCTGCATCTCCTTTGGAGACCTGAGCCAAAGTAGCTGTTTCTAGGGCACGGTCCCTGTGCCTTCTGGTTGTGTACTGGTCTTCAGCAATCCTTCCCACCAAAAACCGTCCTGTTGGGGTACTGTCAGACAGGCCTATGTTCTCCTTCCTGGGCACTGAGCATTCCTGCCAGCTGTTGCTTTGGGTTGTGCACTCCAGCTGCCAGGTAGCAGTCTGTGTGGCTGCTCTGTGCCAACCTGAGGCTGTCTGCTCCTCTCCCCAGACAGTGGCAACCCTGAGTGTGCTGGGAACTCGGCGTGTGGTGTCCATCCTGGGCGTAGAAAACCAGGCCGTGTCCCTGGCTGCCTGCCACCTGCTGCAGGTGATGTTTGATGCCCTCAGGGAAGGTGTCAAGAAAGGCTTCCGAGGCAAGGAGGGCGCCATCATCGTGGGTGAGTGGAGGCCAGCCTGGGGCTGTGTTGAGGTTTCTGTCACAGGGGACGGGAGCCAGGCCAGCTCTTTTGGGACTAGACTTGCAGTTGCACATTGCTCAGATTTTGAGTCTAAGCAGCCAGGGTGTCCGTAGGGGAGGCTGCAGCTCAGGCCAGAGCCCAGCATGCAGGGACCCTTTCCCTGGATCACCCTGGCTAGGTGAGAGAGTTAAGGGTCACAGAGGGTGGTTACTGTAGAGCCCAAAAGTGTTCCTTTTGTTGTTTGGGAGCTGCTGAGCTTGAACCGAGGCCTCTACTGACCCTGTGTGTGTCCTGTTGTCAGAGCCCGGCCGGGAACTGAAGGTCCTCATCACTAACCTCCTAGAGCTGCTGACTGAGGTGGGTGTCTCTGGCCAGGGCCGAGACAATGCCCTGACCCTCCTGATCAAAATGGTGCCCCGGAAGTCTCCTAAGGACCCCGACAATAGCCTCACTCTCTGGATCATTGACCAAGGTAGGTGATACAGTTTATGGAAGCTTGCTTAAGTGGCTGAGGTCTGTGTGTCCCCAGAAGTGGTAAGGAAAGTACTAACGGAGTGTGGACCTTACGTGGCCTATGTAGGGCTCTCAGGGAGTCTAAGCTTAGGTTCTGTGTATGCACATGTGTATGTACAAATGCACGTACACTGGGCAGGCCTGTGAGCAGATTAATGGAGGCTGGAGTAGCTTCCTGGGGCTGAAGTTTTGGTTGGTTGGTTGGTTGATCTTTTAGACACAAGGTCTCACCATGTAGTTCAGGTTGGCCTTGAACTTACAGCAACTCTCCTGCTTCAGCCTCTTGAATGATGGTATTACAAGTGTGTGCCACCACACCCAGCTTGGTTTTTGTTTGTTTTTTTAAGTGAACATGGCAAGATTTTATTGTCTTCATAGAAACAAAAAATGAAAGTTAAAACCGGATCGCTTGGCCCTTTGTCTTTTTATTTCCTTCCAGTTAAAAATATTGCATGTCTTAATAGCCAGCATTCTCTTAGATCTGCATTTGGGTTCAACCCAGTCAAGCCTCAGCACGATCTTTGTAGTTTTGCCCTTTTTCCAGAAAATCAGCTTAGCCTGTCACCCATAGCTGCTCTGCTTCCTGTCATAATGCCGCTTTCCCTGGACATACAGAGAATCTTTGCCTTTCTTGTACTGTGTCACTTTGTTGGGTCGGTGCTTGCCACTCTTGAAGTTTGCTGGGGGCCAGGGATACAGCCCAGCAGCACACTGCCTGCCTGGCAAGCATGAGGTCATGAGTTTGATTCCCCAGTACCAAAAAAAAACCCCAGAAAGTTCGCTGGGGTTTAGGAACATTCACCACACTTGCAAGAGTGCTATCAGCAAGGAAAGAAAGCTTTTTTTTTTTTAAAATGCTGGCAAAGTTTTGCCAAAAGTAGGAAAAGAGGGCTGAGGAGATAGCTTAGCGGCATAAGTGCCTGCCTGACAAGCACAAGGTCCTGAGTTCAATTCCAGGTACCAGAAAAAAAAAAAAAGGGTATGGAAAGAAACAGGTTGTGAAGAGTGAATTTGAGCCAAGTAAAATTAGGAAAAGAAAAGGAGTATACCATATAGCATTGGGCAGCCCACAGTGGCCTACGCTTTTTTTTTTTTTTTTTTTTTTTGAGATAGGGTCTCACTATATAGTCCAGGCTGGCCTGCAATTTGCTATGTAGCTGGAGGTGGTCTCAAACATGTGGTCCTCTTGCCTCAGCCTTCCGTGTGTTGAGAGTACAGTCATGTGCCACCAAGCCTGGTAGTTTGGTTTTTGAAACAGCACTTAGTTATGTATACCAGGCCGGCCTGGAACCCACGATCCCCCTGCCTCAGCCTCTCAGGCCTGGGATCACAGGTTTGTACCACCAGGCACAGCTAAGTCTTTAATGGTTGAGGTGAACATGTATTCTCTTCTCGTATCAATCCATACTTCTCTTTTGCACACAAAGATACATAAGCAAAGCCTTTGAACATATCTGTGAGGTCCCTGTATATACCCCGTCTCCATCATCCTGGTGTCTCTGCAGGGCTTGAGTATCCTTTTCCCCTTAGGATTACAAAGCAGGAGTGGCAAAGCCCGGAGCACTGTGTCACTGCAGCGCTGGCACGCAGAGCTCCCATGTGTATCTCCCCTGTGGCACAGCTGCTCCCCAGGGTAGCGGATGGGCTGGCCAGGTCCCCATGTGCCTTGCTGCCACCTCTGACCTTTGCAGTCTCCTAGCTGAGCAGGCTCCTGCTTCCATGTGTCTCCTGGAAGCCACCTCCCTTTCCCTGCAGATGGAGGTGCTGGTGTCCTAAGTGGGTGCCTTTTTTAGGTCTGAAAAAGATCCTGCAGGTGGGGGGCTCCCTGCAGGACCCTGCCGGGGAACTTGCAGTGACAGCCAACAGCCGAATGAGCGCCTCCATTCTGCTCAGCAAGCTCTTCGATGACCTGAAGTGTGACGCCGAGCGAGAGAATTTCCACCGACTCTGTGAGAGTTATATCAAGTAAGGCCGGCCCTCCATCACCAGGGTTAGGGCAGCGGAGTGCGGACTGGTAGGAGCCACAGCGGTGAAGGGCTAACAGCAGGGAGAGCAGCTTGGACAGCGCTAGCGGACGTGTGACAGAGTCCAAGGCCCACTTCTTATTTTCTTCATCTGAGACAGGGTCTTGCCATTTTGCCGGGTTGGCCTTGGCCCGCTGCCTCAGCCCCCTGAGGAGTGGGGAGCACAGGTGTAGGCGCTGTGCCCGGCCCACGCCTTGTTCCCAAAGTAAGCAGGGCAGGGAGCTTTGCTCAGATTAATTTCCAGGAGTGCGAACAGTACATCCAGCACAGACTGTGATTATGAAGCACGGACTGTATGTGTCCCAATCCAAGAGGGATACGTGCCAGTCCTCAGCTAAAAGGAGCTGTCGGGGGAGACTGAGGATATGTTACGGGACAAACAGCAGGATCTTGGGACAGGCAGCCAGCGGCCGGGGATAGGGAGAGTGGCCTGTGTGTTACCAGGGAATGCGTGCTTGGAAGTGGAAAGAAAACTGGTGCCAGGCGCGTGTGTGGTACCAGACTGAAGGCTGAAGCAGGAGGCTTGCAAGCAGGAGTGCTGCCTAGGAGCAGGAGCTTAGCAAGACCTTGCCTCAAGACAGGCATGTAGCTCAGCGTGAAGCCCTTGGTCCCATCCCCAGGACCTTGCAAAAAGAAAGAAATGGGTGGCAGCCATCCAGATGCAAAGTTTCCCATGGCAGTTTTTCTTTTTTAAACTATTTCTGGACAGTAGAGGGGAATAGCAGGAAAGTCTCTTTATGTGTGCCTTGGTGTGACCGCTGTCACCCTGTGTCCCTCAGGAGCTGGTTTGAAGGCCAAGGGCTGGCTGGGAAGCTGCGGGCCATCCAGACGGTGTCCTGCCTCCTGCAGGGCCCATGTGATGCCGGCAACCGGGCCTTGGAGCTAAGCGGGGTCATGGAGAGCGTGATCGCCCTGTGTGCCTCCGAGCAGGAGGAGGAGCAGCTGGTGGCTGTGGAGGCGCTGATCCACGCGGCTGGCAAGGCCAAGCGGGCCTCGTTCATCACTGCCAGTGGCGTCTCACTGCTGAAGGACCTGTACAAGCGTAGCGAGAAGGACAGCATCCGGATCCGGGCGCTGGTGGTGAGGTGATGGGTGGGCTACAGGACCCCACCAGGGCCAGAGGCCTGGGACTGCTTCCTCCCAGCCCAGGGCTTCTGGTCAGGTCAGGTGAGCCACATACAGAGAAAAAACAGCTGCAGGGTTCACACAGTGTCCCTGGGAGCTGGTGGTCTGGGCTCAGCTGCTGTGGACCTCCTCTGGCAGAGGCCTGGATCTCTGTGTCCCATAAGGACCCGACTGCCCAAAACCTCTATCTTTTCTCTGTGAGTGTCTTGGCTTCGCTTGCAGAGGGCTTTTTCATATAGCATAGGAAGGGACAGCAGTTCTCAGTGAAGACTGGGAAGGGCTGGACGCTGCAGTGACCACTGACATCCTGTGTCATGTGGCCACTCAGTAGGTGATCGTGCTGCCCAATGCTGCAGGGTGGCCTGGCAGGATGTGCTGGTCAGTGTGGTGATCTCCAGAAGACCACATGGGAGGCCTAGGCTAGGGCTGAGGTCACTTCCAGCCTCTGTCCCACAGCCAGGCAACTGTTCTGTCTGCTCCCCCAGGGACTCTGCAAGCTCGGCTCGGCTGGCGGGACTGACTTTAGCATGAAGCAGTTCGCCGAAGGTTCCACTCTCAAACTGGCCAAGCAGTGTCGGAAGTGAGTTGTGTGGCTTGGTTGTGGCTCCACACCTGTCTGATTGCTCAAGAGGGCAGGTCTTGGGGCTCCTTCTGATGACCAGCAGCCCCAGCCAGACCCCTGGGATCCTGGCACGTGACCTGCTTCCATCGTGTTGAGGGAGCCCCTGTTTTGTGCTTATTTGCTTTGTGCTCTCAAGTCTGACACTCTCCCCTGCCCTGCGTGTCCCCAGGTGGCTCTGCAATGAGCAGATTGACGCAGGCACGCGGCGCTGGGCCGTGGAGGGCCTGGCTTACCTCACCTTTGACGCTGATGTGAAAGAAGAATTTGTGGAGGATGGGGCCGCTCTAAAGGCACTCTTCCAGCTCAGCAGGGTAGCTCCTGGTTTCCTACTGTCACCCCGGGGACCCTGTCCCAGGAAGGAAGGTGGCTACTTTGTGGGTGTGGGCATCAGCAGAGTCCGGAAGGGTGACTTCTCTGGAGGGACTGAGGATGGAGGCTGGGGTTCTCTGAGTCCAGGGGCTGGGGAGGTCCAGGGGTCTGGTCTTCCTGTGCCCGCTTGCCCTGCTGAATGCCCCTCTGCCTTGGCAGTCTGAGGAGAGGTCTGTGCTCTTTGCGGTGGCCTCGGCCCTGGTTAACTGTACTAACAGCTACGACTACGAGGAACCTGACCCCAAGATGGTGGAGCTGGCCAAGTATGCCAAACAGCATGTGCCTGAGCAGCATCCCAAGGTGAGGACCACTGGAAGGCAGGCCTCCCGGTTCCTGAGTCCTTTGGCCCAGGGCATCTGCCTGCAAGCCGGCCATCTCCCTTTGGTGAACATCAGTGTCCTTGGTGGGAAGGGTCCCTCTTCCAGTCCAGTGGTACCAGGGCCCTGAGCTGCCTCCCTCATTAGGACAAGCCTAGCTTCGTACAAGTGAGGGTGAAGAAGCTGCTGGCAGCTGGCGTGGTGTCAGCCATGACCTGCATGGTAAAGACCGAAAGCCCTGTGCTGACCAATTCCTGCCGAGAGCTGCTCTCCAGGTGAGCTGCCAGGGGCGCTGCACCCCCAGCTCCTGCCAGGCAGGGCCTGTGCTGTGGCCATCTTCAGCTTCCTGCTCTATCCCCGCAGGGTCTTCCTGGCTCTGGTGGAGGAGGTGGAGGACCGAGGCGTGGTGGTGGCTCAGGGTGGGGGCAAGGTAAGTGCTGTGCTTCCTGCCTGTGGCCTGGGACCCACTGGCTGCCATGCCTGAGGGCGGGCTTGGCAGGGCACAGAAAGACATGGTTAGTGAACAGCAGGACCATCTCCCTGAGGAGGGAGTAGGGCTGGCCTGGCTCCCCAGGGTCCCTCACTCCCTGTAGGTCTGAGGTCATCCCCTCACTGGCTTTTTTCCCTTCATGGCCCAGGTGTCCAGCCCAGGTCTGGCCCTGAATAGGTGTTGCAGCAGGTGCTAGGCCAGGATGAGCAGACCCAAGGGGTGCGGTCAGTCTGGAGAGATGGGAAGGCTGAGGGCACAGCCAGGGTCTGTCCTGGCACTGATGGGCTTGTTTCTCTAGGCACTGATCCCGCTGGCCCTGGAAGGTACCGAGGTGGGGCAGACCAAGGCTGCCCAGGCCCTCGCCAAGCTCACCATCACCTCCAACCCAGAGATGACCTTTCCTGGTGAGCGGGTGCGTGCCATCTTCCCTGGGCCTGTCCTCTCCTGCAACCCCTTCCTGGGCCCAGATGGCCACTGGCCAGGCCTCCCCTGAGACCAACAGGAAGCAGTGGCAGCCTGAGAAAGCCACTCTCAGGACTCCTGCCTGTAGGGTGACTGGGTCGTGGGGGCTGTGGCAAGTGGCTCTGACAGGTAGCGTTTGGATTGCAGATCTATGAGGTGGTCCGGCCCCTCGTCTCCCTGCTGCATCTTGACCGCTCAGGACTGCAGAACTTCGAGGCGCTCATGGCCCTAACAAACCTGGCTGGGATCAGCGAGAGGCTCCAGTGAGCACCTTACTCTAGGCACTGGGATTGTGATCTTCCCTGATAGCATTTACAGCTAAAAAGTATCCCCTGGTTATTGGTGTGCACATGTGTGTTACTGGGAACAGGCAAAGTCCTTTTTTATTTTTTATTATGAAACACAGCCTTAAAAGTCACTCAGTTACCTAGGCTGGGCTCAAACTTGTGATCTTCCTGCCCCAGCCTCTCAGAGTGCTGGGATTGCAGGCATGTGCCACCACATACAGCTGGTCCTTGGCTTCTCAGCCTCACAGTGACTTTCACATTGTGCATGTGAGGCAGGAGACACAATCTCAGTTCAAGTCCTGGGTTCACTCAATACCAGTGTGTGATCTCATGCAAATTACTTAACTTCTCTGCCTCAGTTTCTCCATGATTGAGATAATCATGATACCTAGCTCATGGAGTAGTGATGAGGACAAGTAAGTGAGAAAATCCATGGGAAAATATTCCACGCACAAGTGCCTGGCCTCTCACAGTGGGCCCAGCCAGGACTTTGGGCACATGGCTCGCCAACCAGCCACTTTCTCCCCTTGCAAGCTGATAAGACAGTCACCGCTGTGCCTTCACAGCAGGGTTATGGGGACCTAAATAAGACATTGCAAGGACTGGTTGGAAAGCCTGCAGATGATCTTGCCACCATCCCTGTCTCCCATCTCCTGGTTGTGAGCATTTTGCACAGATGTGTGCTTTTTCCAGGCCTGATCAGGAGACCAGAGCAGTGCAGTTCCTGCCTGGTGCAGAAGGACGTGGGCATTGCGGAGGGCTCTGTTCTGCAGGGCTCTGGGGGCCGAGGCTGTGTAGGTGCTGACACACCACCTCTGTCCGCAGACAGAAGATCCTGAAGGAGAAGGCTGTGCCCATGATCGAGGGCTACATGTTCGAGGAACATGAGATGCTCCGGCGGGCAGCCACAGAATGCATGTGTAACCTGGCCATGAACAAGGAGGTGCGTCCAACGCGGGAGCTTGTGACAGGCAGCAGTGCACAGGGAGCTGTGCTCAGCTTTGGCTTCAGGTCCAGCTGACACTGTCCCCTCCTGCCTGGGCCACAGGTACAGGACCTCTTTGAAGCAGAGGGCAATGACCGGCTAAAGCTGCTGGTGCTGTACAGCGGAGAGGATGACGAGCTGCTACGGAGGGCAGCTGCCGGGGGCCTGGCCATGCTTACCTCTGCACGACCCTCTCTGTGCAGCCGCATCCCCCAAGTGGTTAGTGCCCATGCACCCCGAAGCCCCGCCCCGGGAGGGTACGTCCTAGAGGATGAATGTGCTCCACTAGCATCAAGCCTGACACTGTTGGTCACACCTTTCCCGTTTCTCACAGACCACGCACTGGCTGGAGATCCTGCAGGCCCTGCTTCTGAGCCCCAACCAGGAGCTGCAGCACCGGGGTGCTGTGGTGGTGTTGAACATGGTGGAGGCCTCGAGGGAGATCGCCAGCACCCTGATGGAGAGCGAGGTGCTGGAGATCCTGTCGGTGCTGGCTAAGGGCAAGGAAGGGCCTGTTGCCAGGGCTGCTGCTGCTTGCCTGGTAAAGGCGGTGGAATACGGGCTTATCCAGCCTAACCAGGGTGCAGAGTGAGGGGCTCCCTTCCCCGAGGCTCAGGTGCACGCTTGCTATGACAGCACTGAGGAGGACAGAGGAGCTCTGGCTAACTGAGGCTGGGGTGCTGAGCACAGTGGCTCCCCCTCTGCCAGCTTTGATGTCCTCTTCCAAGTTAAGATCCACATTCAGCCACACTGCCGAAGCACGCCAGCACGGCCTCAAGCCTCACTTAGAAGGCACTGGTGTTTTCTGTACTCCAGAGAGCTGGGAGGGCCCGGTGCAGCCCTGCCCAGCCTGTGCATTCTGGGCCCGGGGCGCCTGGGTCTAGCACCTGTGCACATGCCTCACGCCTGCTGTAGGCCTGCCTGCTAGGGTACAGCGTGTGGGACTCAGATGTGTGCCCTGGCACTGAGCAGAGAAGGCTGCGGAGGGAGAAACAGGAGATGGGCAGGGTGGTTGGAGACCACCTCTGGAGAGGGCTTCCCAGGGGTCCTACCCCGCCTCGCTGTCGGAGGACCAGGGGGTGAGCCTAGGAAGCTAATCAATAAACTGCAGTTTTATGGAAATAAATCGTTTCACGGTACATTTTTCTACATGCCGGGCCTTCAGTACGCTTGTCTTTATAGTCTTAAGTTCTCTGTGATCTGTAGTCAAGCAGTGCTTGCGAAACTTAGGTTGGTGTGCTCCACATATTCGCGGAAAAAAATCTCAAGTTGCTTGAAGGGAATGCGCATGCCCATTAGGGGCGGGCCATTTGCTGAATCTAAGGTGCAGGAAGGAGTTTTTTGGTCCAGCGGATGTAAGTGACGGAGCCCCAGCCAATCGGAGGAAGAGGCACCACCTACAGTCACTTCCGGTTCTGAGCTTGGGCAGTAGGGAGACGGCAGCTGGGATAGTGGAGTGGCTGTGTCCCCCCCATTTTGGGTCTCGTGTCTACCAGTAATTGCGCCCCAGTGTTCGTAGTTACCCTCAGTGGTTCTAATAGGAGCTTTGCGGCCTGCAGAGATTTGATCCGTTTCACCGACGGGCTTGCTTTGGCGCTGCACGGGCATCAGCCCGAAACCATAGAGCTGGGTCGGAGGAGGCGACGGCTGGAAGGTGAGCACAGACCACCGGACGCCGCGCCCCGGGGGATGATGCTGCCGCCCTCGGGATTGATTGGCCGCGAGGAGGCTGCTGCAGCCAATGGCCTCTTCGCTCTGCCCGCTGTCTTTCAAAATTTGTCCTTCTGGTCCAGAGCGCTGGGTTTGAGATACTTTTCTGTGCTGCGGCAGGACGTTCCGAAAGGTGGTGGGCGCAGGGCCGAGGTCAAGGTCATATCTCGAGTTGAGAGTGGATGTGGTTGTAGGAGAACTCAGGATCTGACTTTAGAGGTTGAAAGTGTTGTATATTTCTAATTAAGCTGAACCACCCAGGTGGGGCGGTGGCGTTGCCATCGGAACTGCGTACGGTCCATTCTGCCCCTCGTTAAGTGTGAGCTCCTTAGGGGCAGATAGCATCCACGCTGGCCCAGGGTGACGGCTCAGTGAAGACTTGTTGAACGACTAAGTGACCACATGAGGTCTACTGGAAATTGTGGTCTTTGAACACCAGTAAGATGTACAGTGCCCATTTTTCTTAACTCTAACTACTGAGCCTCCCGAACCAACAATATCAGGGCTGGAGCCTTTATATTACAAACAGCTATTTTGAGTAGGGTCCAGCAGCACCCTTCCATCCCCTTTGTAACACAAGAAATCCAATTGGCCACTGGAGCGCTTGCGTGGCCCATGCTCTCATGGAGCAGTGGAGCAGTGGGATCTGGGCTCTGAGCCTTGTCCTGGCTCTGACTGGTCAGATTACTTGCTTTGATGTCTGCTGTAAGAGGGGCCCAGCTGTGATACCCGTGATGGCCTGTAGTAAAATCCGGGGCTGGAGAGGAGACTCAAGTCCTGGGGCAAGGCCTGAGGTGAAGCCAACCGGTGTCCCCTGACAGTTTAGAACTGTGTAAAGCTGAGGCCCGCATTTGTGTGCATGGGCTCAGCCCCCAGTGTGCGCAACGTTATCTCCTGCTTTTGCAGATACCGCGGCTGCAACACAGGGCTAATCCTCGAGAATCTCTGAGAATCTCCGGGGGTTGAACTCCAACCTCTGTCCTTGGCCTCAGGCATGGTGGAGGAGCAGCCTGGGGCCTGGTTCGGCTTTGGATTCTGTGGCTTTGGACAGGAGCCAGGCTTGGGGCGCAGGTGCCAGGTGCTCAGCCCCGAGCCTCTGAAGACCCGCAGGGATATCTGCCATGTGAGCGCGAGCTGGAGCTACACTGCATTGGTGACCCGTGAGCGCCTGTACCTGATCTGTCCCTGTCACATCTGTCACACGTGACTCCTTCCCAGTTCAGCACCCCTCACTCTGCCCCAGGTCCCATCCTACTCTCTCCCTGCAGGTGGAGGCTGTGTGGAGCTGTCGGGCTCTGTGAGTGGCACAGCAGGCGGCTGCAGGGATGTGTGGGCCTCTGAGAGGCTCCTTGTGCTGCTGCGTGATGGCCCAGGGTCTCGGGTGGAGCTGCAGGCCTGGGCGCCTGGCTCTGTGCTGCATGGGGAGCCACTCTGGGCCCAGGATCCAGAGGCCAAGGGAGCTGCACTGAGTGCTGAGGCCCCGGTGGGGACACTGCCCCTGCTGCCCAGCAGCCATGTCTACGTGAGTCCGTGGCCACCCTTCCGCCACTGCCTGGCCCCAGAACTTCGTGCACGCCAGCTGGAGCTGGGTGCCGAGCATGCGCTGTTGCTGGACGCAGCTGGCCAGGTGTTCTCATGGGGCGGGGGCAGGTGAGGCTGCTGGGGTACAGAGAGATATGAAGAGGGGACCCTCCCTTGTGTCTGGCTGACTGGGGCTTCGTTGCTCAGACACGGACAGCTGGGCCATGGGACGCTGGAGATGGAGCTGGAGCCACGGCTGCTGGAGGCACTGCAGGGTCTGCCTATGGCCCAGGTGGCTGCAGGAGGCTGGCACTCGGTGTGCGTGAGCGGTGAGTGACCTGGGCTTCTCCACACAGCTCACTGCGTCCATGCCAACTCCTCCTCTTCCTTCCAACAAACTCCATAGCCGTAGACCACAGCCCTCTGTGCTGGACTGTGGTACTCTGTCCTGTCCTTTACCAATCATGAGTACTATCACCTGTCAGCAGCCAGGGCTGTCTTTCTACCCAACGAGCAAGGAATTTGAAGGGCAGCCCATCCAAGAGGGAGAAGATGGCTTTGGAGCGGAGGTGACCCCGGGACACTTGCAGGGAAGACAGAGATGGCCAGTGTGGGAGGAGGTGCTGGGGCTGAGATAGAGAGGGGAGAGCTGGGCACTGTCTTGGGGCCCAGTGCAGCTGCTACTTAGCTCTTCTGGGGTGTTAGCCACCACCTCCTGTCCCCTGCCACACCCCTACCTCACACCTTGTACTTGGGAGGACAGCTGGGCTGGAGAGCACTGGGTTGCAGGCTGAGCACAGAGGGCTGGTAACTGTCTATGAGAGTGTCGCACCTGAAGTCCAGAGGAGTTTCAGGCCTTGCATTTGGAGCAGATGGTGGTTAAAGGCCACCATCTGTGCTTCTGAGTTCCAGATCATCACTGTCTATGACCTTGGGCTGGTTCTTACCTGCTGTGCCCCCACGGTGTCTCAAGTAAAGTGAGGCTATTTTGTAAGATGATCACACCATGATAGACCTCCCCACAGGGCCCTAGTGAAAATTGAGTGTACTGTATTTGAAAAGGGCATAAAGCATTGGGCACAGGTGTAGCTTTTTGTACAATGAGCTACCACAGCTGGATCCTGGGGTGTTGGGTGTCAGTGGCCTGGGGGGACGAGGGGTGGAGGTACAGGCTGCCCCATGGGAATCAACAGGGGCACTGGGGAAGTTCCATTGAGGAGGAGGCACAGTTTAGCAATGTAAGACTAAAAATGGAAAAGACAGGTGGCCCAGCATGGGAGCTTGCTTAAGCAAAGGGTGACAAGAGGCTTTGAGAGCGGGGAACCTGAGACAACAAAGCCAGGGAGCCTGCGGGGTGGGGCTTTGCCTGGCGGGCTGCAGGCCATGTTCTTCCCCATTAGCTCATGGAGGGAGGGTTGGGGCAGCACGCAGGGGTGGATGAGGGCTCAGCCTGCTTCCTGGGTGCCCTCGATGCCTTTCAGAGACCAGGGACCTTTATGTCTGGGGCTGGAATGAATCAGGGCAGCTGGCCTTGCCCGCCAGGAGCCTGGCAGAGGACAAGAGGACAGTCACAGGGGAAGGTAAGGGTCAGCCCCACCCAGGATATTGCTGTTATTCCCAGCTTCTGTGTTCAGGAGGGGTAAGTGACATCCTTGTCACCTGGACATACCGTGGGACTCGGAGCCCTTCCAGCTGTGTGCTGCAGGGCTGATGCCAGTGCTGGTTGGTGTCTCACAGCCTTCAAGGCCACCACCTCGGTCACCTGCTGTGGGTAGAGGTGGGAGAGTAAGGTGCTGCACAGAGGCTCTGTAGCACAGCTGTGACGGGTCTGGCTCAGTGTTAAGTGTCCTTGAAACCATTTCCCCCGCCACAGGGCTGAACCAAGAGGGTTCTGAAGTAGAGACAGTGGCCGGCACCGAGGATGGAGCCCCTGCTCCCTTCATAGCTGTCCAGCCCTTCCCAGCCCTGCTGGATCTTCCGCTGGGCTCAGAGGCAGTCGGGGCCAGCTGTGGATCCCGGCACACAGCTGTGGTGACACGTGAGTGGGGACAGGTGGGCTGGTTCAGGATGGAGCAAGGTGGCACTCTGGCTGGGGGCCGTAGGAAGGTGCTTTAAAACCAATTTAAAAACCACCTTTGTGTGTGTGTGTGTGTGTGTGTGTGTGTGCTGATCAAACCTAGGGCCTTGCACATGCTGAGCTATACCCTTGCACCCTGTAATCCCAGCACTCTGGAAGGCTGAGACAGGAGGATCTGTTTGAGCCCAACCTGGACAATTGAGTGACTTAGCCACACCTTGCCTCCAAGTAAAGAACTATGAGCTGGGTGTGGAGGCACATGCCTGAAATCCCAGCACGCAGGAGGCTGAGGCAAGAGGATCACCAATGGTTCTGGGCTCTATAGTGATTTCAAGGCCTGAACTACATAGTGAGACCCTGCCTTAAAATATATACAGAAAAAAGGAAAAATGCGACAAGGGCCAGGGATGTGGCTCACGGCAAAGGCCCTGAGTTCAGTCCCCGGGCCTGTCAAACCTCTTAAGCCTGTGTTGCAGCATGTCAGATACTTGCTGGGGAGCTGCCTCGTTCATCAGATCTCACCTCTGTTCCCCTGTAGCTTAACAGTGGCCCAAAAGGCTGGTCCTGTTCTCTATCACCTGAAACAGCTCCAGGCGGGGCTCAAACAACTCCCTGCACCCCTGTACCAGTTCCGCTCAGCAGCTGTGAGATGCAGGCCCACAGGTGACAAGCAGGCCAGCCTTACCTGTCAGCTCACTCCCTTAGCACGCCACTGTGCTTGGACTTGGACGCCCGTGGGGAGGAGGCTGCTGTCTCCGAGCCCATGTCTTGGGGTGGAACACGGTGGCTGTGGCTTAGGCTGGCCAGGCTAGATGAATGCCTTGCCAAGGACAACAGTGACTGTTCTGTACTGTCCTTTTTGGTTGCAGGAACAGGGGAGCTCTACACCTGGGGCTGGGGTAAGTGCAAGGATTGTTTTGTTTTTTGAGATAGGGTCTTGCTATGTTCAGGCTGGCCTTGAGCTCTCAGCAGTCCTGCCCCAGCCTCACGAGTGCTGAGGTCACAGGTGTGCGCCACCATTTCCAGCTAAAAGGATGGTTTTATGAGACCCTTCAACCAAGGAGAAGAAAGACCTAGAAGGACACGATGGGTGACAAAACCACAGGCTACAGGAAGTGGGGGCCTTGGCTGAACATGAAGAACAGAATGGAAATGCTGTGTCCCCGCACCCTAGGGGAATAGATCTAGGCACACTCAGGCTGGGGATTTAGCTCAGCAGCATAAGTGCCTGCCTTACAAGCATGCAGTCGTGAGTTCAATCCCTGGTACCAATAAAAAGACAAAAAAAAAAAAAAAAAAAATAGATCTAGGCACACTCAGAAAGTCTAAGATCAGATGGTGGAGAAATGAGATGGCATCAGTACTGCCCACTCTGCCTTACTGATGGAGCGCTTAGGCGGCATTTACAAAATGCATCTGTCAGCCTGGCTGTGGGCAGAGAAAAGATAGAGCGGCAGTGTGAGGCCAGGACGGGCACAAGGTGCAGGAGAAACAAGGTCTAATCTGGGAGGCCCTGGGAGGCTCTTCCAGGTTCTCCCCCTGGGTTTGCCTGGCCCTAGAGCTTTCTGGTTCTGGGTTCCTGGATGTACACAGCAGCAGGTCGGAAGATGGGCTGCCTTCCCAGAGAGGGTGCCTAAAGGGCTTGTTTGGCTTTAGGTAAATATGGACAGCTCGGCCACCAGGACAGCGCCAGCTTGGACCGGCCCTGCCGAGTTGAATACTTTGTACATAAACAGCTCCAAGTAAAAACTGTCACCTGTGGGCCCTGGAACACATATGTGTATGCCGTGGAGAACAGGAAGAGCTGATATATGTGTAAATGTATGCTTCAAGTTATACACAAAAGTGTATAAAACAAATGTACAGTGTATTAAAAATGACAAATTTTTAAAAATGACAAGTCTAGTGCTGTGATGTACCCAGTCAAATCAAGGAAACCCTTGCCAGCACGCAAGGCCCTGGTCTGCCTCTGCCCAGCACCCTGCACCAAGGAACTGCACAGCACTGTCCCTGGGCTGGACCTGGGGGATGTCACCCAGATGATTGTGAAGTACAGCAGTCTGGGCAACGCTTGAAGTCATTTTTGCCATTCATGTCCTTGTTTAATTCAGAACTTTACCACCCTTGTACAGGTTCTGTTCTGGGAGAATGTTCCTCAGTCGGATTCCTTCCTAGGTCTGACAGTGAGTTTTACACAGTACACCTGTGAAAGGTCGCAGCTCCAATGTAAGTTGGGGACTTCTTGTACACAGTTTGTCTGATTCTAAACAGCAGATAACAGTCATTTTGCACACGTTTTATTTTGGAGACAAGATCTTGCATATATCTGCATATGACATGGCTGGCCTTGAACTCGTGGCGATCTGGCGCTGGGATTACAGGCATGCACCACCACGGCTGGCTTTCATTTTGTGTATGTTCTTTGAGTTTAACATTTCCATTCAGTGTTGCATGATTCATGCGTTGTATACTGAAGTTCACTCTTTTTTTGTTTTGGTACCGGGAATCGAACTCATGACTGTGAGCTTGCTAGGCAGGTGCTTATGCTGCTGAGCTAAATCACAGCCCAGTTCATTCATTTTTATGCAATAAGGTATCCATTCTGTGGATGTAGCTTAAGCTCTGTATTCTTTCATTGATGGTCCCTTTTTGTGGTCTCTGTTTTGTTCCCCAGAGTTCTTGAGGGCACTCGGACATTGTGCATTGTTCTGCAAACATTCACAGTTGGAGACAGCTTTCACCTTACTTTGTGTGTTCCAGCCAGCAGTGATGTGGGTTTTGCCACAGCTCGGACATCAGATGGATGTCTAGCTGCTTTAATGTGTGTTTCCCCGAGTGTTAGTGGGCCTGGACAGCTTTTCATCTGTTTACCAGAAGTTGGGAGTTTTTCTACTGTCGAGTGTCTGTTAAGTCATCTGTTCTTACTAAAGTTTTGTACTTTTTAGTGATTTGTATTCTTATATATTTTAGATGTAAGTCCTTTGATAGTTATGTGTTTTTAAAGTATTTTTTCTATGTTGTCAGGTTTTGTTTTTTGGAGACAAGGTCTCACTGTGTTGCCCATGCTGGCCTCAAACTCACATCCTCCTGTGTTAGCCTTGTGAGTGCTGGGATTATAGGCGTGGGTCACCTTGCAAGGCTGTCAGTTGTCTTTAGATATCTTTTGGTAGTGGCAGTTTTGGGGTGATCGAAGCCAGCGAGTTCAGAGCTGTATCACCTGCCCTTTTTATTTTCTTTTGAGACAGGGACTCATTTAGAGACTAGGCTGGCCTCACACTTGCAATCTGCCTTTCCCAGTGCTGGGATCAAGGGTGTGTGCCATTGTGCCTGGCCTTATTTTTTAAATATTTTGTCCATATCTTTGTTTAGCTCTTTGAGCATCTTTTAGTTAACTGTTAAAAGTTTTTGTTGATCAGGTCCACAAACTGGTCCTTCTCAAAGAGGTTTTCTGATTCATTTTTTCTTTTACCATCCTGGTTTTTTTTAGATGCTTTGTGATTTTATTGTTGAAACTAGACATTTGTATCCTGTAATGTGATGTCTGAAAATGAGACTCTCCTTTCACAGGGTTTGCATTTTAAAATCACTGTGTGGTAAGGCTGTGTGTGTGGGAATTGGCCTGAGGGGTAACTTGAGGTCTTCTTAGGTTTCCTCCCGAGCCTGCCCCTCTCCCTGGATGTGTGCAGTAGCCATCAGCTCAGCCGTCTGCTGTGGCACGTCCTATTTCAGTGTCTGGCTTGCAAAGGGGAAAGCGCAATCCAGAAGGAACACTAAGCCCAAACCGCTTTGGAGCTGCTTCAGCCAGAGAAGTCTGCACTGCAGTGGAAGAGCCATGGTCATGGGCCTCCTCTGTTTCTGTCTCTGCTGTCAGGCTATAGCCCTGGTGTTGGAGAGGCGAGGCCTTTACTGGCCACCCTGCCTCTCACAAGCTGTGTCCAGTCTGCTGCAGCAGTGTGGCTCCCTCTAGGGGCCATGGGTGGGATAGCTGCTATTGCCTCTAAGACTAAGACTGACCAGAATTCACCTGGTGTTGCTGGCCTCAGACTTGAGGTGACTCTGCTTCAGCCTCCTGCGTAGCTGGAGTCCAGGTGTGGCACTGCACCCAGCTTGAAAGCCTTTCAGTAGACCCCAGGACCCCCGCACAGCACATCAGAAGGGTTCTGGCAGCACAGCTGTCACCTGTGTGCAGAGAGGGATTGCTGCTAGCTAGATAGGTTCTTTGGGGCACTGTCACATCCTTTTGTGACAATCTTGGTGCCTTGTCAGGTCCTTTGACTTCAGTAGTTTCCCTTACAAAGGATTTTGTGCCCAAACTTATTGGTCTTTCATGTGACTTTTGAGACAAGGTTTCACTCTTTGAACTCACTTTGTAACCTAGGTTAGCCTTTAACTCAGTCCTGCCTCAGCCTCCAGAGTGCTGGGGTTACTGGTTATGCCACCACACCCAGCCTTCATGTGGTTTTTGAGTCATAGAAAACATTCCTCTTACACTTTGTAGAGGGACTCAACTTTTGATCATGTTTTCTTGCGCCGTTTCATTTTTCATATTTAAAGCCTGCATCCACGTGCTTATTCTTGCATATGTATTAGGTTTGTCTCATTTCTACTTTTTGTAATGACTGACCAGTACCAGCTCTCTGAAATGCCGTGGTTATTGGTAGGGCCTAGACCTAAAGTGTCACCCAAAGGCTCATGTTTGCAGGTGGAGCTCTTGGGACGTGATCAGATCACAAAGGCCCTAACTTTGTCAGAGGGCTAATGTATCAAGTTCACAGCTCATGGTGGGGCCCTGGGGCACGGCCTTCAGGTGCTTTCCCTTCTCCAAGCCCTGGTGCCCAGGGGAGCAGCCTCCCTCTGCCACAACCTTCTTCCCACCACACACCTAAAAGCAACGGAATGGCACACCACAGACCAAGACATCTGCAACTGTAAGCCAAAGCAAATCCTTATAAACTAGTTGAGTCCCTCTCTGAGCCTTGTGCTCCCAGATGTCTTTAATCACAGAACTCTGTAACAGGTTTGTTCTGACAGAGGCTTCATATATCCTGGGTCTAAAGGTCAGAGCAAGTAGAACCTAATTTGCAAATATCTTCTCCCAGTTGACAGCTTTTAATTCTACTAAGCATCTTTTGAACCAGCACAGTGGCACATGCCTATAATCCCAGCCACTGGGGAGCCTGAAGCAAGATCACAAGTTTGAGCTCAGCCTGGGCAACTCTGCAAGACCCTGTCACAAAGAAAGCAGGTAGGTGTGAGTAGTGGACTTGCCTAGCACAAGCAAGGCCTGGATTTGATTCTAACACCAAGGGAAAAGTAGTCAGGCATAGCAGTGCGTAACTGTACCCCCAGCTACCTGGGAGGTTACCTTGTTCTTTAGAATATAAAATTATTCCTAACTAAAAAATAATCTTTCTCAGGTAGGGTCTTGGTATGTAGCTCAGGGAGGCAGTGATCCTCCTGCCTCAGCCTCCCAAGTGCTGGGGATTACAGACCCACCAGCCCTGGATTTTGTATATCTTTTTCAGTAACCAAAAATGAAAAACAGTAATAACGTCCATAGTTTTCAAAATTTATTTGACTTTATTTTTAAAAAGTCACATGTACATATATCCTGTTTTTAAAATATAAACAGCACGTCTGACACCTACAGAACAAGTCCACACCGGTAACTTCTGAGAACCATTTTGCTGTGTCACAGGTAAAGAATAAATAATAGTGCTTTGAGAGAACACAGTGATGGACAGAGCAGGTCAAGCCTCAGCGCAGATGCTGTTGCAGTGAAGCACCCAGTAGTGACGTGTGCAAGGTACAGAGCCTCAGGGCAGATGCTGTTGTAGGGACACGCCCATAGTGTCGTGTGCAAAGGTACAGAGCCTCAGCGCAGCGCAAAGGCCGGCAGACCCTGTTGCAGGGATGGGCCCTGGTAGTGACGTGTGCAAAGGTGCTGGTCTCCACAGCAGAAGCAGCCCTGCCCACTGAGACAGCCTCCACACCTGGCTGCAGGTGCAGGGGTAGGACTTGGGCACAACGGGCACAGGGTGGGGACTGGGCCTGAGGAAATGCTTCAGACAAAGGGACTGTACTCTACCAAGCGGTACACAATTTAACAAAGGCAATCCAGCCACCTGTCACTCTTTGGTGGTGAGCTGGGCCACCCCAAATGCAGACACACACGGAGCTCCTCAGTGTGACAGGGTGATCTGGACAGGTCTTAGCAAAGCTATCAGAGCTGTAGCATTAATTGGACATCCCTAGATTTCAGAAAACATTAATTGCTAATTATAAGTACACAAGCCAGACTCACGGCCCACGCCCAAGGCTGGGCAGTCATTTCCCTGCACGACAGTCAGCTGCACCAAGCCTGGATCGTGCTTCACCAAGTACAGTTATAGAGCAGAGAAGGCGATTAGCCCAGATGCTGAAGTTTGTACTTAACTGCTATAACTACGTTTTAAGGTATTTCTTAAGTTGAACTGAAGAAAAAGTCCAGCCCCCATATCCTTATGTGCAGCTGGCTGTCTGGTCAGGGCTTTCAGAGCTGGATGTTGGTTGAATTGAGGATTCGAGAAGCAGCGTCAGATTTGGAGGCCTTTGAAAGTTCTCGCTGTTAGAAAGTAAACCACGTTAGTGGCGGCACTGCCCCTCCCGCCGCGCCCCTCCTTCCTAGGCATGGTTAGGGTCAGCAGGAATCCTGAGGACAGTTCTGGGAAACAGGCCCTAGCACAGCAGTCTGTTAGCAGGTGAGGAGCTCCGAGCGCCATGCTGTTAGTCACATGGCCCTGAGCCCTTTCCTCAGCCAGCGCCTGCTAGAACCTCACCCAAGACCCCCCTTCCACTTCACAAAGCTACTCGTAAGAGCTAAAAGCTAAGTGAGCAATGGCGTTGGTTTCTTGAGCCCTTTACAAAACAGTGGGCTGCCCAATTTATCTACCAATCCCTGGGGCCGAGGGCCTGGCACCTGCTGGTGGCCTGATCTCGTGCTGGAGCACATGGTATAGAAGCAGGAGACAGCATGAATGACCCGAGAAAGGTGTCAGTGGGGTGAGGTTAGTGCCTTAGAGTTGCCGGTGGAGTTTATCAGCCACAGCAACAAGGACCGGAAGCAGTCTTGGCTGAGCAAGCACACGAGAAACCGGCCTGCAGAGGGACACACACCCACTTCTACAGGTATGTCATTTGGAAGAGGCCGAGTATAAAGCTAGTTGCTGTGCTTCACCTACCCCACAATAACATGGGGGGAAGCCTAGGCTTTAACTCAGTATCCCTCCAGGAACCGGGTGGCTTCACCTCCCACTGGTAGGATAGAGACAGAGGATTTTAGTAAAGGCATGACAGGTGGGTGTTAGCAGACACAGCAGGATACAAGGTGAAGACCAGGCTGGAAAAATTACTTCCCAGTGCTGCGTACATGCTTAGTGGCTTAGGATGTAGACACAGGCAAAGGTGAGGAAGCAAGCAGCGGCAGCTTAGGCAGACAGGAAGTTGATGATCAGCCTCAAGAGGTTAGTAAGGCATATGCTCCAGGACACAAATCAGCAAACAGGCCAAGAACCTCACTGCAAGCAGCACACAGCTGGGGCTCCCCTACCCACATGACAGGGCCTTCCTTCTTTCCAGCATACTTTAGGTCTTGGATGTCATAATTGAGGAGGGTGCAGGTTTTCCGTGAAACAGTAGATAAAAAGAAATCTTCATCTGACTTTAGGTGCGGCTGAGAATCCAATTCAAGTCTGAACAAGTTTCCCTATTAATCATAAGTTAATCATTTGCAATATAAGATACTTGTTTTTGGAAGTCTCTAACCGAAATCCCTGTTTTTGTGTAAGAAGGATTCTGTGAAAATACAGCTGAGATTATGAGTTAGTACAGTCTTGTGCCCAGGTGGGAATGAAGCCAGCAGACAACAGATCAGATTGGAAAAGGGGTCACAGGACATGCAGGAGTCGCCATACAGACCTGAAGCCCAACAGTGGAGCTGTCAGAGAGGAATGGATCCTTCTAAGAACAAAGAATTAAGATAGTTACCAAGAACTCCACCAAGAGTGCACCAGGGTAGTGAACAGTGGGTCACTTCCTTTAGCCAGGGGATGGCTTTATCTTGAGCAGGATTCAGGTTAAATATCCAGTGCTGCTGCCAACTTCCATCCTACACACCCTGCGTAAGCCAGCCACACCCCACCATGGCCAAGGCAGGAAAGGGATTCTCAGCCTGAGGTAACTGACCTGACTACTCTGAGTGCTCTAGGGAAGATCCCACTGCCCCAACTGTGTGCTCCCCAGAGACTGGTAGATATTAGAAAAGGTGAATTACCGCAAATTCAGAATAGGTGCTGGCAACAGAATTAATGCTGAAGGTGCGCTGGAGGGGCGCTGAGCCAGGGTACCCACCACTCAGAAAGCTTCCGCTAAGCTCTACGTTCTCCTTGTTGGCCCCAACTCTGTTGGCACGGGGAGTTTTCTTTCCTGAACAGGTCGAAGTCACTCCTGGCTGCAGAGAAGAAAAACAGATCTGTATTTCTCTTTATGAACAGACACATGCACACGACTCCCGTGATCAAGGTTTTTCCTTGCAGTTCTGGAGACTGAAGGCAGGGCCTTCATGTAGAGCCCCACCCCGCCTCCTCTTTGGTGAAAACGGTCTGACCTTCCTGCCTCAGCATCCCAGAATGGTGGGGTTGTAGGCATGGGCCACTACAGCCAGCTGTAATACCACGTTATATAACGCATGTCTATAATCCTGGGCTTTGGTTTGGGAGAAAGTACATGACCTTTAACACCTATCCTGAACTTGGCCTAATTTGCAAGGCTGGTCCTTTCCTAGAGGTCTCCATCTCTCTCCCTTTGATCCCACCTATATCTGGTGACCCACTGTCACTGGGCTGGAACCCACATCCAGGGGGACCTAGTTCGGTGCCACCTGATCCTCACTATCCCAACACAGCCCAGGACTTCCTGTGGTATAAGTGAGGAGGCTCGGTGACTTTTTAATCTCGTTAGTTTTTGATTATCTAATGATTGTCTGGTTTATATTTATCAACTCAGCATCTTAATGAAAACTGAATCCAGGATCTTGGAAAGGAGCCGAAGAGGTGGAACGTGTGGATACACAGAGTGCATGGAGACGCACTGCACACAGTGCACTAACCTTGCTGCCAGAAGGAGGAAGTCGAGACGTGGGGGAGTGGAACACTGTCCCCCCAAAGGCAGGACGGATGCTGCTATTGGCTGCAGCATTGGACATGACGGTAGTGTTCAGCTGAGGAGGAGAACAGATACATTACTGATGTGCGGTAGCACGCTCAGCCTGGCCAGCAACCCACCCCCCTGGAGAGAGACATGACTACAGTGGGAAGCAGGGCAGGAGAGACCAGTCTGCTTGCTAAAGGGCCTGCTGGGTCTAACACAGCCTTGAGGAAATGTGAAATGTTCAAAGCATATTTGTACCAACACATGGGACTGTAAAGTGGTACAGCGGCTTATGGCACAGACGCCTATCATCTGACCCTAATGGGGTACCCAGAGACGTAAGCAGATATCCACAGACTTGTGAGTATGACAATCGCTGGGTACGGTGGCTCACACCTATAACCCCAGCTGAGGCAAGGGAATCATTGCAAGTTCTAGACCAGCCTGACTTACAAAGTGAGCCCAAGGCCAGCCTGAGAGCAAGAGCCTGTTTCAAAGACCAGGAAAAAAAAAAAAAAAAAAAAAAAAAAAAAATATATATATATATATATATATACACACACACCCACATACATATATAAATAAATGAGTATGGTAGTTGTATTTGTAATAGCCAAGGCTAAAAATGGGATACTGGTCCACAATAAAAAGGAATGAACCTCAAAAAAAAAAAATCATATTGAGGGGGCTGGGGATTTAGCTCAGCGGCATAAGTGCCTGCCTTGCAAGCAGGCAGTCGTGAGTTCGATCCTTGGTACTGGTAAAAATGAAAAAAGACAAAAAACAAACAAAAAATCATATTGAATGAAAGAAGCTATACAAAAAAAGAAAAGTATGCTTCTATCTATATAAAATGTCAGAAAATGAAAAGTAATATGCAGTGAATTCCGAAAATTTCTTCCACCAGAGGCTAAGGGAGGAGGAAAGGAATACGAAATAGCACTAAGAAACCGGGGGGGGGGGGGCCCAGATATGTCCTCCACAGTATTTGATCATGGTGATGGTTTCAGGAATGACACATACCAAAACTCAGCTGGGCAGAGTGATGTGTACCTGTAATCTGAACACGCCAAGTGGGCAAAACTTAGAGCTAAAAGTTTCACGTGCTGGCTAGGGTCTGAGCCCTTGTAACACCAAGGCAGTGCCAGCCAAGAACTGTCAGCCACGTTGTTATCACAGGCTGATTAGTGCAGTCAGGACTCGACATCCTGCTCTACAGAGTAAGAAGTATTAAATATTTCTTTAAAAAGCTTCCATTTATGATATATGAACATTGGCTTTCACCTAGTACCATGGTAACCTGTTGAAACTGCAGGATGATGAACCTGTGAAGGTTTCAGTGCCACAGAATATCGGCGATTAGTAGCCTAGTTTACTGAACTGGCGCACAGCGAAGCTGGCCCCTCCTCTGCTGTCACTGGGAGCCACTGCTCACAGCTGGACCTCAGTGCTCCACTCACTCAGATGAACCCAGTCTGGAACAGACAAAACCTCTCTTCCATCTCAGCAGACCGGCGGGCAACAGTGAGTGTGGAGCCCGACTTCCCCCGCTCACGAGTGGCAGGACACAGTGGTTTACCTTGCGCACTTTGCCAGGCGTGTTGGGAGCCAGAACTCGCCGCTTGCTGGGGGTCCGGGGAGCACTGCCGTACAGTACCTCTGTCTCTGTCTGCTTCTTGTTCTTCAATTGCTGTGTGGAAGTCAGAAGCAACAGTGATGAGTCCCAGGGAACAGGTCTGGGATGGGAACAGGAGCAGGGCTGACACCCGGCGGCAAGCCTCTGCTGCTAGAAGGAGCTGCCAGAGGCTGCTGCATCTTAAATCCACCCTGACCCTGGCAGAGACGTAGTTGCTGCTCCAGCCCTCCACTTCTCATGCACACTCACCCTCTCCTGCTTGGCTCTCTCCTTCTCCAGTCTGTGAGTCTCCCACTGTTCCATCACATACTCCATGAATTTCTGCCCATTCACTAGAAACGCCGTCGATTGCTCCTGTTCCCACATCTCAATCCGTGTCTTCAGCTCCTCTTCCAGCTGAGACCAGAAACAATGACATGTTCATTCTTCAAGTCTCTGGTGTGACGCCCAAAGGAAATGATCATCCTAGAGTAAGTCCACTAAGTATACCTACAATCCTACCACAGGAGGCTGAGACGGGAGGACCATAAGTTGGAGGCCAGCCTGGGTTACCTATACCATTTCAGAACAAAAACCTAAAAAGAGCAACTCTTCCCTTCCTGGAGCATTACTAGCCTGATTCTGGGTAGCAGGACAACCATGGCTACAGGTCAGAATGACCACAAGTCAGAGTCTAAGGATGCTTTATTCACAACCCACACAGAGGCGAGAAAAAGCAAGAAGCCGAGTCAGGGTTCTGAGGGGATTTTGTTTTGGTACCAGGAATTAAACTCATGGACTCATCCTTGCCAGGCAGGCACTGTGCTGCTGGGCTGTATCTCCAGCCCTGGCAAGATCGCCGATGTTACCTAGACTGTACACTGCAAGGAGGACTAAGGAACCAGACTGCTTGGGTTTCAACCTAAAATCTACCACTTACTGTGAAAAGATGAGAAAAAAACGAAGTTGTATTATATGCTGAATTATTAGCTCAAAATTTGTATTAACAGCCTAACCCCCAGTGTCTTCAAAAGTAACTGTATTTGGAGAGAGCCTCTACAAAGGTAACAGATCAAAGCAGGTCAGCAGGGCAGGCCCTCACCACTATGACGGGTGATTAGGACAGGGAAGGCCATTGAAGACACAGGGAAGGGAAGGCGGCCCCCTGCAAGCTGGTCACAGCTTGCAGACAGAACTCCTGAGGAACCCAACTGTCAGGCACGACTTGCTCTCAGACTTCTAGCTTCCACGATTGTGAGAAAAGACATTTCTGTCTCTTTTATGCCACCAGATACAGCACTAAAAACTTACACACCTTGCTAATCAGTTGCTTACACAGAAAGCCCAACAATATTGTTAATATTTTTGGAAGACAGCTTGGGGGCAGAATAATATCTAGCAAAGGATATACAGAAAGTGAGATATACCAGGTATGGTGGTACATGCTACAGTCCTAGCAGGAGTCCAGGTTCGAGTCTAGCCCCATGATTTACTGAGACCCTGTCTCATGCCCAGTGTGAAGTCCAGTGTCAATCGCTGGGACCACAAAAACTAAAGGTATCTTGGAGGTAAGCATCAAAAACCTCTTGGCAAAAGTATTACCTTAGGGAGCGTTTTCTGGAGTTTTGCTCGTTGCTTTTCTTCTTTTAGAAGATTTCCTCCCCGGTTTGTAAATCGACTTGGATCTGATGCCTTTCTCTGAAAAATACATTTCATTTATTCCTGACCAGGATAATCAGACTAATTACTTCTGCTAAGAATTCTTGTTCTCATGATAATATTTTTAAAATGATTAAAAGTTTTACATTCCTATTCACTCTGAGCAAAGAGGAATGGGCACTCCCAGGCAAGCACAAGAGCAATCTCTGGGGTGCAGGAAAACTAGCATCTCCTCTTCGTCCAAGTAAGAGCACCAGCTGGGCGTGGTGGCTCACGCCTGTAATGCTAGCGCTCGGAAGGCTGAGGCAGAAGGATTGTTGCAAGTTCGAGGCCAGTCTGGGATACATAGTGTGTTCAGGGGCAGCCTACACTAACAGCAAGACCCTGTCTCAAAAAACACACACAAGCGCACAAGAAGACTAGCACAGAGTCAGTGGCACAAACTGTGTCACTGGCTCTCTTCCCCGTTTGTGTCAGATGATGTTAGAGCACAAATGGACACAAGGTATGTGGAGGAAGGACACTGGTGTACACTTAGAGGGCTTGCCTCTACTTGCCTGCTTACTAATGGCACACTGTCATAGGACACAGCTGGAATGCATGGTCCGGAGGGTTGTAAATAGGGTTTCCCCAAGTCCTCACAAAATAAACAATGTAAAGTGAAAGCTAACGGTGCAGCGCAGTGGTAGAGCTCTTCCTGACATGTGCAAGGCAGCCAGGTGTGGGGGCGCACACCTGTGACCCCGGAACTTGCGGCTGAGACAGGAGAATCACTGCGATTTCCAGGCCAGCCTGGGCTACAAAGTGAGTTCAAGGCCAGCCTGAACTGCACAACAAAAACCTGTCTCAAAAGAGACAAAACAAACAAACATGTACAAGGAAGGCCCTGGGTTTGGACCCCCAGGCCTGCAAATACATATGTTTGTACATACAGCATCTCATTTTTTTTAATTCTACGTTTTCTTTCTTTCTTTCTTTTTTGGTCATTTTGGACAGGGTCTCGCTATACAGTTCAGGCTGGGTCTTGGGCTCACTTTATAGCCCAGGCTGGTCTCAAACTCACAATGATCCTCCTGCCTTAGCCTCTTGAGGATTATAGGAGCGTGCCACCATGTTAACTGTATGTTTTGTAATCTTTTATAATTATACTCAGTAATGAGTATATAACCTGTCATCTTAAAAGTCCACTATCTAGGGGCTGGGGATTTAGCTCAGTGGCATAAGCGCCTGCCTTACAAGCAGGCAGTCGTGAGTTCGATCCCTGGTACCGATAAAAACGAAAAAGACAAAAAAAAAAAAGAAAAGTCCACTATCTGAAAATAGGAACAGATAGAACTATCCTTGGCAATTTGGAAGCTAAACATGTTAAAAAAAAAAAATCTATTTTCTATTCCAGAATACTTAATTCACTACAACCTTATAAACAAGCACAGGCATTTTTTTTTTTTTTAATTGCGGTACCGGGGATCGAACTCATGACTGCCTGCTTGCAAGGCAGGTGCTTATGACGCTGAGCTAAATCCCCAGCTCCATTTTTTTTTTTTAAAAACACAGGAATTCATTTATATTTTTCTTAAATGCAGGCACATCAATAAGATTGTTGCTTTAGTCCAAACACATCCACTGAAGTAAGGTAGCCTCTTTAATAAATGGTGCTGGAAAAACTGGCCTTCTACAGACTAGAGTAATCTCTACTAGAGTAATTACCACATCTTTCACCATGTACTAGGCTAAAATCAAAATAGATCACAGGTCTAAAAATTAAAACAGAAACATGACATCTGCAGGAAGAGAAAAGAAGTGAAACTGTTGAAGACATTGGTGTAGGCGAAGACTTTATGAACAAAACTCCTATCACAGGAACTGTCACAAAACATCAGCAACTGGAATCTCATCGTATTAAAAAGCTTTTGCATAGCAGGAGAAATCACCAACAGTGTGAAGAGAACTCCCAGAATACAGGAAAAAATGTTTGCCAGCTGTTCCTCAGACAAAAAATTACTAGCAAGAACATTTAAAGAAAAAAAAAAAAAATCAGACACTTCCCCAAAATTTTAAGACCCAATCCAAACATGGGCATCCAATATACAATTCACAGATGAAGAACTACAAACAGCAAATAAATATATGAAAAAATATTCAACATCACTGGTCACCTGAGAGACAAATTAAAACAATGCTGAGATTCCACCTCACCGTGGAAAGAATGGCTATTTTTCCAAGAAATCAATCAATAACAAATGCTGGTGGGGCTGTGGGAAAAAAAGGAACCCTTCTCCACTGTTGAAATCAGGATGGAGATTTCTCAAAAAACTGGGACGAGAGGTCCCATTTGAGCCAACTTGACCCCTTCTGAGTATTTTCCTGTAAGAATTAAAAGCATCAGGGCCGGGGATTCAGCTCAGCGGCATAAGCGCCTGTGTGGCAAGTGCGAGGTAGTGAATTCGATCCTTGGTACCCTCCCACCCAATAATTAAAAGCATCATAACCACATTGATATGTGCATACCATGTTTACAATGATGTGGATTTTTTAGACAATGGAGCATTACTCTGCCGTAAAGAAGGATAAACTTGAGACATTACTAGGTAAATGGATGCACTGAGGTGATACTCCTAAGTGAAATAAGCCAGACACACACGTATAAATGTCCCACTGTTTCTTTGGTGTGAGAAACCAAAATGTGTAAATAAAGGACCAAAATATTTAACAGGTATTGTGAAAAAGAAAATGTTCAAATGGAGAGGGGAACAAGGGTGGGAGGAAGGAGAGAAAAGTAAAAAAGTGAGAAAATGAAAATATGACAACAAAATTTGGGAGAGAAGGAGGGAATAAAGGGAGTGCAGGGAAGTGGGGAAAAAAATAAGTTAGGTCATGCACAGGTAGAAATCCTCTGTGTACCACTGAGAATCTAAAATGTACCAGTAAAATCTGATTTATTTAAAAGGCAAGAGCACAGCTCTAGCTCTTTGCTCACATGTCTTCCTCTTTGCTTTTAACCACACATAAGGAACACCTCGAGGGCTGGCCGCTCTGAAACAGCTAGAGGAGCTCATCCATCCTCTCCTCCCTGGAGCCCTAGCTTCCTGCCAGTGAGATGGAATTAATTAAAATTCCCTTCCATGGGGCTGGGGATTTAGCTCAGCGGCATAAGCACTGCCTTGCAAGCAGGCAGTCGTGAGTTCAATCCCCGGTACCGATAAAAAAGAAAAAGACAAAAAAAAAAAAAATTCCCTTCCAGCTGGGCACTGTGGCATACACTGGTAAATCCCACCACTCGGGAAGCTGAGCAGGAGTAAGCCGAGTACAAGGCTACACAGTGAGTCCCTGTCTCAAAAAACAAAAAACAAAAGAAAACAATAAATTTAGAAAATCCTCTTCCAGCATGAACCAGAGAATGAGGTCTTAAAACTTCGGGCCCTCGGTGCCTCACCTGTCTCAATCTAACCTATGCCTGGGCTCTAAAACGCTGTCAGTGTCAACCAGCAGAAAAGGACTTGCGAGTACACAAATGCACCTAATAACCAGGCAGTTTTCTAGAAGAGCAAAAGCGGAGATGATAGAGAAGGCGCGGCCTGCCCTGACGTCCGCTCCTCTGGCCTTCCTCCTAACACAGCCACATTGAGCCTGGGACCTCCCAGTGGAGCACTGTGAAGAGATGCTGGGAAGAACCCTTTGGGGCAGTGCCTTCCTTGTCTGTCTGTCCACCACACAGAATGGGGCTGCATTGTGTCCAAGCTCCACTAGCCCCATGGCCCCGGGAGGGCCCCCTTTACAGTGGAGTTGCCCCACACTGAAGCAGCCAGGGTCCTGGGCCTGCCTGCCTCTCCACGCACCCAGCAGTAACAGCTGTTCTCTCACATACCGGCGCGTAGGCTTAAGTACAGAGCGTTAGCAGGAATTCAGGCTTGAATGACAAAGACAGGACAGCAGGTGCCTGGTAAAGAACAAACAGAACAACTCCAGCTCCACACAGGAGCACGTTTCTTGACATTTCTTTTTACCATAGAGGAACAGATAAACATTAGGGAAATACCTCAAATTATTATTTTTTTTTTTTGTCTTTTTTTCTTTGCTTTTTATCCGTACTGGGGATCGAACTCACGACTGCCTGCTTGCAAGGCAGGCACTTTTGCTGCTGGGCTAAACCCCCAGCCCCCATACCTCAAATTCTAAGAAGAGCCTCCAGTTCTCTTGCCACTTCCGGACACCTTCAAAGAGCTCCTTGTGAACTTGATAGTAGTTTTTTAACTGTACAATCTCAGCATCGTGCAGCTGCAGCAGGCTTTCGGTGTAGTCCTCTGTAACATATGGGACCATAAGCTCTAGAAAACATCCTCTAGTATTTAGTGTTCCAATTTAGTAAGACTATACCCTCCTAAAATGTTCTTCCTTATAATAAAATGAGACAGGAATCTTTATGCATTGTGGCTAATGAAAATAAAAGCCAGGCATGTCAAGATAAGCCCAGGGGTACTCAGGGCTTAGATTTAAAAAATGTTCTCCAAGATCTGTGCCATCTCTTGCTTGTCTTAGGTTTCTGTCATGTCTTTCCTTTTAGCTTTGCCCAGCCAACAGAGTCGGATCATGGGACATGTCTAAAAACATTCAGTGATTTTAGTCAGGACAGCTTTTTCTTTATTTTTTGGTACCAGGGATTGAATTCATGACCTCTCGCTTGCCAGGCAGGCGCTTATGCTGCTGAGCTAAATCCCTAACCCAGGACATCTTTATCTTTATGTTCAGGCCAGGCTAGAATTCCAGTGGACTCCTCTGGACTCAATCGTAAGATCACACACTTTCTCGTATAAGGCTCTGGACTAAACATTGATTTGCCTTAGTGTTCTCATCTCCTGACGGTAACTGAGATAATATTGTTAAGGGTTGAGGCAGTGTCATCAATGGCTGAATCTATTCATGAGAGCAAATGCAGAACTTCCATTGAGTCCTTGGGCTTGGGAAAGCACGCAAGAGCAGACCACATGAAGACTAGACTTCTGTACTAACCAGCATAGTAGGGAGCAAAAGCTTGTCTCTGCTCCTGGCTATAAAAACACAGGTCCCAAAACTGAGCCAGCTCTACTCGAATTGCCTCAATTACTTTCTTCATGTTTTGCATTTTCAGTTCTTCCAGCCGCTCTACTTCTAACTGTAGCTAAAAGAAAAAGACATTTACAGGTGATTATTACTTTTGTTTTTTTTTTGGTAGTATCGGGGACTGAACCTAGGACCTTTGTGTGGAGCTACATCCCCAGGCCTCTTTTTAATTTTTGGCGGGGGCGGCAGTTGAGACAGAGTCTCACTCTGTGCATAGTTCAGGTAAGGCCAGCCTCAAACTCGTAGTGATCCTCAAGTGCCGGGATTACAGGTGTGCACCACCATGCGCAGCATTTTAATTTTGAGACAGTCTCTCAAAGACACTAAGGGGCCCAGGCTGGGCTTAAACTTGTGATGCCCCTCCCGTAGCCTCCTGAACAGCCAAGATTACAGGCATGAGCCAACCATGCTTCACTTCAGTGCTTTTCTTCTTTTCTTTTTGGTGGTACTAGGACTTGAACTCGGGGCCTGTCCACGGAGCTACTTCCCCAACCCTTCTCTCTTTTTGACACAGTTGGACTAGGTGGCTAAGTTGCCCCGGCTGGATTTGAGCTTGCAATCCTCCCGGCCTCAGCCTCTCAGACAGAGTGCTGGGATTTCAGGTCCCACCACATGTGGCCGCTGATGCCTGCCCTTGGCAACAGGCAGGCCCATGGTAAAAGCTGGTAAACACATGGGATTGGACCTGGAAACACTCGTACAACACTGCTGACCCAGCACCCAGAGGGTGTCCTTTGTTGTTCTTGATACTGGGATTGCACTCACAACCTCGCACTCGCCAGGCAGGTGCCTGTGCCACTGAGTAAACCCCCGACCCATCCAGAGGGTTTCTTACCGCTCTCCTCACTTTGGGGTTTGACCCAGGCTGACTCATGGCCACAACTTCCCTCTCTTCTTCAGGTATTTGTAGCCTGTCCCAGAGCTCTTGGATCTGAGCACGCAGCCTCTCACACAGTGCTTCATTTTGTGATTTTCTCATTTCCAGCTGTGGAAGGAAAGGCAACAGTTATAGCAAAATGGAAGCACAGAACAGGATGGCCCTCTGGCCTCCCAGCAAGAACCATCCAGATCTAACAGACAGGCAGCATTTTCAGGAGATTTCCAAGAGGCATCTTTCATGCCTTCTGAACATAAACTGCAAGGCTGTCATTACAGATTTCAGACCTCAGGAACGGGATTTGAATTTTGAATTGAAGTACTATTCCAATTAAACACTAAGCTGGCTGAGCGTAATGTGCTCACCTATAATCCTGGCACTTGGAAGGTGGAGGCAGAGGATCCCTGTGAGTTTGAGGCCAGCCTGGGCTACAAAATAAGTTCAAGCCCAGCCTGAACTGCATACTGAGGTCCTGTCTCAAAAAGAAAAAAGAAAAAAACCCACTAAGCTAATTCAAATGGCTAATGTTACTTCATCTAAAATTTCAATGTCCTTTAAAATATAAAACTTGCAAGTGTGTGGTCATGAATTCGATCCCCGGTATCGATAAAAAATTAAATAGAAATAAAATAAAATATAAAACTTAATTTTCTAGGGGCTGGGGATTTAGCTCAGTGGCGTAAGCGCCAGCCTTGCAAGCAGGCAGTCATGAGTTCGATCCCCGGTACCGATAAAAAGGAAAAAGACAAAAAAAAAAAAAAAAAACCAAAACAAAACAAAAAAAACAAACTTAATTTTCTTATGTACATATAAGTTTACTTTAAAAAAAGCAGTTGGCCCCAGAGGTATAGCTCAGTGGCACAGAGCCTGCCTGGCAGGTTCGAGGTCTTGAGTTCAATTCCTGGTACCAGAGAAAAAAAGTTGGGTTAGGCATTCAGCTCAGTGGCAGAGCACCCAGCTGGCATCCATGAAACACTGGGTTAAAGACCAGGGGTTCACTATGACAAAAAGGCTGTCATGTATTATTATCTTAATCCTTCCTCAAGCTCTTTATGTTTTTTGGTTTCTTGAGATAGGGTCTCCTGTGTAGTTCAGCTTGGCCTCAAACTCACTATTGTAGCCCAGGCTGGTCTCCAACTTGTCTCAGCCTCCTGAGTTCTGGGATTATAGGTGTGCTTCCTCTCTCTCTTCACTTGCACTGGCTCTGTATTAAAGACTAAAGAAAAACTCTGTCTGTTTTTCAAAATACTGCATTCTATTGAGATCTCTCAGGCTGTAATCTGAAAAGGCATTACCTGCCGTAGCAGCTTCTGTAGTGTTGTAATATTCTCCAAAGACAAACAAAAGGCATCTTCATCTTCACACACCACATCTCTTTCAAAGCTTGTGTCTGGAGTGTGATCCAATTCTTCCATACATAGTATGATCTGTCTCTTCAAGTTGAGAAACTCCTCACGCCTAGATGCCTATTAAAAAAAAAACAAAGCTATTACAGTATACCTAGAGAAGGTCAATGGACTCTGAGGAAGTACGAATGCAGGTGGCGTACCTTTTTTTCCCTCAGAGTTGCCAAGTGTTGTCTGAACTGGTTTAAGTCTTCTACGCTGGGAACACTGGTGCTGTCTATTTCATATTGGGGCATGCAAAGAATCTCACAGAGTTCTCGATCTTGTTCTTGAAGTAGCTTCAGTTCCTGTTTTCTCTCCTTTTTCTGTTTTCGCATCAATTCCACCTGAGTGCGCAAATCTTTTTCTAGTTGCAGGATGGTTGTTTCTCCTTCTTCCTGTGTAAGATGACACACTACTGTTACAAAGTTCCAAGTGATTCCTTTGGAGGATAAAGAACTGTGAGGGAGCTAGGATGACAGATGCTAACTTTACAACTAACCCAACAGCACACAGTTCCCACTAGGAAAAGATGAACAATACCAGGCACTTGTTCTAGCTTTGTTTTTTAATTGTGGTAAAATAACATGATTAGCTTTATCACCCTAATTGTTTGTAGGTATATAGTAAAGTGGTGTTTAAATACAGGTGGTCCCCAGCTCAACAACGGCTCCATTTACTGATTATAGTGGTGAGAAAGCAATAAACATTCAGTGCCATCTGTACTTCAAGTACCCATACTAAGGCTGTTTCTCAACGCAAGGAAAGCGAAGCCTAGGATAGGATGATGTGAGGCACATACATTCTTGTGTATTTACAGTGGGCACCGGGATCTAACCCAGTAAGCTGAGAAACATCTGTAGCTAATGTTGTGCAAGCACCCCCATCCTTCCCCAGGACTCATTTCATTTTATAAAATAAACTCTATTTAATAGTAAGTCTCCAATTTTCCCTATTCTCAGCCATTCTACTTTTTGTCTCTTTAAATTGCACTAACTGGGCATGGTGGCAAACGCCTGTAATCCCAGCACTCAGGTGGCTGAGACAGGAGGGTCACTGTGAATTCCAGACCAGCCTGCACTACACAGTGAGACCCTGTCTCCAAAAAAAAAAAAAAAAAAAAAAAAAAAAGTCTACTCTAGGTATTGGAGCACTATTAACTTGCACTACATAGCAATCCTGGCCTTCTCTGAATTGGGCAGTGTTTTCTTGACAGCTTGTGAGACATGTCTTGTAAAGTAGCTATTTTAGTTGCTTCAAGGCATGCAGCTTCTGGGTATAAAAGTTGGCTTTGGGGGAACTTTGCCTTGCCTTGTATCACTAGGTACTTTTTTGTTTCCTAGGTACCCACTTTTCATTTTCTTTCAAAGAGCAGAGCCATCTTTTCTTAAGAATTCATTTTTTAAATAATTAATAATGCAAGACGCAACTTGGTTTTCATCACCTATCTGCTGTTTTACCCTTGAGTGGGGCAACTCTCTATGTACATGAAAATTATTTTGTTACAGGCCAGAGATGTAGTTCTGTGGCACAGCACTTGCCTAGCTAAGTACAAAGCCCTGACTTTGACACCCAGTAAGAACAGAGAAAATTACTTTGTCAGGATTAAGGGGGCATTCCATTCCCATTTCTCATGTCTAACACCCGCTCTCAGGAAGCTTTCCATGCGCCCTCTGAAGCCAGTGCTTTCTCCTGGCACTTTCAAGCCAATGCTTTCGCCTAAGTCTCACCCCGACAGCCAGATCCCCCAGGTCTGTAAGCCGCACCTGAAAGGGCTCGACATGCAACTCATTGCACAGGGTGCTCAGCTCTTTTTGGCAGTTGGATATGCTTTTGATAAGCCTTTCCTTCAAGCTCTCCTCTTCAGCAATCATCATATCCAGGAGATCCTACAGGACAGAAAACAATCCACAGGTTTGGGCCATCAGCTTGGGGGAAAAAATGACAACCACTACTCTGCCTTCTATCTCTTTGAATCTGACTATTCTAGATATCAAGGCATTGCTACATGATGTGTAAATGGTTGGAAAGCTCGCTTTAGGTTAGCTACAGGGTGGTATGTGTAGCTTTCAAAACAACATCCTAAACTGGGTGTAGTGTCACATGCCAGTCATCTCAGCACTCAGGAAGCTGAGGCAGAAGAACTGCCATGTGTTCAAGGCCAGCCTATGTTACACACTTGAATTTAAGGCCGGCCTGAACTACACAGCCAGACCCTGTTTCAGACCCCCTGCAAAATAAACAAACAAACAAACATCCTAGTAATCCTAAAAACATTACATTATCAATAAAAATCAATGTAGTAATCTATGATCTACTTCTAACTGATGACTGGAATGGTAGCTATGTATCCCATAAATTTATACAACTTTAACATTTACAGAATAACATCAACACTAAAACCCTCATAATTCAAAACTTCAAGGACTTAAGCAAAAACAAGAAGGCCAGGAATATAGCTTAGCAGCACAGCGCCTACTTGGCAAGCGCAAGATCATCTGTTCAATTCCCTATACACCAAACAAAACAAAATAAACAAGAGCATCATATGATGTCCCAGTGTGGGTGATCAACTGTCACTTTGGCTCGCTATCTCAAGAGAGATACCAACACTCCTACCCCGCCCCGCTGCAGAGACCAGAACTGCTCAACTCACCTCGATGTGTTTCTTTACAACCTGGGTTCTCTGTAAGCGCTGGTCCTCCGGAATCCCGATTGTTTCCCATATTTCTCGAAGGTGATTAAGAGCTTTCTGGAGACACACTATGGACTCCTCTGCCAGCACCTCACTAAAAAGCACAAATTTTCATCTATGATATTAATCACTGCCTCAGGACTGAAAGCAATACAGCACGTTTAGGAACTAAATATACCAGCTCTCAGTGGACTTATGGCTGACATTTTAAAAAATGAAAACAAGCATTAAGCTTAATTCACCTTTATCCACTCCCTTTTTCTTTCCTCTCAAATGCCAGACTAGTAAAGCAAAATTCAGTGTCACATTTCATTACAGAAATGCCTTCCGGATAATATTCAGCCTCTAGACCTTCCCAATAATTCTACCAATGTCAATATAACACAGAATTAAAACGCTTTTGCTGAGCCAGGTGTGGTGGCTCCTGCCTGTAATCCCAACACTCGGGAGGCTGAGGCAGGAGGATCGTTTTGAGTTCGAGAACAGCCTGGGCTACAAAGTGAGCTCAAGGCCAGCTTGAACTGCATAGCGAGACCCTGTCTCAAAAAGACAAAAAAAACAAACCAAAACAAAACAAAAAAACCCGCTTTTGTTAAAAAAACAAAAAAAGATAAAACATCCATAGAATAACTCCCAAGACAAGAGTTTGCTGGTGATGCTGGGCATGGTGGCACTAGCCTGTAATCCTAGCATTCAACAGGTTGAGGCAGGATCATCACCTTGAATTCAAGGCCAGGCTGCATTACAAAGTAATGAGGCCAGTCTCATTTTTAAAAAGTGCAAAGCTCCCATAAAACAGCTGGCAATTGATTACTTTACGTGTGCTCTTTTCTTAAAACTAGTAACAGAAACGATAACTAAAATAAAAGGGTAACTATTTAAAAACTGGCAGCCAGGGATGGTGGTGCACATCTGTATTCCCAGCACTGTGGAGGGCTGAGGCAGGAGAATTGCAAGTTTGATCCAAGTCTGAGTGTCTTAGCAGGACCTGTTGTCAAAATTATAAAAATAGCCGAGTGTGGTGGTCAGCCCTTCCAGCACTTAGGAGTCTGAGGTAGGAAGACTGCTTTGAGTTTGGGACCAACCTGGGTCACATACTGAGTTTAAGGCCAACCTGGGCTACGAAGTGAGACGCTATCTCAAAACAATCAAACAAATGAAAATTATTTTTGAAAGAATAAAATGACAGGGGGCTGGGGATTTAGCTCAGTGGCATAAGCGCCTGCCTTGCAAGCAGGCAGTTGTGAGTTCGATCCCCGGTACCAATAAAAAGGAAAAAAAGACAAAAAAAAAAGAATAAAATGACAACTTAAAAACACTGCATAGCTGGGCATAGTGGCACACTCCTATAATCCCAGCACTTGGCAGCTGAGACAATATTCTACCAAGTTTGTGTCTAGTTTGAAATACATAGTGAGACTGTCACCAAAAAAAAAAGTTATATAAACTGGACAGGTGGGGCACAACGGTAAATTTCAGCTACTCAGTGGGCTTAGGCAAGAGGAATTCAAGGATAACTTGAGCAATTTAGCAAGACTTTGTCTCAAAAATTTAAAATAAAAAAGGGCTGGGAAACAGCTCAGTATGAGGTTCTTGGCTCAATCTCCTGAAGAGAAGAGGAAAGGAAAAGAGGAAAGTAAAAGGAAAGGAGAGAGAGACAAAAAATTATACGATCTTATGATAATAATTCAGAGTACTCATAATGAACAATTATCACAGTCCAGTTATATACTGCCTTGCTAAATGCTTTCACCTAAGTCCCTTTAGGGAGCATATCTGAGGTTTTTAAAAGAGCACATCACTGAATAACTGAGAATGCAAACGAGAATACTACCCAAGGACACAAATGTGAAAACAGCCACTTTTTCCAGTCTCTAGGCTGAAAAACATCCTCTAGTGGTTTCCTACCTAGGGGCAGCCTGCACTGACCACACTGCTCCATTTTCACCCCCACAGCCTCCAGAGGAGCTTCTCAGTCCCTGCACAGCCTGTCTGGAAACCATAACCAGTTCCCCAGAGTGGCCAGGCTGACAACTGCTGTTTCTGAGTCCTATTTCTCATATCCTTTATATATACAAATACATGAAATTCAGGTGTACTCAAAAGACAAGTTTCGTTTGTTTTTGTCTTTTTGAGACAGGGTGTTCCTATGCAGTTCCGGCTGGCCTTGAGCTTTGTAGCCCAGGCTGGTCTCCAATTTGCAATGATCCTCCTACCTCAAGCCTTCCTTTGCTGGGATTACAGGCATCCGCCACCACACCCAGTTTCAAAAGCCAAATTTTGAGGTAGTAATTCCATTTGCTATTTTAAAGCATAATCACCTCTCCCAGTTTGGAACCAGAGTCCCAGAATAACTTCCCTTCCTTCTCTGGCTTTTAAGAACAATTGAACAACCCACAATGGACTCTTGAGTAAGAGGCCTTTAAATACCACATAGGAATTTTACTAGACTTTAGAATGTGTCATTACTTTTAACCCACAGCAGTTTAAACAAAATGTCCTTCAGGTAAGATTATTTGCAGTCCACCACAACCTTACACAGTACTGAGTTTGTTTTTGCAATGGCACTAATGATTTGTACCCATTCTCCGGTGCGATTATTTCGAAAAAGCTGATCAAAATTACTAATCAAGGACCAGGCATGGGGATGCCTGCCTGTGAATTTCGGCACTTTGAGGGACTGTGAGTTTGGAGCCAGCCTGGGTTCCACAACAAGCCCTTGTCTGAAGAAATTAATAATATCATGGAATCAAGAATCTTACTAAGCTAAGCTTTGGGGGAATCAAGTCGCCCAACTCTTCATCCACTAGTTTTAGCAACATTTGTACAGCCTCAACATACAAGGCCTAGCGCTGATATTCGTATTTTAGAAATGAGAAAACGGGCGCGCCCGGGGTCCACACGACTGGAGTCCCCGCATCGGAGACTCCCACCCGGCAAGGAGGCCCTCCACCCAGCTCTTTGCAACACGGTAGCACCCCCGGCCAGCAGCAAAGGGAGACGAGAGACTTGATTTTCACGCTTTCTTCAGCGAAGCGAGAAGCCGCGCCCAGAGAAAACCGGACTTGGGCGCCTCGACCCAACAAGCTGCACGGGATGGGCGTCCCCGCCCGCGCTGCGTCCGCCGAGACCCGCGTCCCCAACCCCGCCACGCCCGCCGCGACCCTTGTCCACCCGGCGTCGCGCGGTGTCCCGGCCTCTCTGGGCGAGGGCTGTCGTGAGCCCGGACGCCCCGACGTCGGAGGGCTCTTGGACCCCGCACTCCCCCGCGGCCGTACCTCCTCCTCATGGCAGACGCCCTACCCGGTCAGCCGGGAGACGAGACCCCCGAGCTCCTCAGCGCGGCCCGAGCGCAGCTACCACCGGGAACGCTAACTATCCAGCTGCACGTCGCTACCCTCGGAGCCGTTGAGCCCCGCGGAATTTCAAAACGTGCCTCGAAGTGAGCGGCTCCGTGATTGGTGCCGCGTCCGGCCGCTCGTTGCGAAGCCCCGCCTTGGCCGGCCGAAGGATGCCGAGGAAGGCACTCCGAGGATGACGTCATCCGAGCCCGCTAGCCCGCCCTGTTTTGATTCGAACAGCGCCGCGGTGCTGCAAGAGGGACTCGCCTACTAACTAGCTTTCCTCAGGCTTCTAGACTGAGAAAACCTGAGAAATGACCTTCAGTGCGAAAATTCCCAGATGCAGGAAAGCGTGCACCAAAGGGGAAGGGAAGGATAGGGGCCGGATCTCGCTCTAGATACATTAGCGGTTAATCAGGACAAACCTGTTAGGTATTATCGCCAAGTCTCACGATCGGTGAATGAATTGAGATCACTTGGGCATGTTTTCAAATTACACGCGTTACGTGAAAACTAAAATTTGAAATGGACGGCATAGTACTTTGATATCCTTTTCTGTCTGTATATCCCAAAATGCACACATACCACATTTTTTCCTAATGATTCATGGTTGTATAATTCCTGGCCTGTAGTTATTTCATAACTCAATTATTTTACTGTTGACATTTTGGCTAATTTTTAAGATAACGCTGGGGTAGTTTATGATAAACCTTTGTATCTTGCATGGCTTTCTGCGACTGATTCCTAGAAGTGTGACGCTCCCTTTTAAACAAGGTTGTACAGTATTTATTACTTTGATGCCAGCTGAGCCTTCCTGGCCCTTCCAGTTATTCTCAGCAGTGCTGAATACTGTACTTTTAAACCTCATCCTTTAGAGGGAACAAAAAGCACTTTGTTTTTCTTGCTTGTTTGATTAGAACCTGCAATTGCACATTTTCATGTACTAGCCAACTGGAAGTCCTGTAGTCTCATCACACGCCTTTCCCCCCAGGGTAAAAGGCTTCCCTTCCAGAGACATGACTTTCTTACTTTCAGAAAAACTTCATTGGTGCTTTCAGCACCTCCTAACTCATCAGCAGTTTGCCAGAACATTCACACCCATGGAGAAACCATTGCTGAAATTTGTTTTGTTTTGTTGAAGTTTTTGAGTGCCTAGCTATGTAGCCCAGGCCAGCCTCAAATTTGCAGTGATCCTCCTGCCTCAACCTCCTGAGTTCTGGGATTACAGGTGTGTGCCACCACACCTGGCTGTTTGCATTAATTTTAGTTTTAAGATGAGGGGATGGGGATTTAGCTCAGCAGCATAAGCGCCTGCCTTGCAAGCAGGCGGTCGTGAGTTCAATCCCCAGTACCGATAAAAAGGAAAAAGACCAAAAAAAAAAAAAAAAAAACCATGAGATTAGGTGTCTTTAAGGTGGTATAGCTGTAACTTCAATGCTTTTCAGAAATGTTTGGACGTGTTCCCAGGACCGGCACTGTGAAGATTCCATGGCTACGGCAACTCTGCTCTCACCTCTTTGGACACTGTAGTTCTAAAGTGCGTATCTTTGCCATTCACAGCATGTCTCAGCAGGTAAAAACACCGCATACTGTGCACATGTGACCCTGTGAGAGGGTCGTACTGTAGTCCAGTGAGCATCAGCATATGTGCTGTGCCTGTTTATTTACTTGACATAGGGTCTTCCTGATGTCACCTATTCCTTTTGTAGACTAACAGAACTGCCAGAAGTACCTTCAGTCCTGCATACTAGCCAGAGAGAACACTTGAGGCTTGCCTTTTTCTTGGAATATATTCTGATACAGCATTATCATTCGTCTATGGAAAGAATACAATTACTCAAGTTTTGATTTTCTGTCTTTCTCCCTGAAGCACCAGCACTGTGGGGGGTGACAGCAGATGGAGACGTGCAACCAGGAGACACTGTTGCAAAAACCCGGGCAAGAGACAAAGACTTCTGCCCTGGGGGTGGTGGGAGAGGAGGATCCACAGAAGTTTCAAAACAAGAATCAACAGGACAGGATGACCAGCTAAATACAGGATAAAAGGAATAAATCTGAGGTCCTGGCAGTTTCTTACATAAACAAGATTTGGGTAGATGAAAGTGGCACTCAAGGAAGCAATGAAGAGGTGCAGATTTAGGGATTCAAAGTGAGCTAACTTTACTTTGTTTTCTTTTTGAAACACAGTCTCACTGTGTAATTCAGGCTGGTCTTAAACTGTGTAGCCCAGGCTATCCTCAAGCTCGGAGATCCTCCTGCCTCAGCCTCCCAATTGTTGGAGTTACAGGTGTGCGCTACCACATCCAGCTGTAAGTTCGTTTTAGACATATAACCAGGTAGTAACTCTCATGTGAAGCTCAGGAGAGAGATGGAAGCTTGAGATCCAAAATGGATGAGACAACTCAGAAACTGCAAGAGAACAAAAATAAAGGTCCCAGGAGCTGACTAAAGAGAATCAATAAGGAAAATGTGGTCATCAGTGAGATCACGTTAGAAAAGGCCTGAAAAGGGCTAGGATTTTAGGTCAGTGGCATAAGTGCCTGACTGGCAAGCTCAAGTTTATGAGTTTGATCCTCGTTACAAAAAAAAAAAGGCCTGAAAAGAGAATACTAATGTGATTAAAGCAAGAAAGAGCCAGGAATAATGGTGCAAGTCTGTAATCCCAACATCTGGGAAGCTGAGGCAGGAAGATCCCAAATTCTGGTCCAGCCTGGGGAATTTACCAAGATGTATCTTGGAATAAAAAATGAAAAGGGGATGGGGGTGTAGCTCAGAAGAAAGGCCCTGGGTTCAATCCTCATACTAGGAAAAACAAATGAAAGCTGTTTGCTAACCATTTGCTCCACCTCTTTATTTTAGGGTTGAGGAAACTGGTACAGAGCTGTGAGTGACTTTTACGAGGGAGAATGGAGTAGGCCCAGAGCTCTCTGGGAGTCAAGGCCGGCCCCACTGTGCGGTCACTCATAGAGGCAGTCGTTCAGGTCCGGAACTACAAGGTTTTATTTACAGAGGCTTAATTTACAGTGATATTCAGAATGGATTTAGCAAAGGATACCTCCTCCCCACACATCTCAGCAGCATGGACCACACAGTACTCATAAACAAACCCGCGGCAGGACCTGAACTCTCTCCTCAGATGTGTTCCCACAGTCCAAGGTAAGTGCCAGGCTCTGAGCAGGGGAGCTGTGTCAGCAGCAGGGCCCCACACCCCTGCCGTGGGAGGACACTCCGGGAAGGCCTCCTCACTGGCTGGGATGCTCAGGTTTTCACCTCACTCATGGCCTCCATTAGGCGAGCACTGTTCGTGACTGCTGTCGTCAGAAAGATGAATCTGTACCCTAGGGAGCCAAGAGCAGATGTGACTAAGGGTGGCCTCAGGTGCCCCTTGGGAACCACACTGTGCCCCCAAGTCCCCCGGCCCCGCTGGATGACACAGCAGTGTGGACACACAGACATGAGGGCCAGGCTCCTGGGCACCGCATGTTTGCCAAGCCAGAGGGACTGGTGGCAGCGGCCTGTGGCGAGTGGCATCAGGCCAGGAGAAAAGCCTCCCACGTGGGGCCCAGCACCCACGCAGGCCGCCTCTCCCCATTCTGTGCTCTTACCTTTCTCTCTGCCCAGGAACCGCAGGGCTGAGATCTCCGAGAATGTGCACCCCCCAAGGAATACCACCAAGATGAGGCGCAGGGACTCGCTGGAAGCCCTGTCTTCCTTGGTCGTGTCTGTGAGGACGGTCACCTCAGCACCTTGCTGGCACACGGACCGGGTGACGCCCAGCCCTCGCCACACCACACACCTGTGAACGCACACTCGCTGCAGTTGAGCAGCCGCACCACCTCCTCCAGGCCCTGCCAGCTCCGCCGCTCCAGCACCTGGGGGACCCAAACTCTGTTTTCAAGTCCGCAGGGACAGCCAGGCAGCCCCTTTCCCGCTGGTTTCAAGCATGAAAGAGCTGGGATGAGCTGGGATGAGCCAGGGAGCACGGGCCAGGGTGAGGTGAGAACAGGAGCAGGCGTGGCGGCTCCCACCTGCTCGATGATTCGGCAGCTCAGGGGCACGTAAGCACCGCTGAAGACATACGCCATGTCGCGGGGCACTTTCAGGTCATACTCGCCATCCACACGGGGGATCTAGGGCAGAGGTGCCACACCAGGCAAATGACAACTCAGCTGCAATCTTTCAAAGGTTAGGTAAGAGCAGCATATCCCAGACAACAGTTCCTATTTCACAAAAGGGAGAACCAGCAACAGTCCATTAACAGGGAGTCTGTAACCACGAAGACCACTTCTGTCCAGCACCTGCCAATTCTCTGCCAGGTCTTCGCTAGCTCCCTGTGAAGGGGCTAGAGGAGGGGTCCCCCTTTCCCGGCCCTTCCCTCCAGCCCCTTACGGGAGAGCACAAGAACTCATGCTGCCCAGTATTCACTGGCACGTGTTTGTTAGTTAAGCGTGTCAATCTTTGTGTCTTGTCTCAAATTAAGCCTGTGCCTATGAGGCTGTCAAAGGATCTTCCTAAAACTCAAAGAGTAAAATGGTCTTTATGGGTTCAGAGTACTCCACAGAGGAATGGCCTGCAGCCTCCCTGGTCCAGTCCTGTCCACATACCAAATTCAGCTTTTTGCTGATGGCACGAAAATTGCTCCTCTTGGCCAGAGAACTGAAGGCATCAGTAATCTTTCCTGGGGAAGAAAACTATGCTAGGTTCCATCTAAGGTCATGGATTTGTGACACTGCCCACTGTACAGAGGTCACCATTCAACACATGACAGGTCCAACTTGTCCAAAGACCCCTTTGGAACTGCTTCCCTACATTTTCCTGGAGTTGATCAAGATGCTCTGGGCACCCCATTCCCCAACTGGTGTCTTCTGCCTCCTACAGTTTGTCCACAAGGACCCCAGTTTATGGGTTAAGTGTCATAGCTTTGGAGTCCTAATGACCTGACCTACTGACCACAGGACCTTAGAGAAGCCACTTAATTTCTCTAAGCCTCAGTTTCTTCATCTATAAAGTGGGAGAAAGAAACCTTAACTCACAGTGTCTTTCTGAGGATTAAATTAGAAATTACATGCAACAGTGTAGGGTATGTTCAGCAGATGGAAACTGCTCTTCCTGGCAGAAACAGCAG